TATAAGGGGATGGACAGGAGCATGTGGTGTTGTTAGTAATTTCACGTCTTCAATAATGCTGCGCAACTTCCGTAACTTTTAACACATTACGTCCCTCCCCCTCCTATTCACCTCTCTTTCCCCCTCCATTCCCACCTCCCCCCATTCCCCCCTCCCTCCATTCCCCCCTCCCCCTCCATCCCCCCCCCCCGCCCCCAGGCCCGCCCAGCTGCCCCCCCACTCGCTGGTGGTGCTGGGCGGGCGAGACTACCTGCTGTCAGCCCCCGCGCTGGCCGCCATGCTGGTGGGGGCGGGGTGCGGGGATGCGCTCATGACACACCCGGGGCTGGACCATGGTGGGCCGGGGGAGGAGGGCGGGTGGGGGGTTGGAGGGAGAGACCAAAGCACCATTCAAATTACAAGTCGGGGCCGGGACCGGGGCTGGGACCCGGGCTAAGTTGGGTTGGGGGTCACTTGGGCGCAATGGAAACGTCTTCTGTCTAGGATTGTGCCTGATTGCTTAGCATGCACGGCCGCGTGTTTGTGCATGGTTGATGAGAATAAGGATTTCTGTGCGCGCCAGCCTTTTCTGGTACTGGGGACTGGGGATAAGAAACTCTTGCTGCAAAGAATACGGGCAAGTACACTGCATGTATGCATGTTACCGGTAGCTGCTACGCTAGGCCCCTTCCAGCTGTTGACGCTCTACCGCACTTACCGCTACCGCACACAAACCTCTCCTCCAGCCTCTTATCTGCCTCGCGCCCCGTTCCCCCCCGCGCCCATCCCCAACCAGGCGAGATCCTGAAGGACGCCCCCTGGCGCTTCCAAGTCGTACGGCGTATCGCATCCCTGGTTTCGGAAGCTGACGCCGATGACATTGCCGCCGTCCCAGGTGCCGCCGCCGCTGACGGGTCCGCCGCACCCCGTGGCCTGTTGCTGCTGCCGCCGCCGCTAAGCGCCCTGGCGGCGGGTCGCCTCCGCCGCCTCCGTCGTGCCGTACGTCCGCTTGTAAGACAACTGGCGTGGAGCTTGCCGCCGCTGCCGCCGGCGGCGGAACGGGGCCTTATGAAGCTCCTTCCTGAGCCGCTGAAGTACGATCCAAGTACGGTAACTGCGACAGCGGTGGTGGCGGCGGCGACGCCAAGAGCGCCGGGTTCCGATGGTGACGGCGGAGGCGGAGGCGGGGGCGGGGGCGATGCCGTACCCCAAGGTGAAACCCCGCCGACAGCTGTGGCGCCGCCGGTCGCGGAGGCCGCAGCCCGAGGCAAGGAAACGGACGAAGAAGTGTCTTCGGTCGCGGCGAGAGGTGCCAGCCCGGCAACAAGTACGAGTCTGCTGCCGTACATTACGCCAGCTAGATTCGTACGGCTGCATCGCCGTCCAAAGGCAGGGGCCGACGGCGCGGCGTCAGCGACGACGACGACGACGCCACCGCCGCCGGCGGCGGCGACGGCGACCCAACACAGTGCGAGTCCTCCTAACACTGTCGTCCAGTCACCTCGGCAGCTCTCGCAGCCGCCATCATCTTCCGCACCTGGGCTAGCCAGCCAGGACAAGGACTACGCTAACACGGCCGCTCCTTCCGCCGCCGTCGCCGACGATCCCGGTAGCGGCGGCGGAAGCGTTGATGCTGGCGGCGGCGGTGGCGGTGGAGTTAGCCGCTGGTTTGGCCGCAGCCGGCCAGTGACGGCCCTTCGTCGTAACCTGCTCTTCAGTTTAGGCGGCAGATCGCCGTCAGCGGGGGTGGCACCACGTCAGCCGCCGCAGCATCAGCGCCAGCAGCGCCGTGCTAGCATCAAGGCTTATGCCGTACCACCAGCCTCCACCGCCGCTGCTGGCGCCGCAACAGGCGACGCTGCCGCCGCCGCCAGCGGCACCTTCGCTAGGCTTCGGGCGGCGAGGAGGGCAACGGTGGTGACGACTCGTGGGTCACCGACCATTCGTGCCGACACCGCCTCTGCTGTCGCTCCTGGCTCTGCTTCCGCCGCCGCCGCCACTGCAGGGTTCGGCAACTCCAGAGCGGCAGCCTCTGCGCAGCCGGCGCAGCCTCGCCAACAGCCGCAGCCTGCACCGCCACATCAGCAACGGCAGCAGCAGCGGCAACCGCAGCGCCAGCGGCTTTTCTATGTATCAGTCCCGGAAGCCCTTCCTGACGCCACCGTACGTACCATGCTGCTACTGCCGGAAGCAACCGCACGTGTACTGCCGCTACTGCCGGAGATATGGCAGCGAGCGGCGCCCGTACTGCAAGAGATCTGGAATGCCGTACGACCGCTACTGCCGAAGCTACTAAAGGCGTTGGCTCCCACCATGCCGCGCTTTCTATCGGCGCTGTTGCCGGTGCTGCCGCGCATGTGGCAGCGACCCATAGTGGCCGCCACCGTCGCCGCCGCCGCCATTGGTACGGCAGATCCAGCGGTCAGTGGGACCTCTGCAGAACGGGTGTCGTGGGCCTTGCGGTTCCGAAACCAATGGCGGCGAGCCGCACTCACTCGTCGCGACAGCGCCGTCGACTCCGCGGCCGCCGTCGGCTCGTCTGCGCCTCTCAGTGGCGGCGGCGAAAATCGAGCCGACGGCGGCGCCAGTGACGTCAGCATCTGGGAACGTGTACTGGGAGTCGCTGGCTGGTGGGCGGCGGCCGTGGCGCTGCTGCCGGAAGCCTCAATGCCGTACATGCCCGCCGCCGCCAACTGCTGCGTCGGCGGCGCCGCCGACGCATTGTACGACAGTGACAGCACCGCCGCCGCCACTGACGCCGCTGACGGCGGCGTCAGGTTGAGCCGCCGCAGCAGCATGGGCCCCGAGTTCCCATCCCTGGGGGACCTTGTTGACTCGCAGCCAACACCCCCGCACGTGGCAACTGCCAATGCTGCTGACGTCATTGCCGCCATCGGATCCGTACCGTACAGCGCTGTCAGCAATGGCGTCGCGAGCCACGCTGTGCCGAAGTCGCTCTGGGCGGTGCCGCCGCGGCTGCTGCTGCTGCACGACCTCGCGTCCGTCACGGTCGCTGCGGCAGTCGCCTCCGCCGCCGCCGCTGCAGCTGTCGTTGGCGGCGGCGGCGGCGTCACGGCAACAGATGTTGAGCTGCAGGTTGCAGCTTGCCTGGCTGCGCTGCGGGGTCTCCATGTCGTACGGCGGCCGGCGAGTGAGGCTCCGGCGGCGGCGTCAGCGGCGGCGAACAGAGCGGCGTCCACGAAAAACAGCAGCTGGCAGCTGGGGGTGTTCCCGGCAGGTTGGGACAGGGTCAGCCTTGGCTTGCGTCAGCAGCACTTGCAGCAGCAGCAGTACGCATGGGCTGCGCTGGCGTCGGCATGGCAGCAGCGGCGCAGGCAAGTCCTACTGATGCGGCTACAGCTGCTGCAAGCGGTATTGGGAACGGCATGGCGGCGGCGACGGTCAGATGAGCAACGCGCTGCCGCCGCCGCTGCTGCCGCCGCCGCCGCTGCAGCGGCGGCGGCGGCCACCGCTGAGATTGCCGTACACGAAGCCTGGGGCCGTCAAGCAGCGTCACAGCCGCCACCACCGCCTTATACACCGGCGACGCTACCTTCATCGCCGCCACCGGTGCTGCAGCTGCTGCATCGCACCTGGCAATCCCCTGTCGTACAAGTCGCGGCTGCTGCGCTCCAGGGAGGCTTTCGACGCAGCGGTTTATCTTCTTACAAGGGCTGGAGTAAGCAAGTACGGCTGGGTGTGTTGCGTCATCTCAGCCGAAAACCGGTGCGCAGCGATGCCACCATCCTAAGCAGCCGCCTGGCGGGCTGTAGCAACGGCGGCAGTGGGGGTTCGACAGTGGCAGTGGCTCACCGCAAGGGTGGTGGGGGGTTCATGCGGTTTTGAGCGGGAGCTGGCAACCGACGTTCTGAGAGCTGATGCATGACTGCTGGCTGTTACAGTCCATTTGGTGTGGCTTGTTGAGGGTGAGGGCAGGGGAGAGCCTGGGGCTGCTTTGAAGCGGCTTCGGGGCATGTGGGGCTGCGAACATGATACTGTGTATGGTGTGCGTGCATGAGTGCTTGCATATCGGCGGTCCTGTGGCTTCCTTTCTGGAGGGCTGCTAAGGAACGCCCCTCTCCTAATGGTACTTTTGTGGTGGCAGGAATGAGGGATGTATTTCATGGCCACGTGGTACTGGTACCTGGTAGCTGCACATGCGCAGGCCTTGGAACGGTAGTATAGTGCTTATCACACGAGGCGCTGTGGGGCGGATGCAGATCCGGTAGGCTATTATCAGGTGCTGGGGAGAGCGGCTGTGATGCGGTACGATGGCTTAAGGGGAAGTTCCGGTATCATGCTATCTGGGTATTAATGAGATAGCACGACACATACAACACATCTAAACAGACACTAGGGATGAGAGATCTTCAAGGATTCGAGTTTATGATGGGCAACAAGTGGTTTACGCGTGAGGAGGTGTGTGAAGTGCAGGGGAAGATGCGACTGTGTGAAGGAATTATATGCGTATTGCGTGAAGTAGTATTGCTAACGAACGACAACGTTTGTTGAATACAACCTCCCAACAGGTTGCAATAAGCGTGTTAAACCGTATGGGCGAGTTGTATGGTGCTGGTTTGCCGCGAAGATTGCTACCTTAGAGCCCCCCGCACAAACTTACTCTGTGGTAGCTACAGGAGCCCGCACCTCGACACATGCCGCACTAGGCGAAGCTAGACCAGACTACCGGTAGGTAATTTGGGGCGGATAGAGCATAGATGGGGCGTACTTGCTGGTTAATGCAGGGCAATAACCTTCATTGCAATCCATCTTCTTGCCCAACAGGGCAAGTTTGCCAGCGGTGAACCACAGGACGATGGATGCAAGGAATGGCAGTATGTAACTAAGGGTTTAGACGAAAGCAGTGTCGTTTACAGTGCATGGTAATAGCTGCCAAAGACGGTATTCTTTCCACCTTCCGGGGCCCTCGAAGGTCCGCTAGGCCCTCTGCAATGCCGTACATCTAACGAAGCGTTACGGTCACGAGGCTGTTATTAGATAAATGCGCAAACTACGAATTCATTGTAACAGAACCAGTACATATAGTGGTACTAAGCAGGTGAAATCAAAGGTAATACCCGAAACCAACATTGCTGTCAGAAGCCATACCGCCTATTCCCTGTACACCTTTACTATAAGTTATAGAGGCAAAGAACGTTATAATAACTTGCATTTAGTTATTCAGGCTTACTCCATCAAAGCCGTTCGTCGCGAAGAGACGTGTTTGCCGCCAACCAGCAGCTCTGGGTTTCATCTTATCTCCGTACTCGTCTGCATTGGTAGGTGTTGTTCCTGCTTGGTGTAATTTAATGGGAATACACAGATAAGCTATAATAGCGATTTACTTATCAATGCTCTGGACACCTGTGAGGTCGGCTATAACTAATGGTGATGTTCCTTACGAACGCTTATGTGAACGCTGTACGCATATCTTAGGTGGCTGCTTAATAACGTTGTCCAGCGCTTCCAACTACAGCACTGATGAGTCACTTTTTGACTAACCCAATTGCTATACTCCGCCTAAGCTCGTAGCTCTGGCAACCATAGTAGTGCACACTTATCCTGCGGACCTTGCAAGCTCAGTGCAAATGTCTATTAATAGCACTTCGTAATCGCTGCAAAGTGTGTCCCATGGGTCGACCTCTCTTCATGCATCCAATTCGCTGTTTCAGCTTACCTGCCACACACCCGCTGGCTGCTCCGAGAAACGTTGTTTCTCATCCTGTTCTCATATTTTCCACTTCTTCTCTCTTTAATTTTCTCTCCTCAATCTCCTCAGAGATTGACATTGCGCCTTTGCTGCCCGCTGTTGTGTCTGCAAAAGACACCAGCCAGTCGTCCGCGTCCTTCGGCTGCGTCATTAGGCCGCCCAAATGTCCCCGCCCGCTCCTGATGCCCGGCTAACGGGCGTATGGGTCAAGGTGAGATAGCAGTGAAGCAAGGAATTGCGGCAAGCGGAGGGCGGGGGCAGGGTACGGCAAGCGGAGGGGACACATGGGAACGTGTGTATGCGCCGCCGGTAGCGGACACCTGACGGGTCCTTTGGAGAAGGGCAAAGGGGAATATGGGATTCGGGTGGGTTGACTGAAGTTCTCTCCGATTGGATCCAAGGTCCCTTCCCCTTTCCCCCCTGCCTGCCTCTCCTCCTCGCCCTCTTCCCTGCCTGCCTGCCTCCCTCCTCTTCCACTGTGGGAGGGGGGGAGAGACGGAGGGAGAGTCCGTGTGACAGCCTGGGTTGTCTGGGTTGTCTTAAGTGACGAGCGCTTCTGGAAGCTTACCTCCTTGCTTCCTCTCTCCCGCCCCTCCCAGGACCCCTCCCGCTCGGACCCACTGGACGAGGCCATGGACGCCATGCAGCTGGGGGGGCTCACGCGTACGGCGGTGCGGCTGGTGCGTGGGCTGGAGCTGGACGTGAGGGGGGGCAGCAGGTGGGGCGGGGGTGGGGGGCGAGCATGTGGGGATTGAATAACCTGAGCCACAAGGGGAAGGGGCTTAGATGGGGGGGTGGGTGATTCTGGCGTCCAGGCCGCGTGATGCGAACAGCCTCGGGGGGGGGGGGGAGAGGAGCGCGAGGGAGGGAGGGGGCGGGAGGGTGAGGTGCTTCCTGCGGAAACGCACTCGCAGTCCCCCCGCCATGCCTCCCTCCCCAGGATTGATTGCAGGAGCTGTTGAGCCCAACAAACAATCAAACACCTACCCGCCCGCCCGCCTTGCCCATGCATGCTGCTCCCCCTCCCCCCCCCGCTGCTGCCCTCTCCCCCCACCCCATGCTGCCCCCCAGGTTCGAGCTCGCCGTGTTCAGCGTGGTTCCCTGGTTCAAGGTAACCCACACTGCTGCAGAGTGTGTGATCCAGAGAACTGGCCGCGAGTCGGAACGTACTGCATTGTCGGAAGATGTGCCTGTGTGTGTTAAGAAAACTGGCCGCGAGTAGGAACGCGTGTGTTAAAATAACTGGCCGCGAGGCGTGTGTGTGTATGGCTGTATTGCCCTACCTGGCTGACATGAGTCTTGAGCGCTGGAGTGTGCCATGCAACGGCGGTGTCCCTGCTTGGACCCCGCCCCCTCTCGTACGGCACATCGCACATGCGTCCACACGCGGGCACACACACACACACTTCGCGGCCAGTTATTTTAACACACACTTCACGACTTCATCTTTCGGCAATCACAGTACGTTTCGCCTCGCGGCCAGTTATTTTAACACACACACAGTTGCATCGTCAGTGTCTCATCATATGTTTTACCCCCCCCCCGCCCACACATACTGCAACTACCATATTACCCTCCACCCCAACAACTCAACTCCTCATGACCCCTCCCCCAGCTCCTCCTCCTCTTCCTCACCCCACTACATCCCCCCGCCTGTTCCGCTCCCCCCCCCCCTGCTGCCCCCCTGCTGCCCCCCGGTGCCGCTGCAGGTGCGTGAGCGCTACCCGCTGGACGGCAGTGAGGTTCAGTGCGGCCGGAGGGACCTGCGCAGGGGTGAGGGGAGGGGAGGGGGGGTCGAAGACCAGGTACCGAACCCTAGGAAACCACAGGTTAGGGCAAAGCAATGGGGATACCGGTAGGAGGCGGCGGTGAAGGAGGGAGGGGGGGCTGGGCAGGGGGTGTGTCGTACAACGTAGTGCGGGAGGTAGAGGGGGTGTAAGGAGGGAGGTTGGGGCGATGGGGGTGTGTATGCAGCTAACGAAGAGGAGCCACCGTCTGCAGAGGGAGGCGGGTGTTTCCAGGTGGCAGTCCTGCCGCCAACCAGCTAGCGTGCCAATCGGCTTCCGTGCTCCCTCCCACCCTCCTCCCACCGCCCCCCAGGCAAGCACTCTGGTTCTGTTGCCGTACAGCCCGACGGGTCCCTGCTGCTGTCCTTCACCTGGGGGGAGCCGTTCGCGGGGAGCGGGTACGACCACCTAGCTGTCGTGCCCGCTGCTACCCTGGCTGCCGCTGCTGTGGCGCCGGCGCCGGCGGATCCCACAGAGGCAGGAGCCAGCGCCGGCGGCGACAGCAGCGGAGCCGGAGCAGCAGCAGCAGCTGCCGAACCGGGTAGTGGCGGTGCGAGCGGTGGTGGAGGTGGTGGTGAGGTGCTGGTGGTGACATCGGTCATGAAGGTGGGAGGAGCAGCAGGAGGGGCATGTCGTACAGTGACCTACCGTACCGTGTATGTGCGGGGCCGCACCTGAGGCGTGGAGGCGTGGGCCGCACCTGAGGCGTCTGGGCATTTGATGAGAGGAGGCTGACCCATGGGTCTTACAGTCGCAGGGGGATAGCAAAAACATACATTAGCAGCATGTATAGTAGCAAAGTGTATAAGAGAAGAGCGTGGGCAGAAGATGGTTGCAGGTTGTAGGGAGACGGCCAATCCTTTGAAGCACAGAAAGGGTGCCTTCTCGGGAGTTGCATTTTTGTACATTTTGTCAATTGCATTTTGATTGAAAGTATTGGGGACAGATGCGAAGATATGAAGTTGTTGAAGAACTTCATACAGCAGGAGTTGGAAGGTTACTAGGAGGCGGAGTAGACATGTGGAGGCTTCTTTTCAGCAGATTGGCTGGACTACTGCTCTTTTGCCAGAATTGTTTACTGGTAATCCTCGTAAGTTCTGCTGAGGGAGGGGTGTTACTCATACCACGTTGCGATTGTGTACCTGATACTGGTAATGGCTCGTGCATTAGGTGCGGTATGTACCCGCATGTGCCTTTAGGGCTGCTGGCGTCCATGGGTGTTATGTCCAGAGCTGCAGTGGATGGCATGGCACCATATCAGCCGGGTGTGCTGCGGCCTCCTTGGATTTCGTTAGCTCATGCCGGCCGCCCCATCATGTAAGGCAGTTAGGCGGAGGAAGTTAGGCATGCTTGCGGAGGGGACAAAGGTGGAGTCCTGGTGAGTTACACACACACGAAGCACATCTGCCAACACATTGTCGTGAACACGTTCCACGCATCGTGTCTTGTTGCACGACGACAACAACATCGTCACGTGCACACAAGAGACATATGCTCTTAACATACAAGGGGCGTACGAAAATGAATCGTACGACATTTAACTGCACGACGTACTTCACCTCATTATAATAACATGCTAAAGGTCTGACGCAAACGGTATGTTTTCAACTGTCTGATACCAACAACCATCCTCTCGTCGTCCTTTCGTCCCAAAGCCTCTCTTCTGACTAAAGCCGAAAAGCCGGTTCAACCCAAAACAATTCTTCTGAAAACCGTCCTGCACAGGACGCTAATCTCCTCGAACCTCCCTTCTTAATGACGAAGCATCTAAACACAGATATGGTGACACCTCTCACCAGGCGCTTTTGCTACACACACAGACACACATGAGCGGCCAGTTTTCTTAACACACATGAGCGCCCACGTTCCTACTCACGGCTCTTTGAAAACACACAGGTAGGCGCGCGCATACAACCAGGGAGAGGCCAACCACCTACAACGATGCCGCCCTCGCTCGCCTCCAAGCATTGTGCTTTGTGCATTGCATGCAATGTGCCATGCACGCGCGCATAGTGGGTATTCCTCATCGCCTGAGGCTAAGTGAGTGCACCCTCATACGCAGATCCACGGCCAGATCTGTTAATACAACCGCAACCGGGATGTACGGCAGAACGGTATAGCCCGTAAAGCAGCCCGCCACGACAGACGTTCCCAGCAACCAACAAGATGGCATCGCCTTCTACATCCCAGCAATCACATAATGAGTGCAAATAAAGTACGACCAAAGTACAACAAGCAGGTAGGTGACCAGGGAGGTCACGCACCCACGTACAGCCTGCCTTGAGGCACACACGAGAGGTTGTATATCATACCATATAACGTATGTAGCGTAGTGGTCTGCTGCGTCGCAGGATGCCTCAATGTGGGGCAGCCCAAACGACATGCGTGCATATGATGTAGGGTATGATGACACATGATGCGATTTAGGACGAACTATGTGCGTGACAATATGTGGTGAGAGAATAAAGGCCCCAGTACCCACCTAATGCCGGAGGGTGCCTCGGAAGCCAACTCCACACAGATTCCACAGACCCGTATCGGATCATAACACGGCGTTCATACGGTAACAGGACGGAAACACCACTTTCATTCAAGACATTGAGGCGCGTGGACGGCTGCAGCACACAAGGAAGCCCCTCGTCACTCGCCCCTCAGCACCTCCTCGCCCCTCGTCTCCTCCGTCCAAGAAACAAGCACACACACGCACGCACAGTGTGGCGCACCTGATCCACCACATCCTGATTGCCACCGCGCCTTGACTCTGCCATGCACACAGTTTCACAGCTATAGCCCTGTGTGAAACATAGACATGGTGGTTTAACTTATGACCTGGCACGACAAAACACGGTATGTATAGAGAATGGCACGCTGCGTGCGCTCACCCCTCAGCTCATGATAACCCTCAAAGGCCAACGGAGGACCTTGTAAGAAACTACAACCCGAGAACACGTGTCGGCAGAGCCAAGAGCTCTCGAGCAATCGCCACCAGCAGTAAACAACGCAAGGCGACGAACATGTATCGACAACCACCCGCATTCCGCACGCCACCCAGTTCGTAGCCTGTGCTGGCTCCAAACAGTCAGACACTTCCATCAGACCCGCAGCGGATGCCGCTTAACACCGCAGCGGCGGCCCAGCCACGCGCGCATACAGGCCGTTACAAAGACGTACCGCACAGCCACGCTCGTGATCATCCAACAACGTACCGCACAGCCACGCTCGTGATCATCCAACAACTAACCAACTTGCATGAATATCCAGCCAACAATGCATGCGTAGCAAAACAAGCAACATCCACAGAGCAGACAGCTCCGCAAAACGATACGAGCAGCGGCACATCATACACAGCTGCTGCCGGAATCACTCACAGGCGAGCGACAGGATTCAACTCTCAAGTCCTCAATTCTCAGCCACCCACCCACCACCGTTCAACCTTTCCACCCACTGCCTCGCTCCCTAACAATAATAACTGTAAAACAACAACTGCCGTCCCTCACAACTCGCATGTCTTTAGCAACGTGGGTGCCAAGCAGCCCGTATACGCTGCAGCACGCCTACTAGTGAGTAGAAAATCAGGGGCACAGGAAGTGAGAATAAGACAGGGCATTATGGTTGCCCAAACACGGCAGCCAGTGCTAATGCACAGGGAATGCAGCAGGAGTCATAACTGCACGTCTCACTGCACAAATACTGAACGAGGAGAGGATGCATGAGTGCGCCAAGCAAGCGCCACATCAAGGGCAATGCAAAGGAAGATCGTCAAGGCCTATGCTGAGCCCATACGTTTCGGATCATGGCCGTATCAGATCACCGCCCTTTCATCCCTTCACCTAATCAGGAGCATTCCTGCCAAAAGGCACGCACCAGTTCTTCCACAGAACCCGTAGCCGGCACGGCACGGAACCCAGGACCGCCGTACCACACTTGCACCAGCTCACGGACAAGAGCACGGAAACCTGGCGAATTTGCGCGGCACTGCATGCGACAGAGGCCACAAACAGGCCCTGCAAATCGACATGAGGCCCCTTAACGCCAGCCCAGCCCGCGCCCAGCTGGTGCCACCCATCCATGTTCTCTTCTTGGGGAGCCACTGCACTAGTCGTTCATTCATCCAGGTTTCAAGACGCCAACAAGTAATGGTAAGAGAAGAGCACATGCATAACGCAACTCTTCAGCAATGTCTGGATCAATGAAAAAAGGTACTGCTGGGCCCTCCGTGACAAAAGCCCCGTCTAAACTAAGTTTGTATTTGCGCCAGTCCAACGCGCCGTTTTCCACGCCCCGACCTGGGGGCTAGCTGGCGCTGGCCTCAGGCGCCGCCGCCAGCACCGGGACCCCAGAACCCGCCACAATACCACAACACACCAACCAGCAGAATCACATGCCACCGAAGCAACCACTACCCTTCCTGCGCTGCTTTGCTACCTGTCGTAGGGCACCGTAGTCAGGGTGGCTGCTTACCGCTCCTGCTGCTGATAATACTGCACCAAAGCACCAACACAAACCCAGCGCGAAAACCGCGCTAGCTACCATACATATCACGTTCTACGAAGCCCTCAGCTGCGCAGCTTTCGACAGCCACGCCATGCCACACCTTCACTGATGACCGACGCACGCACTTAATGATAACCTCGACGCACTTGCGATAACACGCCCGAGCCATGCATCGTATGCTTGCACGCCAAAGCGCCATTGTAAAGCACAACGACTTACGACCACCACAATACCACGTATGACAGGGCATGCCCCGCGGACAGAGCGTTGGGAAACTCGTTGCCTTTCCATTACCAACCAAACAGGTATGCATCTAGCTTGCGGCTAGTGTCCTTCGAAAGCAGCATGCAAGCGTGCAGCTAAGCCTGCCGGTGCATGATGACAGCACAACCGCAATCTGCACAGCCCGGCCGTTCAGCACAAGGTACACAACATGCTTGCAAAACCGCCCTGCACGTTACCGTACAACTTGTACGAGCAATGACTACTCCGTACGTCAACTACCGTACTCTGCCCAGGAGGGCCTGACACTGAGCTTGTACAACGCACGGCAACCATACCTGTGGCAACACTGCCATTTAGGAGTCTATACATGCGTTTCTCTTCTTCCAAATGCTTCATAAACGAGTGTCCTAAGAAGAGACGGTTGCTCTCAACCCTGGAGCACCATGGGACGCAACGATGTGCTGGAAGACCTGTCCCTGCATTCCTGCCACTGGGTCCACGGGCTTAACGGGCTCAACATTCCACACCTTTCACTGCCACCCTTCCACAACGGAAGGTTTTATAGAACCGTGTCCGCCAAATTTTTTCCATTGGGTTAACAAAAGCGTGGGTTTTCACCTTTGCTAGATCCGCGAACAAACAAACAAACATAACACAACGACGGGCATCCATTTTTCACTGCATACGTTTACGATCACGGAACGATATTGTCTTCACATCGCCTTACTCGGAGTCTTCAGCAAACGGCGTTGACGAGCGGTTGTTGTTCTTGTGGTGCTTGGGACCGCTGCGTCGATCATCAAAAAGCCGCTTGTACTGCGCTTGACGTAGGAGCTTGAGGCAGGGTGCCAGCTCGACATCTGGGTCAGCCAGGATTTCCCTTTGGTTCGTTGCCACTTGCTCCAATAACGCCTGAAAGGTAGGACAAGATGAAAGATGTGAAAATGCCGCAACAACAAAGACTGGTGGCGACGTTGAGACAGAGAGAGATGGGAGCACTTGGACAGGAGTCCCCAGCTGCACGCGCATCCACTCACTCAGCCCTCAACCACACATGGCATCCTGCACCCCACGTCCCCTCGGCACAAACCAACACCTGCACCAGCACCAGCACCACGCCATCAACCATTCGACCCTGCCCTTGCTCACCCGTCGCCTCTCCTCCGGCAGCTCCCGTTCATGCCGCAGGGCCTCGCCCAGCCGCCGCAGACTCATTAGCTTGCGCTGCGGCCAGCGCCGGATGCCCAGCGCCCGGCAGCGCCGCTTCAGGTCGGTAGCGCTCACGCCCAACCTGCGAACCACCTCGCTGACAGGCACCTCAAACAGCCCGCGCAGGACCTCCAAGCCAATGCGGCCGGGGCCGGAGCCGGTGGCGGTGCTGCCGCCTGCTGCGGCAGCGGGGCTGCGGCCTGCGGCCGCAGCAGTAGCGGCAGTACCAGCGCCGCTGCCACCGCTGCGGCCCGGTTTTGGTCCGACAGCAGCAACAGCAGGCGGTGGTGGTGACAGCGGTGGAGTGAAGCTATACAAGCTGCCAGAAGCGGGGTTGGCAGGAGCAGCAGCGGCGGTGGCGGCTGAGCCAGGGACAACAGCAGCATCGGGCGCAGTAGTGGTGGTGGTGGTGCCGGAATCACCGGAAAAGGCAATGGCGTCGACGTCGGAAAGAGACACGTCGGCAAAGAGGATATCGGTGTCCTCGCAATCACTGTACGAGCCGGCAACAGCACCGGCGTCTGCATTCATGAAGATGTCGGCGAGTGGCTCATCTTCTTCCGCGACGCGCGCGCAATCATCTGCAGCAGCAGCGGCGGCGGGGTAGCAGCAACCCTCAGCCTTGACGCCGTCGCCGCGCGGAAACTCAGTCCGCACCCGCTCCTGTTTCATCTCAAGCTCCGATGCGCCTGCAGTAATGCCACCGCTGCCTAGCGCGGTGGATGAAGGGCACAGCGCCGGAAGACACGGAAGACACAGCTCCTGAGATGTAATGGAGTCGCCACATGCATGCAGCGAGACGGCGGAGGATCCCACTGCTGCCATCGTCGTCTGCATGCCGCCGGGGGCGCAACTTCCAACTCCACCCGCGGCGTTGGTGAATGGGTTCATAACGCCGTCACCACCTGTGCCGTAGCCCGCGGCAGTAACCGACGGCTGCGGCGGCGGCGGCAGCAGGAGTGACTGCATGTATGAGGAAGCAGTAGCGAATGGCAAGGAGTCTTCACGGCACACGGCAGCAGCGGAGGTGCTGGTGGATGCGGCCCCGCCAGCGCCATCGCTGGCAGCGAGGCTGCCGGCAGCACCTACAGCAACAGGAGCACAAGGGCCACCAGGAACTGCTGTTGATGACGGCGGCGCTGCCATCAGGGACGAGGAAACCCTGGTGACGGTGACAAGTGAAGTGGCCGCGAAAGCAGCAGGCGTAGGGCTTGGCGTCACGGGCACATGGGTTGCCGCAGCGCGGTTGTTGCAGTTCGTTGTCATGAGCGAAGAGGTTAACCGCGTGAAGTCTAGGGGTTGCAGCTGTGCAGAGGGCTCTAGGTTGGGCCAGGGGGCGGCTTCAATCTCGGCTAGCAGCTGCATTTGTCGGAATTCCTCCTGCTGCTGAAATGTATCAGGTTGCTGCTGGTATTGCTGCTGCTGGGGAAAAGGCAGCAAAGGGTACTGCTCTTGCAGCTGTCCCTGGTGGCCGTTCAGGAGGCGGGCGTTTGCGAGGAGGTAAGAGTCGCCCTGGAAATGCTGTACGGCAGAAGCAGCAGCAGGTCCACCACCACCGTTATCAACAGAGGTATACGATGCTGCTGCTGGATTCGTCGTACTTCTCGCTGCCGCTGCTGCTGCCACCGCCTGTTGTGCATCAACATGTCCAAACGCTGTTTGACGTACTGCCGCAGCATCTGCTGCTGTCTGTGGAGGGGCCATCAGACACCAAGGCCACGGCAGGTCCTCTGAAGGCGGCAAACCAAATGCTTGCGCCGGCCTAAACGTTGGCAGGCTAGGTTGCCGGGAATGAGGCTGGACAACTGACATGTGTTGCTGAGTCGCGTGAGCGGTGGCGGGTAACTCCACGTATAACTGTACATGTACCATTGGGTGAGGTTGGAACAAGCAGGACGACTGGCCCTCGGAGCTGCGCGCCATGGTGGTGCCGGGAATAAGACGCGAGGCTGTGTCACTAGCAACGGCGGGAGCTGGTACGGCGGTTTGGCTGTGTTGCCTCTGGTGCTCCGTTGACGAGGAAGGGAAGTTAATGCCGTCGTAGAAACTGCGCCAGCGGTCTTCGTCTTGCTGAGAACGGCCGTTTGCCAGTCTTGTCGCAGAGTGTAGGGAAGAGCCTTGTCGGAAAGCTGCATCATGCCTGTTGGTTAAGGCCCAGCTACCATGAAAAGGAGGCAGACCGTCCAAGATAGCGACGTCCTCCTGCCCAAAGCCAGGCATGTGGCTTGTAAACATAAGGTAATCCATTCTTGTCAGGATACTCGTAATTGCGTTGTCCTAGTACACGATAGTGCCTTGAACCGACTGCAAGAGGGCGAAGGCAAACAAGTCGTTTGGTTAATTTCTGCCGGAAGTAAAATGCGTAGTCGTATAGTAAGTAGTCCAAATCCTGCTCCTAATAGCTGCATGCTAATTGCAGTCGCGGCGACGAAAAGTTGCAGGAGGAGCTTGCAAAGGATACGCAGCAACCTCTGTTCAATCCTGAAGGCCCCGAACCTCCAGTTCGCCAGGTCCATACCTACCGTATCGTAACTCTTAAATGACCTTGCTTGAGAAGCGCTCCCTCGGCAGCGGGACCTGCATGTCTGCCTGCTGCAAACTAGGCCTAGATATTACAATTCACAACGAAAACTCCAATCCTACTGTGCCCTAATTGCCAGGTACACGATTCCAAGCGCCGCAGCGTCTTCAGTCTACATTAAGGTCACGAATGGAAGCTTGGGCTAAATTAGGCGGGGCCTAATAGCCATAATGCAAATGGTGTATGGAGCATAGTCTATGGCGTGGAACACGATACAGAGTGTTGTTGCACCATTCACCATGACGGATTGACGGGCAAGGCTGTCGTAATCTCGTCCTAGTCTCGTCCGCCGTACTGGTGCTCATAGCCGCAGGCTTTCGCACCCACTGGCGGGAGTGTTGCACTGTTCGAGACTTTCGTCCATTACACCATTATAAACATCCGGTTATTTCAATGACTTAGTGCGTCGTTTCCGGCTTTTAAAGGGCGAGGATATTGGTTGAGTGTTTTGGCCTTTATGTGGCGCACGGGCCGACCTTTACGTTTACGATCAACGTGCGTCAATACCAACAAGGTGTAAAAGGTTGAAGAGTTCATACCGGTACCGGTACAGCATGGGCTACTGTAGTCGGTCCGCGGCGATAGAACTCTATAGCCGTTGCCAGCAATAAAACGTTACCGGGCTTTATAGCCCTAATACTAATGTTTTATCGTGACAGTGGCAACTGCAGCCCATGCTTCAGCAAGTCAGGCCTACATGCCGTTGAGTGTAAAACCTTCTCGAGTATGAAAGAAACAAGAGGGATATTGTAGACGCAGGCCAAGTTTTAATTTCAAAAAGACACGCTGCCTTTCATCAAGGTGGACCTACCGCGACGTTTCACTTTTGTACCGCGACGTTGTACCTCCAACCCTCCGCATGCACCTGGAACACGCCGTCGTCAGAGATGATAAGCGATAAGTGACAATAAGCGGCCAGCAGTGCACGCGCAATGAGTGAACAACAGTGCACCCTCAGCGATGACCCCGATGTCTAGTGCTGTCCCCCGGCAAACAAACCTACTTGAGCATTCGGCCTAATCAGGCAAGGTAGTCCTGGACACATCTTTACCATGCACTTTCACGAACTAAATGCTTTACTTGATGCGGTATAAATTATGCAAAGTCTATTGGCTATCGGTATACTCCAGAACAAGACATTCCAGAACAAGACAGAAAATTGCTTTCGAATTCTTCACCCTCACTTGACGCACGTTTGCCATCCAGAAGGGCAGGACATCAAATCGGCCCGGCATGGTTCGAAGCACTCATTAACCCCAAATTCGTCCCCAGTCCCCTCTTGTCCGGGAAGGGCAATCTCAGCCGTCCCATAGCGCCGGCCCTCAGCCGACCAACACATCACGCCACAGCGCAGCCCCTCATAAGCACCGCCCCTCATAAGCATAGCCATTACAGCACCGAAACCTACAACAAACACTCACCGGCGGCCAAACCGCCGGCCTCGCCCTCCGCCCGCGCCCGCGCCCCGCCCCCTCCAGCCCCTACCGCTACCCCTTCCGCCACCGCCACCGCCGCTACCAGCTGCGGCCGCACCTCTTCCGCTGCCGGCTGCCGTACCCACCGCAGCCCCCGGCCTGGCGAACGCGCCAAACACACCCGCCGCTGCCGCTGCCGACGCCGTTGTGGTGGTGTCGCCGGCCGCGGCGGCAGCAGATGCCGCAGCTCCCCGCCAGCGGGCTGCGGCTGCGGAGGTTGCTCGGGCGGTGGCTGCTAGACCTTGACGCTGGGCTAGGAAGTCATCCTGTGGCGGGCGGGGCGGGGCGGGGCGGGGCGGGGCGGGGCGGGGCGGGGCGGGGCGCAGTTAGGGGCGTGTGGCGAGAGGCCTCGAGGAAGTGTGCACGCAGGGTAGTCCGCCTGCATTGTCCGCACGGCGACCATGGACGTGAGATGTGCCATCAGAAAGATGTGCCACCCCAAGCGGGCCTTAATGACCTTCCCGCCGTGTACATGACACGTTGACAACTTGTTGTGGCCATTCAAGCTGAAGGCAGCTATAGCCCTGGCCCCATCCCAATGCATTTCCATGATTGAATCCCCTCCCCTCCTTTCCTCCGAGTCGCCCGCGCCCGCGTCCGTAGCTTAGCTTCCTCCGAACCACATCCCCAGTGCAGCCTTCTTCCCTCGCTTGTGCATACGTTCCCTAGCTCCTCCTTGTGCCCTCTGACGTACACCTCAACCCCCCCCCATCCTCGTGTACGGCACTCACCAGAATGCCGTCAGCATCCAGCTCCGCGCTGTCCATCCCAGCAGATAACCGTACACCGCCTCCTCCTCCAGCTCCTCCTCCTCCTCCCCCTGCTCGCGTCGGCCCCGCTGCTCGCTGGTATCCCCCGCCCCCTCCCGTGCCAGATCGGCCGCCACCGCCCATGCCGCCCATGCGGTTGGCGCCTGATGCCATCCCAGCCGCTGCCGCCATTACCAACGCAGGAGCGGGCACCGGTTCCGGACCTGTTGCCATGTGCCCCTCCCCTGCTGCACCTTCAAATCCCAGATCCGAACCGAAATCAAGATCCACGTCTGCGTCTCCAACCGCATGGTTACTCATGGACAAGTAATTTCTGTGCCCCGCACCCAGCATACCACGCTGCTCCGCCTGTTGCTGCTGCTGCTGCTGCCGGCGCTGATAGGCGTTTCCGCCGCCGCTGACACTGCCACCGCCCCTGGCGGCGGCGAATGAAGCCGGCGTGCGCATCGCAGCCCCCGACAGCCCCCGCTGACGCTGCTGTTGCCGCAACAACCGTTGTTGTTGTCGTACTCCCTCCGTATCCATCGCATCAGCATCCTCAACCGAAAGCTCAAGGGCGTCTAGTCCTGCTGGACCATGCGGGCCAGCAGCCACCGCCGTCCTCGCACCGCCGCCGCCGCCACTACCTTCAAACGCTCCTTCTCCGCCGTACCGTTCGCCGTACACCCCAACCCTGCCGTACATGCTCCCTGCAGCTCCCGCCATCACCCCATCACCAACCTCCACCTCATCCACCTCATCCTCCCAAGCAGCCGTATAGCCGCCTCTGCCAGCCACTCCTCCTCCCCTTCCTCTTGCTTCTCCTTCGCCACCGGCCATGCCAAGGCCAAGGCCTCCTGAATTGGTGTTTCTAACCGCCGTGCCCATGCCCCTTCTTGCAGCAGCAGCAGCAGCAGCAGCTCCCCCCACCATGCCTCGGGCAGGGGTACGGAAGGATCCAGCCGCCGCCATCTCGTCGTCCTCATCCGCACCCGCCAAGACGCCGGGATGGAATGCAGGAAGGGCGTTGGCAGGAGCAGCAGCAGCCCCGCTGTCATCGTCTAGGTTCATGTTGATTGCCTCCAACATCTCGGTTGGGTCGTAGCTTCCTGACAGGGGCTGCTGGTGGTGGTGGTATTGTTGTTGCTGCTGCTGCAGGTGTGGCTGTCGCTGCTTTTCATGTTGCTGTCGTATCTCGTATGGCTGCATGGACGGCACATCATCGTAGCGCGATGCCCCCAAATGCTGCCGCTGCTGTTGTTGTTGCTGTTGGTGGCAGGAATACAGTTCCTCTTGCTGCTGCTCTGGCTGCCAGACCCATGGGTCACCTTGTTGCTGTTGTTGGTAGTACTGTCGCTGCCGTTGCTCTTGTTGCTGCTGCCGCTGCTGCTCCAGTAAACGCTGCTGCTGCAGTACGCGCTGCTGCTCTTGCTGTTCCTGCGCAACCCCTTCCCGGTACTGCCGTACAGCCATAAGATGCGCAGCCAGCATTCGTCCGCTCGTACGCGGTATGTACGACAACACCTTCCGTACGGACTGCACCGCCGGCGGCAGTACGTACGCAGGTCCGCTTCCTCCTCCGCCTCCTCCTCCTCCGCCGCCGCCGCCGTTTCCCTCTCCTCGCGCCTCCGCCTCCGCTACCCCAGCCTTCACCGCTTCCACAATCGCCGGCAGCAGCAGCTGCAAGGGCAAGCCCGTCCCTAGCAGCAAGGCAGCACTCAGCGGGTTGAGGCATGGCGTGGCGCACAGTACGGCCTCCGCTGGCGAGGGATAGTCGTACAGCGGGGCGAACGGCGGCGGCGGCGTCTCGTTGCCAGACGCGGCGGAGGCGGCGGCGGGGGCGAGTGTGACGGCGTTATCGGCGGCGAATGCGGCCGGGAGGAGCGGGCGTCGGCACTCGGCATCCAGGATGTTTAGGACAGCGTGCTAAGAGGGGAGCAGAGGAGATGGGGTGAGGGGCAGGGGTTTAGGGGCCTGAAGCAGCGTTTAGAGGGACAGCAGGTCAATGAAGCAGGTTGCTGCTTGGCACAGCCGTGGAAGGCGGCGGTGCGGGTGCGGGTGCCGGTGGGTTGTCCCGTTGTCCAGGGCGTGGAGAGGATTGGAAAGCAGGTTCGGGAAGCCCCCGGTAGTAGTCAGCCACAATCGCATCGCACCACCTCTAGCTCCGACAACTGCTCTCACCCTTCCCCACAGGGTAACCTGCATGGCTTGCATGTTGTATCGCTGCATGTGCGCTGTTGCCCCCCCCGCCCACATAAACACATCTTCCGACAATCCAGTACGTTCCGACTCGCGGCCATTTTATTTAACACACGCACACACACCTCGGCTCCTGTGGCGTTTCTGTGGGGACTTCATCTTCCGGCTATCACAGTACGTTCCGACTCGCGGCCAGTTCTCTTAACACACACACACACACCTGCGTCGCCGCCTCGCCGCAACTGGTCAGCAGCACCAGCTGCAGTCCCGCCCGGACCGCCGCCGCATGCAGCGGTCCTGACCTCCGCACCAGCTCCCTCGTCAGGGCCGCCGCTGCCGCTACACCACCGCCGCCGCCGCCGCCACCACCACCGCCGCCGCCGCCGGTACCTGCACTTGCCGCCGCTGCTGCTGTTGTTACGGTTGATACCTCGAACACGACGGTAACCCGGCTGTAGCGCTGTGAGAGCTGTAGCACTCGATCGCGCATGGCCGGTAGCAGCATGTGGACCAGGGAGGACACCTGGGGGCGGGGGGAGCCAAGAATGCTTTGAACAATCATAGAATAATTATATATGGTATATAATAACACTCACAAAGAGGGGTTGCGGAGCCAATAACGGGGACCGGGGGCGGGGGAAAGGGATCGAGGAGCTCCCAACTACCCGCTGACATACACCTGGAGCCATTACACGTCCCGCATGCATGAAGCCCACAAGCATGCAAACTCTCAGCACTGGGTGGCTAAAGGTACGGACGCACCCCATCACCACACCAACCCACCTCCGACGGACCCATGGGTCCCGCTGGCGGCCGAAACGGCCACACCGCCAGACACGCACTCGGCGACAGTACGGCATCCGCCAGATCCAAAAGCCGCTCCGAAACCGGTATGCCGTACAATCCCTCGCACCGCTGTACGATGGCGGCTCGCAGGCCGGTTCGACTGCGCATCACGCCACTCGGCACGGCGCTCATTACTAAGCAGCCGCGACCGCCGGCAGCTGCGGCGCCGCCGCCGCCGCCGCTGACGGCCTGAGTCGTGCCTTGCGGGTCAGCAAATCCTGGGGCCGGGGCCGGGGCTGGAGCGGCTGCAGTTTGGGGGACGGAGGTGACGTGTGATGTGGGCACGTGCGACGACGCCGCGAGGGCGATGGAGGAGGTACTCCCGGGGGTCAAGTGTATGGGGGTGGGCCGCGCTTGCGGCTGCTGGGTGGCCGCCTCTGCAGCTGAGGCAGCCTCCACCTGTTGCTGCTGCTGTTGCTGCTGCTGCTGTTGCTGCTGCTGCTGTCGCTGTTGTCGCTCTTCTTGTTGCTGGGATTTCGGGATTACATGCCGTTGCGGGTGGGAGGAGGGTTGGGACTGCTGCTGCTGCTGCTGCCGCAGCATTGCCTCAGAAGCAGTGTGGGCGGTTGCTGCTGCAGCTGCTGCTCCGGTTGCTGCTGCTGCTTGTGGCAACGCTGCCGGGGGTGTCGCAGCGGTGTTGGCTGCTGTGGTGGTTGCGGTGGGGTTGGGATCGGCGGTGGATCTGGCGGCGGAGGGAGGTGGCTGCGGCAGGGTTGCCTCACGGAGGCGTCGTTCGGAGGGTTGCCGTGTGATCAGCAGGTAGCTAGGGTGGGAGGGAGCGGGAGGTGCGTGGGCGGGTGCGTGTGGTACAACAGCACGGGTGCGTGGGAAGGGGGGGAGGGGGGGAGGGACATGGGGTGGGGGGGGAGGGAGAGAGGTAAGTGGTCAGGACTCCGGGGAGGAGATCTTCATTGTAAGGGAGTGACAGAGAAGGCTGTGAAGAAGGAGCTGCTGTGCGTGTGCGATGGTTGAAGACAAGTACAAGGATGCGTCCTGAAATATCTAACATTCTATCTATCCTGCAGGTAGACAGATGCCGGACAATAGCCATGTGTCGCACACGTGTTGCTGCTACGGGTGTGCTGTTGTGTCGCTCATGCTGCCCCACTCATCCTGACAGCCCGTCATGGAGCCTACCGCGGGCTGTTTGTTTGCAGTCCAGTTAACACGCAGTGCAGCACGCAGGCAGTCCAAACGCCGCTACATAGCACAGTCGCAGCATACTGGATGCAAAGACATGGCCCTGCCACACACACCCCTGGCAGCAGTGCTCAGCTGTGTTTGAACACACACACACAGTCTCTTACCTGTCCGCATTGCAGTTCCGAAGCCGCTCCGGAACGCTCCCCCACTCCACATCACCCACGTCTTCATGCTGAGGGGCGCCCACATCGGCATCAGCGGCGGCTGAGGCAGCGGCTGTTTGCCCCGCAGCAGCAGCAGCAGCAGCCCCCCACGAAGAAGGCCGGTCGGGAGCCATGATGATAGCCGCATGGAAGGCTGACAGCGGGAAGGCAGCGCATGCAGACGTGCCGTGGCTCACAAACAGGCAGCTGCCCGGCTGTGGGAGCGAGCGGGTGGGAATGGGAGGGGCAAGAGGAGACGGGGAGGAGCAGTGTGAGAGGCAGTGGTACGGTAGCCACAGCAGATCGCAGGCCCGAACACTTCACACTCCACACTACCGCAGTCTGCACCAACAGCCTCCTCCTCCCCAGCAGCCTACCTGTGCCGCTGCCTCCACCTGCTTCCCCAGTCGCTGCAGCTCAGCCGCCGCGTCCTCACCACCACCCGTGTCAGCATCCCGCTCCTGCTCCCGCTCCTGCTCCTGCCCTCCAGCCACGTCTCGCTCATTCCGGGTATCACCCTTGCCGCCACCGCCTCCACCGGTAAGGCGGGCACCTGTTGCACTCTTAGCCGCGGACGATGATGATGATTTCAGCAGCGCACTGGTTAGGGCTTGTGGCAGGTGCGCACACCTGAGTCCCGCTGCTTGGACCGCAGGGTACAAGGTGAAGAAGACCCGTGGGTCGGTGACGATCATGACCCGCGGGTCGGCCCGCGTCGCTTCAACTGCCGTCAGCAGCCGCCGTACGCAGCCCACTGCCGGGTGGTCCGAAAGCCATGCCGTAACACCTTCCGCAATCCCCTCCTTCTCCCCCTCCCGATCTCCACGCCCCTCCTTGGCCTTCAACACCTCTCCACCTCTTTCCCCGCCTCCGCTCCTCCCGGCGTCTCCACCCTCCTCGCCCACGCCCTCCTCCACACGTCGATACGCCGCCTCCAGCTCCTCCGCTGCCGCCCCGCACAGATGCCGTACCCGCGGCAGCTGCCGAGCCAGCTGACCCAGCGCCAGATGGGCGGCCCTGGGGGACGGAACGACAGGGATGTAGGCAATATGGAAGGGCATGGAAGCGACATCCGGACAGTACCGTATCACGACAACGGTCGTTCAACTCATTGCTGCCAGTAATGGCATGGAAGCGGTGAGGGCAACAGTGAGGGCAGCAGTGAGGGCAACAGTGAGGGCAACAGTGAGGGCAACAGTGAGGGCAACGGGAAGCGGGCGAGTCAGGTAGCTCCAGGACCTCCCTCGTGCACCTTCGCACGTTCCCCTTCGCAAGCCGCCCTAGCACCTTCTAACCTTCCCTCCCAGGTGCCGCTGCATGCACCGACTGCTGCATGCACGCCCAGGCGCTTGAATGCGCATGGATGCCCGCCTGCCTGATGCCCCTGATTGGATGACCATATAAAGCGCTTCCCAAGCACAGAACGCGTGTGATGATGTACCCAACCCGACCCAACCCAACGTCCCACCCCGCCTACCTGACCCCCCAGTGTCGAAGCGCCACAGCGGCCTGCCTGAGGCCCAGGATGGCCACGTACACCTGCAGGCGTGTAGCGGTGCGGGAGGGGTGTGGTGTGGTGGGAGGTGCGGTGAGCGGGTACACAAACAAGTAAGGTAGACGTCGAAAGGGTGGGGAACGTGCCCAGTGAGGTGAAACGAGGTGGGAGGACACCGGTACTGGTGGGGATACGTGTACCGCGTGCCACACGCTAAGCTACGATGAACGAAGTACGACAGTACTTGGTGGGAATCATCAGTATTGGAAGAGCCTCGCATTATGCACGATTATGCCGTGCTTCATCTTTATATACATGTGCCCTTCCTTACACTCCTCTACCGGTATCTTGGCAGTATCCTCATCTTTCCCATCACAGCGCACCTGCAGGAGCGCTTTTTGAGCCGGCGGGATCGCCACCACTGCCGCAGCCCTCTTCCCTGACGCCGCCCCCCCTTCTGCATGCTGCTGCTGCTGCTGTTGTTGCAGTTGCTGTAGTTGTTGCTGCTGCTGCTTCAGCAACCGGCGATGTCGCCCCTGATAGCCAGCTATGAGGCGCTCCATGACCTCTGCCTGCAGGGAGGGAAGGCAGGCGGGCAGGCAGGCAGGAGAGGAGGGGTGGGAGGGTGGCAGGAGGGACGCAGTTAAAGAGCCGCAGTGCCCAGGAGTGGGGTTGAGTGGGGCCCGGAGTGGTGCAGCAGCAGCAGGACTGCATGATCCGTAGTACCGTAGTACCGTAGCACCCCGCGAACGATACCGACTACTGGGCAGAGCATGTGCCTCTCAATCAGTTAGGGACAAGGCGTTCAACTACCAGTCCACAGTGTCATGCACGCATGCCCAGTTGCCCACGCACACAGGCATACCCATACGCCCCGCCCCACACCCTCCCCCAACTCACCTCCCAGAGCCCCGTCTCCACCACACAGGCATCCACAGCCGCTGCCGGGCCCTCTGACGCTGCTGCTGTCTCTCTCTCTGCCGCTGACGCTGACGCTGCCGCTGACGCAACCAGCTGATCATGCGCCTGACTCAGCAGCCCCAACAACCGCACATGCTGCCCCTCCAATTCCAGGGGCACAAAATGACGACCCACGGGTCGCTTGCGCTCCTGTTGGCGCTGGAGCCCTGGGGGCACCGGGGCCTCAGGATCTGACGGAGGCTGTACGGCATTAGTGGCAGCAGCAGCCACCGGCGCCGCTGCTGCTGCTGTTGCCGTTGCTGCCGTACTTCGTACTGCCGTACTGGGCTGCTGTACGCGCATGAAGAACTGCAACTCAGCGGCTCCTTGCAATTGCAACTGCTGCTGCAGACGTGACAACGTCGAATTACCGACGCCGGCGCTGCTGTTGTTGTTGCTGGTGCCTTGTCGTACGTCGGCGTCCGCCGCCGGCGCTGCCGCAGTTTGGGCTGCCGCTGGCGCCTTGTTAGCCGCGGCTGCTGCTGCAATGTCAGGGAGCGGAGAGATCCCTGGTGCCGCCGATGCCATGAAGTGCGGAGAGGTCTTCCCGGCTGCCGCGGTGCTATCGTCGTGGCCTGGTCTTGCAGCGGCGGCGGCAGCGGTCGCAGAGGCGACGCTACGGCCGTTGTTACCGGTATGTAATGGCTTCATCATAGCTTGAAGCGGCGGCTGCGTTACCGCCGTCGGCCTGGGGCCATCGGCGGCTGCCGCGATCCGCGGCCGCTTGGCTGCATGCATGCCGCCGCTTCCGGCACCTTCCGCCGCCTCCATTGTTGCTACTACCGCGACCTCCGGAACACCCTTTTCATGACCCTCAACCGCTGATGCATCTCCGGTTGCCTCATCGGCCAATGACTTCAGCTCGTGCTCCTGCTGACGGATGCGTTTACCGCCGCCGCCGTTACCGTCGGTAATCCTCGGTACGGCATTAGCCTCGGTACGGCACTTGTCGCCGCCGGTGCCCACGGCCACTGCAACACCTGCAGCAGCTGCCGCCGCCGCCGCCGGGCTGGCTCGTACGGCTTCTTCAGCCAGCTCCGTCGCGGAGCCGGAAGCCGATTGTCGCACAGCTGTCTTCGTACCGCGCCTCAGGTCGCCTCCGCTGGCGGAGGCAGCGCCCGCTGCAGCGTCAGAATTTACTCCTCCTGCATGGCCGCCTCCGCCTCCGCTGCCAACACCACCTTCACCTTCAGCGGTAAACGCCAGCGCCTTACATTGCATCCTCCGGTGGAGGCGCAGTGCACCCGCACCTGACCATGCAGCACAATCCGCGCAACGCGCCGTACTGCGACGGAAGTGATTCCAAGTACGACACGTGACAGCGCTCCATGCTGACGCTTCCGTATAGCTGCTGCCATCCTGCCGCCGTCGCAGCCGTTCGGTCAACGTCGTCGTTGAGGAGGAAGGAAAGCCTGGTGGAGACGGAGTCCTTCCTTCTCCTTCTCCTCCTGGGCCTTCTGCTGAGTGCCATTTTCGCTTGCCCGCGCTTCCAGGCGCTCCTGCAGCTGCTGCGCCTGTCGCCACCGTCGGCGGCAGCGGCACTGCCGTCGGCGCCAGCAGGTTCCGAAGGAGAGCTGCGGCGCCAACGGTCCGCTGCGCTGCCGCCGCTGCCCTGGCGTTGCCGCCGCCGCCGCCGGCTGCTCCTGCTACCATGGACACGCCGGCAACGACTGACCAATCCAGATACAAATCAAGATGCGCCGTAGCGGCTGCCGTACAACCCAGATCCGCGATTGCACTACGCAAAGCATGCGGAGCCGACTCCGCTGCATCGGCGGAAGACCTGTCGTACTCGTTGTCCGCCGCCGTCGCCCCTCCAGCGATGGCGCAGTTCAAGTTGCGTCCGAAGGTGTTGGGGAGGAGCACCACCGGAAGCGTCCGTACGGCAATCCCGCCGCCGCTGCCGTCGGCACCCTCATCATCTAGCTGCAGATCCGCCGCAATGACATCCTCAATGCATGCGGGCGCGCGACGCCGAGTCGTTGCGGCGGCGCCGCCGCCCTCGACGTCAGCATGCGCCGTTACGGTCAACGTCTCAGTCGCCGTCAGCGATGGCGCTGCCGCCACCAGCTGTGGCCACGAGGGTACTTGTCCGGCGGCAGCGTCGTACAGGCTAGAGGCTACCAACTGCACGGCAGATGGCCCTTCGTACTGCAGATGCATCGGAAGCTCCAACAACAGCAGCGGCGACGGCGGCGGCGACGAAGGGCCCGGCGACGACCCTTCTGTCTTCCGTACATGCACGGTAAGTCCCCCTTCGTCCCCGCCGTGCCTGTCTGCTCCCTCCTTCTCCTCGTGAACACCCAGATCACTCTCGTTAGCGGCACCCAAACCCGCCACGCTTCTGCCCCGGGCGCCGCCATTGATCCCGCTAGCGCATCGGCCGCGTCCGCTGAAGCCGGCGGCCGCCGCCGCGGCTGCCAGCAGCGTGCTGTGACGGAGCAAGCCCGCAATCAGCGGATCCGCCTGGCCCCGAGCGAGCCGTACCGCGGGGCGAGTGGCGACGGTGGCGGCGGCTACCCTGCCGGCGGGGTGGCGGCGGCGTGTGCGAACAGCGGCTCGTACCATCCGACTCAGCAAGGAGCCCACGATACCGGCCTTGCCCCCGGCGTGACTGAGGGCTCTGCTGCCGCCACTGCCTCCGTCCACGGTTGCCTTGGCAGCGTCCAGGGTTGCAGCTGCTTTGGAAGCAGCAGCAGTAGCGGTATCAGCAGCAGCAGTAGCAGCAGTAGCAGTAGCGGCGGCGGCGGGGCTGTGAATGGGTGCAAACGCAGCTACAGCTGGCGGCGGCCGGCGCTCGGGCGGTGCCGACGGCGCCGCTAGCGGCAGCGGCCGCAGCTGCATGCGTCGCTCGGCCTCCCTCGCCAGACCTGGCGGAAGCGACAGGGCGTTGCTGCTGCTGCTGTTGCTGCTCCGTTCCGATTGTCGTACAGGTCCCGGTTTCGCTGCACTCGCGGTGCTGCCGCGTCGTCCGGTTGCCGACGTCAGCGCCAAGGCCGCGGCAGCTGCCCCGCCACGAGGACTAACGGCCGTCGCTTCCACGTTGCCCTCCGTTAACCCCTCAGCCTCCGCTTCAACATCAGCTGCCACACCCAGCAGCTCCTTAACCGCTTCCGCTGCCGCAACAACCGCCGCCGCTGCCGCCGCCGTCGCTTTCGCCACAGGTCTATCCACCACCTCTTCGCCCCCCGCCGCTCTGGCATCCACTTCGCCCTCTTCTGCCGCTTCTGCTGCTGTGCACCCCGCCGCTAGAGCTCCCTCCCGCCCCCTCCCCGGCGCCCCCGCCTCCTCCAGTCGGGGGCACCTGCCCAGCGGCATCCGCCTGACCAGGGGAACACCCAGCGGCGGCAGCGACAGCGACAGCAACCCGTCGTCGTCGTCGTCGCTGTCATTGCCGCAGACGCTGCTATGGCTGTCAGGAGGCCGCGGCTGCTGCTGCTGCCGGTGCCGTCGCCGCCGCCACAGCGGTAGCAGCAAGCTACCCGGCAGCGGTACTGCCGCTACCGCCGCAGCTGGCGTGGATGGGGCGCGCGGGGGTGCGACTTGCTCAGCCCCTTCTGCGGCTGCTGGCACGTTTGTGGGCACCGTTGTATGGGGCGAAGGAGTACGCTGGGGCTGCAAGGAGGCGGCAGCGGGTGGCTTAGAGCGACGGACGACGGCGCCGAACCCGGTGCCGTACATGGCGGCAGCAGTGCAGCTTTCGCCGCTGCTAGCGTCGCCAACACCGGCGCCGGCGCCGGCTGCACTGGGTAGCTTTGACCGGTCAACTCCATGCGGCTCGTGAGGGTCGGGGATGTTTGGCAGAGGTGTCGGGACAAGCGCCTTGGACTGTCGCATTGACAGGGGCAACAGGATGGTGGCCAGGGGGCGATTAGAGATTGGTATGTGGGGAGTACGAAATGCAGAGACGCCGCTGTGGTTGAATATGCAAGAGTGCGACTGTGTCGTACAGCACATAGGTGAACGGCAGTACCACAGCCGTTTCCCCCCAATACACCCCCTCTTAACACTCCTCCTCCCTCACCATCCCTCGCTGCAACTTTAAACCTACGCAACCGTGACAGCAGCAACGGTGACCCACCAGTGCTTCAGCGACACCGGACGGCTCCAGCTCCACCACCCGCCTCCGCCTTTCCGCGCTCCTTTCTACCGCCAACATGCCCCCCTCTTTCCCCTTCCCTTCCTCCTCCTCCGCCGCCGCTGCTGCCTCGGCTGCCCTGGCTTCCCACCGCATCTGAACAAAGATCTCCCGTGGCCCGCACTCCCACTCCCTTCCAGCGCCCACCTCCACCGTCCACCTGCCGCTGCTGCCTCGGCTCCCACTGCTGCTGCCCGCCCGCCCGCAGCCAAAGTACCCCGCCTGAGACCCGCCATGAAGCGCCGAGCCACCAGCACCAGCAACCTGACATGAATTAGAACTATCCGCTTGGATCGTGTACGGATCCACTGATGTCGTACGGCCCGATCTGGGTCGGGACCCTAAAGGCCCACTGGGTTCACGGTACTGGACTGCCGTCGCGTGGTCAGCCACAGGACCGGCGTACGGCTGAGAGATGTTGGGCTGGAGGTTGTTGGGGTGCGGAAGCCAGGATGTGCCGTCGACCTCGCGTTCTGGCCCGTGTGTAGGAAACTGGGCGGTGCTGTTAGCGGTCAAGTGCTGGGGTTGTTGCTGGGGTTCTAGCCGTTGACCCAGCAAGGGAACGGTTTGGCTGTAGGAGAGTGACCGCAGCCTACAGAGGCCAAAAACAAGCGCCCGGGTCAAGCCAAACGTAGCTGAAGTGTTTAGTGGGTCGGATGCCTGAGGAGCAGGCTGGTGGTATGCGCGAAAAGCCCGACATGTCGCTACGTCGCGGATGCAATTTGGCTGGACGGCTGACATTACCGCCTCCGCTGCCGCCCTACTGCATATCCGTATGGTCTTCGGCTTCAGCAAGGTATCCATGCCAGGCCCAACTGATGCAGCCTCTCTCGCGAACTCCAATGCTGAGGTAAGGACATCGGCGTTGCTGTCATTTGTGGGTAGCTGAGGAGCAGCGCCGAAAGGATTTCCAGGTGATGACTTCACTGGTGCTCTTGTTGGTGGTAAGCGAGGTATCTGCTCACGGTCTGCGCTTAACCGGTCCTGTACATAGTCCCGCGGACCATTGAAGCTTAGCGGCGCACCAAAGCGCAGCATCCCAAAATCTTTTGGGTCATAAGGCATATTACAGTAACTACCTATTTCATTTAGGTACGCCAAGGCCAGGTAACTAGGCAAGGCGAGGAGGAGTCGCAATCCACTGCCCCGAAACCATGGTGAAGCAGGCGCCAAAATGTCCGTCAGCCTTCTGTCCGTGTCAGCCTTCTGTCCCAATGTCCGTCAGCCTTCTGAAGAAGACGTTTCCCCCAATTTTGATTCCTAAAATTTTTCATTGGAGTGTTACCGGAAATGTCTACAAAGGCGTTGTGGGCATGCAGTCTTCGCGGTGGGGTAGCCAGGCACTTCCCTGCCGCTAATCTCTGACGCCGTACATGAGTAATTCATAAGGTTATGTGTCTCTTCCGCTGAATTCCTAATCTGCCGTTTCTCTGCAAGCTTTTGACGGGTTGAATCCTCACCCTAGACAGCTTATTGTACTGCTAAGAAACCAAGCCAGGGTTAGCGGCCATTACCATGGCGAGCAGGTAGCTCTCAAGGTACATATTTGGGACTTGCTACCACTAACCTACAATCAGCACCACTGTCTTCACGCTTGAGTTGTCCACTTGCGCAATCGAGAATTAGGATGAAGGAAGGCGCGTTTCTATCCTAAAGCTCAACGGGAAGGGGAAGGGGGCGACCGGGAGTTGGCGCAAATGGATCTAGTGGGCCTTACACACTCAGCGGGATAAGCCTAGGAGCGTAGTCTCGGATTGTCTATGTGATATGTCCGGCGTTTCTTTAGGCATGGGGCCTTACGGTGGTTTCCGTAACAGGGTACAGCACGAGAAATTTGATACTAATGTCTTCCACAGGGATACGACTGCACGTCAGGCACAGGAACGCATTGCATTAGGAAAGGGGCTTAGGCGCCATTCCTGAACGTACCAGCTAGTTCCGTAGGAAGAACGCACATTGGGCCGCACGTGCATGGAGCTTTCAGGACACGTGGGACATCTATTGGGCAGTACAGGGTAAGACAAGAGCCACGTAACAAGAGTCACGTAACCTGAACGGTTTACACTGTAATAAAGTAGCTCGACAGCTACTGTGAACTGGCTTTCCACATGCACACAACAAGGAGTGCAAAGCAAGTGGTAAATTGATTTTCAGCTATCCAACCAAACAAGTGGTAGGATTCCTCATCATTAGCTATGAATTCCCCAAAGCTGCCCCAACGCAGCTATGCACTCGGAGCCTCCAGATACCACAACCCTGCAGATATCCAACCCAGCTCCTATCATTCCAAACCTAAGCCATGAATCCCCAACCTGCCCCCAACCCTACCACAAGTAACAGAGATCACAGCAACTCACTTCGGTTAAGGAGCTTAGACCTCCCAACCGACTAATAACCCACTGGCAAGGAACTGGTAAATAACTGCGGTCACAGCAACGAACTTCAATTCAGGTGCCTAGGCCTCCCAATCGACAGAATTTCGTCTGGCAAAAAGGGGCTGGCATGGAAACTACAAGTACTACAAATAGGCATGGAAACTGCAATTTACGGCAGAAGTAATGCGAATACGGATCAGCAAACGGCCTTGCATAATAGCTCGCCATGCATCGATGTGCGGCACGTGTGCCGACTACGGCGCACTGCAGTGATGCATGCTATTGCAGTACAAAGCACGCAAAACGCTGCAAGCAATATTGATTGATTGCGCCTCCTGTTAAACAACACGAACTATGGTAGTAGAGACCTCGCAGCGCTTAGTAATGAGATGGACAGGTTCGGGCTGTTTCAATGGATCAGTGGATTCAAAGGTCAATCACGAGGGAAAGGACAATCATGAGGGAAAGGACAATCACTAGCCAGTTCACTCATTGCACTCTATGAACAGCACGCAATTCTAGCCAACACACAACGCCACGCAGGTGTTGGGCTTTCAATTCACGAATATATCAATATTTCAGATATTGTCGTTCTGATTTTTCTGACAATTGTCATTCCTAGCGGATACCGCCGAGCGAAGACTGTTTCTTCCCTTAGCAAGTACGGCCGTCCAGCTTGGGATAGAGCTGCTTGACCCGTCCCCACACGGACTTGGTGACGCCCTTGCAAATGTCATAACCAGCGTTCATGGCGGCCCGGAAGTGCACTCCGCCGTACACGCGCGCGTCCTTGCACTTCTGGATGTACTCCTGGGTGGTTGCAATGGTGATGGAGACGGGCTGCTTGGGGGTGGCGTACGGCTCACGCATGCTGCAGCCCGGCTGGAAGGTGAAGTTGAGCGGCGGGTTGAACTTGTTGGAGTTGGGGTTGCTGTCACCACCCTGCGGGTGTTTCCATCAATTGATGGACGGGAAGGGAAGGGAGGAAGGAAGGTATAACTATTCGAGCAAGGTATTTGAAGCCGAAACAGCTGATTTCAACTTTTCAAGTCAGCATCAGCGGTCCTTTAAAGGCCGCAAACCCCAAGCCAGGCTTCAGCAGCTGATCCATATCGACCGCCCGTGCCGCTCCTGGCTCCTCCCACACCTACCTGCCACAGCTCGATCCACTCGTTCAGCACAGTGCACCAGCAGATGGCGCCCGAGGGGAACTCGGCCTCGTTGAAGGTGGACAGGTAGGGCAGCCAGTCCCTGAGGACGTGAGGAGGGGGGGGGGGGAAAGGACCGGGTAGTTGGAGAGAGCCAGATGGGATATATACGGGTAAAAGGAAGGCACTAACGGGTAGGCAAATGCGGGTACGTAGACGGCCACTTTCTACGGAACCAGGCAGGCAAGCAGGGAGTTGTTGGCGTAAGTGAAGGAGAGTCCGTGGATGGCGGCGCCACGCATGATCGCAGTAACCAGGAGGGAAGCGCGAAGTGGAGTCCGGCTAGCGCTACTCACTTTCCGGGGAAGGTTGTGACGCCCGCATCCACACCCGCGTATGCGGTGACGGTGGTGTCGCCGTACCAGTACCGTACAGCGCTGGCGGGGCGCACTCCGTCGTGGCGGATCTTCTCACGCGCAATAACGCTGGCCTGCAGGTCAATCTGTGTAGGGCACAGCAGGGACAGGACAGGGAGACGTTGCGGAGTTATGGCAGGCACATCACAGAATGCACAAGCGGGTACAACGTGCTGTTTCAATCACAACTCCTAGAGCAGCAACAGGCATGTGCTTCTTTCGAGGAAGCAGTGCTTTCCTCTCCACATATACATACTTTTCTGGTCACGCACCCACACCCCCGCAGCACTCACGTAGATGACGCTCATCAGGTTGAACGCGGCCACGTCCGTGATGCTCCAGCCCTTGCTCTCGCGCAGCTTCTGCACGGTGAAAAGGCAGAAGGGCTGCGGACCCAGCAGCTCAGCCTGCATCTTGGTGGCGTCGGTCAGGGCGGCTGAGAAGCGGAGGATCTCGTCCACCTGGGCTTGTTGGGAGGGGTTGGTAAGGGAGGCATGAGGGGAACGCAGGGGACTTGATAAGGGTTGGGACTTGATAAGCCAGGAAAGTTGTGCATGGGAGGACGTGTGCATGGCTGTTGAATTATGATGGCGAGGAAAGGAGGCAGGGGCAGGGGGTACGACGGGCAAGGCATGCTGGCAGACCACTGACAGAAGACCTACTTCTGGCCGGCTGACCCACCACCCCACACGCAGCGTATGCTGCTAGCCACTCGCCAACCCACCTGGGCCTTGTAGGCGGTGCGGTTGGCGCAGTCCCACATGGGAACGGTCCTGCGGGAGGTCAGATGCCACGCGGTCTGCTATTAGGACTTGGAGGTAGGGTTCAGCAAGAGGGGGTAGGGTTCAGCAAGAAGACGACGTGGATATGCTGTTGTGCAGGGGCCAGGAGCAGAACCTGGTTCGCGTGTTAAAGCAGTGCACAGCTGAAAGTAGCGGTGCCACAATGCCTTGCATGAGGCACAGCAGAGGGTTTTCGTTAAGATGACGAGGTTCACCTCCCATTCATGGCTCCAAGCGCCCCTTATTACCTGGCACCCTCGGCACTCTTGTTCACGAAGAAGGTCGTCACGTTGGGCAGGTACGGCATCATGTGGGTCTGGATCCAGATCTTGCCACGACGGTCCGTCTCTGCGGCACAACAAGTAGCGTGAGGCGTGCGACGTTTAGACTGTCAAAGAAACACACAAACGACTCGTGCTGTCAAGCAGAAGGTGTTGCCCTGAAAATATTAACTTGCCACCCGAACAGATGTGGACGGCCTACGTGCGATAGAGCAAGCAACGGCGTCTAGCCCTTCCTGGCTCTTCCAGGTGTTCAACTTACCGTGCAGAGGCTGCCAGTTGCAGGGGTAGGCGAGGTCCCAGGGGGTGTTCTTGGGAGTGTAGCCCACATAGTCCTGTAGGGAGAGGTTGGGTGCATCATGGTAGGGGTAAGGGGCGAGTACGGTAAGTGTTCGGATGTCGGACCCATGGGTCGGCGGGTATCAGGAAGCGGCATCTCCATGCGGATGCATACATCAACCAAGTCAGGATTATAAGCGCTTGACTGGAAGCAATTTCAAAGCGGCAACCTCTCGCCTTCTCCTTAGCGTCCAGTACATTCACACACACGTACGGTACGTACCGTACCGTACACACGTACCGTGTACGGCGACTTGTTGTATTTACGGCTCTTGGCGCCGTCAAAGTTCCAGCCGCCAGCCATGAACCAGTTGTACGTCACATTGGCTGCTCGGATGCCCACGCACTCTGGGGTGTTGAAGGCTGCCGCGCCGCCGCTGCAGTCGGGGCTGAGCTTGAAGGTCGACTTGCCCTTGGGCAGCGAGTCCGCCAGCAGGGCGCGGGAGGAGGCGCCGAGCACGGGATCCACTAGCTCGTGCATGCGCAGCAGTGCGGCGGCTTGCGCCTTGTTGCGGTTGCGGAGGTTGCGCTGGGAAACGGGGCGCCTGCATTGGGGTTGAGTGCAGGAATGGAGGTCGAAATGGTGGGATAGGGAGTGATGGGGGTTGGCCAGGGCTAGTAACATGATTGCGTGGTGTCCAGAGAGGTTGTAGCGGACCTTGAGACTCCAGTCTCGATGGCGGGGTTGGCGGAGCAGTCATAGGCGGCGATAGCGTTCCAGCTTGCAATGGCCCATGGACTGAGCTGACCAACGTAAGGGTTGGAACCCGTCTGCAGGTGAGAACGGCGTAAGCAAAGTTATCATGACGGGCTCATGTCCACCGCCATAGGGTCGCCATGCTTTCAGCTCTCCATTCGGCAGCGTAAAGGCATCTCTGTTGCTCGGCTGTGCTTGCTCTAGGACAGCCTTGCTTGATAACGCCGTAGAACATAACTCAGACCGCTAGAACGCCTAAACTCGCAAGTCCCGGAGACTGAGCCTACCAACAGAGCGCAGATAGAGATGGTACCGGTACTGCCAAACAAATAACTGACCAATACTGCATGATACACTTACCGCCACGGCTAGCGCGATGATCTGGTTAACGTGCAGCTTATCGAAGACGTCGTACTCCTTATCCAAGTCGATGGGCGAATACGGTGGAAAGCAACTAGCCGGCGGACCTGTAGTCGGCAAGCACTTCCGATTAAGCATAGACCTTTATCCAGGTTCCCACACCCGACTTACCTGGATCCACGAAGTTAGGCACCACATTACCGGGAGGGCCCCATGCGCCAGCGGCCAGGCAGGGCGCACAGGCGCATACGGCGCATACAAAAAGAGCAACTGCAGAGCTAGCCGCCTCGATGCGGCGGCTGTGAGAAACTCTCATGTTTACAAAGGTGGTTACGCTATTTCAGTTGCACCTCTATATCACAGGTCTAAGGAGAGATTACATAGACATCCATTGGCCCTTTATATTAGCATCAATAGCTTTCAAGTACGGGCGTTCATGCCCGTGCAGATCATGTTTTCGTGGCTCGACGGCTTTCCGTACAGGAGTACAGGAAGGCCAGGAAAGGGCACAGAGGAGTGCTGACTGTTATTGATATATACAAGAGCCTAATGTGAAACACTTCTTTCGCTACTTTTATTTTTGTTTTGATTGCTGCCCGGTGTGGCGTTGTGCATGGCTTTTTGTTGCCGCACTTGTCACCCACAGGCTTCTTGTTGCTTCTGGCTCTCGCTTAGGTTTCCTTCAGCTGCACGAGTTAGATGCCCACCGCAAGTCTGTCTAAAGTCGGTCAGTGGCTGGTGGTTGGCGAGAAGCGTCGTAAAGGTGGGCGGACCAGTGCAGCTGTAACCTCAAGATGCAGAAAGCAGTATAATGCTGAAGTGCTAATTACTCGTCCTCTTGTGCGCCCACAAGGCTTGACTTCATACACCAGCAGTATGTTTCAACCCCGATGCCCCGACGCTTAGCGCGATTACTTACGGCTATGTAATCATAAATTTAAACGTATTTACTTGCTTGAGCAAAACAGCTTCTGTGTGTGCGCTGGAAGCCCAGGAGAAGCCCTAACTAACAGCGGTGTTTCACCGTCACTTAATCCTTTTTCGACTCGCTCCCGTTTACCATGGGTGTGGAAGGCAGGATGAAGGTAGATGAGCCTTTCGAGGGCTACCGACGGTAATTGCCGATGGCAGGCGTACCGGTACGTAGGGCGTAGGGCAGCATCCGTCCCGTTTGTTACTGACTAGCACTTTGTCTGGACACGGGTCTAACATTAGGGTAAAACCTGAATCTATCATTACGTCAGGGTCATCAGGGTCTATCATTACGTCATTACGTGCCTATTGCGTCAGGGTGTCGTCGCTTACGAGTACTAGGTACGGTATAGGGCCCTCCCGCCCTACCGCACAACTGTAGAAACCGGTACGGTCAAACAGTAATCATAGCGTTAGGGAGAACCGCGGCGCCGGCCTGACAAGAACTACGAAGACCCTGGGAGCAGCCAACTGTGCTTTCTGCCAGCTCTTGCCAAGGAGCGCCGTTCCGTGCACAGGTGTTGTTGCTCTGGGGTCTGACTGAGCGCGTGTCTTCCTTTCCCTTAGTCTCCGATTCATGCCATCCATTGATAGCGCACGCTCACGCCCCCTGTGTATTGGTAAACAAAGGCTGCATGTCCACGCTCCTTCGGCCACCCACGACAAGCCCTCAGCCCCACTTTCATAACCCCTTCACCGTCCACGGACCCCGCATCGGGGGTAAGCACCCCAAACGCATTGTCGTGCAGCAGCGCCCCAGGACCACCCATTCATGCAAGGACCTCTCAAGTCCGCACGCCTCACGAATGTACTGTCTTGGTTTACCCAGGGTTTACCTAAGAAATTTTGACCAAGCGCAAACGCGGCCAATATTCGCTTCTATTGCTATGTAGAATTGAGAAGTACTGTAGTATAGCAGGCAATGGCTCAGTTGTGCGTTGGGGCGCCGTATGTTTGCATGCGACTTGCTTCGTTCAAGTGGCAAGGCCACCCCAACTGCTACGGAAGGCGTTGACCTTTGTTACATGCATTGGTGCAGCTGCCTAAATGCTATACACATTTAGCGCATGGAACATTTAACCGTCATGGCAAGGCATGTCGGCTGCCGATGTCCTCACCAGCCATGCGCACGCACTCGCCAGCAATAAAACCTCCAGTGGTGCCCCCCAAACGACCTAGCCCACTAGCAACAACGAGGGATTTAGGGTTTTAGGGTTTAAAAGACAATTCGGTGGGTGTTGCGTTGTCGCGCCCCAACACCGGCTTGAACACCTACCGGCACCTGTGTGCGGACTGCACACTCAAGCCGGTGTTGGGGCGCGACAAGACAGCAGCCGCCCGTGCATCCATCTCCCCTCACTCGATAGCTATGGTCAGTACAGTTACACGGCCCATCTTGACCCAACACACTCCTGAGCTAGCATCCACAGAAGGGAGGCAGACGCAACACCACTCACAAAGACAAGCAACAACTTAGATGAAAAATCATGAAGTGATCAAACCTAGCCTCAAAAGACCCCACTCGTGCTCAGTCACGCCGCTCACAGAAGTAGGGAGGGGATGCGAGGGCTTCTCCCGGAGGTGTGCCTCATCCCTCACCCCACAACAATGATCGCTCTCTGCCCTCTGCCTATTAGGCCTGTCAATGCGCGCATGCCGTCCAGAAGTGTTCAGTTGTACAGCCATGCGGCTCAGCTAGATAGCTCAAAATGCTGTACTATGGTTACAAACCAGCAACTAACGACCAACCGGTGCGGCCATGCATGCGCCGGGCCAGTTCACATGTGGCAGGCCATGCATGCAACACACCTCTCTACTGCCGCTATCTAAGTATGCAACAATCATGGCAGCAGCAACTAACCCAACAAGCTTGATGGGGACACGGTAACACGCCCCACGCCAAGGCTATCCTACCCGGCTGCAAGTACGGCACCGCTCCTGCCCCTTGCCGGGACCTTTGTCCTAGCGTGCGTAGGGGGAAGCCCCCACCCAGCTAGCCAGCATCATGACCCCAGCAGCTGCTCCGTGTACCCAATATGCGTCTCTGTCCGGCAGGTCAATACACTCCCTGCACCGCTGTCACCCGGAGCGACACACTCCCTGCATCATGCACACACACCCCAACAAGTTTCTTAACACCCCAACAGCGGATGATACTGCTCGGACCCTGTCCTGCTGATGATCCTTCAACTAAGCCTCCGCACTCCCCCTCCTCCCACCTCCTGAGCCCACCTCCACTCCCTGCCAGCCTGCATGCCTGCATGGGCTCGTAAGAGGTCTCCCTCCCCAGTTAATGATGCTAAGTGGCCAAAACCGCTCAATCCCTTTCAACTGTTGTTTTCCTTGCCACCCCGCACACGCCCATGCACCGGGCGCAACGGCGTTAACTCGTCACTGCTCTACCTCCCACCGAAAGTCCTAAATACCGCCCAGAAGCCACCCATGCAAAGAGAACCCGTGCATTGCGTGTACGGCTATTGTGCGGCAAGCCGCCCGGAGCACACGCCCATATCCCTGCTGACTATATGTTGGATCCTAAACTCCTAATAGTTAATTTTGCCGTACTTCTTTTCCTGGCTCCGAAGTACGTCTTCCAGACTGCCGTACAAGGATCTCTTTGACGCCAGGAAGTCGCTCTTCTTGCGGTTGCTGCGCCGGTAGATCTGTGGTGGATGGTTGTGGCGGTGGCGGTGGTGGAGCCACAGCGGAAGGGCGGAGGGAGGGAAGGGTTGCAGCTTGCAGGGCGGAACGGTTACAAAGTGCGGAAGGGTTGAAGGGTTGAAGCCATTGATGCAAGGGACGTGATGAGAAAGGCGGAAAGGGCAGGGAAAGAGGCTACGTGTAAGCGCTATCTAGAGGACCCGGCGTATCCTTGTGTGCTGTATGTGCGACAAAGAAAAAAGATCAGATGGAACCGAGCAAGGTACGGTAGCCAACCCGCCTGCCAGCGCTCAACCAAACAACACACACCCCATCTGCGTCACAACCCGTAAACGCTGTAGTATTGTGAGCTCCCTGGCCCCGCCCCACCCCCCACCTGTGTCGCCGCCGCCTGCCGCCCCCCGATGTCTATGCTGCTGGTCACTGCCAGCTCGTCCCCCTCCTGGCTGACCACGTACTCCTCCGCCAGCCCGCCAGCCAGGGGGGCGCCCCAGGACAGCTCCACTCGCACACCGCCTGGGGGGGGGGGCGGGGGCGGGGAGGTGAGGGAGCGGGGGCATTGAGGTGGGGAAGCAGAACGAGGGGGGAGGTGGCTGGGAAGGAAGGGAAGGAGAGGGTTGCAGCAGCAAGAAACGAGGCGCGGCGCGGGCATGTGCATGCGCGTCACGTTTGGAAGCGTTAACACGCACGTGTGAACCCACGTGCACATGTGCAGACAGCACGTATGCCATCTGGGGGGTGTTGTGGCACCAAGCTACCCCCGCTAGGTCTTCCTCTCTCCTACCTAGTCCCTAGTCCCTCCCCTGGAGGCACCACCCCACCTGCAAGCCACCTCCTTCCGCAATCCAACGCATGGTTTACCTTCTACTCCTCCCCAACCGCAAGCCCCCCCCTCCCCCGCACGAACCCACCCGGCATGCGTGCCGCCACCGCCGTCTGCTGCCCCGACCTCAGGTCCCGGCGCATCATGGCGCTGGTACCGCGGAAGCGACTGCGCTCCGTAACCCTGCACACGTGCACGTGCATGCAAGCGGGTTTTGAATGCATGCGTGTGGTAGACCACTGGATCAACAAGCAGGGGAGTAACAAGGGGGGCTGCCGGCACTGAACTGCGCAGCGTCTTAGCGGTGTCGTACAACCTGACGCATGGCGCGACGGACACAACTGCTCCTGCGGCGGTTCTGTGGGGACTTCATCTTCCGACATCCCAGTACGTTCCTACTCGCGGCCAGTTTTCTTAACACAACTCTCTTAACACAGCAATCACACACATTGCTACCACCGCTATCCGTCTCGACCACCGCTACCCTGGGCACCCGCACCACCCTAGCACCGTCCGCAGTCCCGCACACACCAGCACCCATGGCAACACCAAGAGCACCAACAACCTCACCTGAAGAACGGTACGACGGTAACAAACCCCACTTCGAATCGCTCCTCGTCATGCAGTATGTCGATGCCGTCAATCAGTCGCGCCGTCACCTTTTGCAGACCTCCTAGCTCCAGAACATCAAGCATGGCCTCGTATTCCTGCGTTTGATTGTACAATTGCGTGATTGCGCGATTGTACGTCATGTATGTACGGCAGTACGGCAAGTACGACAATGAGGAGCTGGTAGTAAGTAAAGGTTTGGCAATTAATGTTTCTCTTGCTCTCTTTGGAAGACGAAGAGACAAGGGAGAGAAGACAAGAAACGCACCGCACTCAGGACTCTGCCTGGTGCGACGTGCACAGGGCCTCTCTCAAAACCCAGGACGGTAATAGTTCCTTCCGGCGCTCACCTGTACCTGGCTTGCGGCCGCATCCTTCTCCCACAGGCCACTCAAGTTCACATCCATGCTCCTGCTAGCCACGAACGACACAGGTAATGTAGATGCCGTACCGCCACCACCACCACGGCCACCGCCTGCCGTACTGCTGACACCGCTTCCCGCGTCATCCACGCTGCCACCACTGGCGAAGCTGCCGGTACCGCTATCCTCGCTCGCACCGGTGGCAGCGGCGGCGGCGGCGGCGGCAGCATTGCTACCCGCTGCAGGTGCGGACGATGCTGAGCCGACATCGCCTGTACTGCTGCTGCTGCTGCCGGCGGCGGCGGCGGCGAGGACGTCATCGTCAACGGAGGCGAAGGACACACCGGGTGGAGGCGGGGGCTGGGCGCCTTCTTGCGGCTCCGGCAGAGCTCGCATGCGGATGTGTTCCCCGCTGCTGGCCGCTACCACCGACGTAGCGGCAGCAGGAGCGGCAGCAGGAGCAGCTGTCTTGCCGCCGCCGACGCCAGCAGCAGCAGCAGCAGCGGACTTTCCGTTGCTGAGGGCGTTGGGGTAGTGGGAGGTGAGGGCGGTGGAGGAGGAGGACGTGGCGACACCGCCGGCGGAGGGTGAGGCGGCGGCGGCTCGCGATGATGGAGAGCCGCTGCGGGAGTTTGCAGCTACGCCGCCGCCACCGCCGTCGACGTCGACGTTGCTGCCTCTTAAGCCAAGCATGGCACCGCCTCCGCCTCCGCCTCCGCCACCGCCGCCGCTGCTGCTGCTGCTGCTAGTCCCTGTCCGGCTGGTAAATACACCCCCGTTTACGGCGCTGCCAAGTGATGTTGGGGGTGGCGTCTGAGGTGGCGCCCAGTTAGATACGGAGGGTACCGGTACCATGTTGCGTGCGCCACTGCCGCTGCTGCTGCTGCCTCCGCCGGTGTTGCCAGCTGCCTTCCCGCTGGCGCCGGCCGCGGTGGCGGCGCCGGGGGTGAGATTGCTGAGGAAGCTGCGGGGGGGTGGGGAGGTGGGGTGCCGGGAACAGCGGGACCGTGAAACTCGGCCGTATGCGGCAGGCTGCTGGGGCGCGAGGTGGAGATAGGCGAATGGTAAGAACACGACGCGCATGTAGAATGATAGGACGCCAGCAAACAGTGTTCCTTGCACAGCTGCGCGGCCCACTGGCGCCTGGCGCATTGGAGCATACCCGTCAGACGCTGACAAAACGGTGACCGATGCAAGCGGAACTGCACCCTACGAACACTGGTGTGACATATGCACATACCACGGTAGAAGACAATTAGGACGAGGACGACAAGAAGCACATTAAGCACATACATGGCACCTGCTCTCGCACCTGCTCACACCCTGTACCGCCGGCGTCACCAACGGACTCAACCCTCGCAACAGAGGCGACGACAACGCCGCTTCCGCAGCCGCCGTCGCCGCCGTCGCGGCCGCCGCCGCCGCTGCAGCGGCAGCAGGACCCGACCCCAGACCCAGCGCCGCCGCCGCCGTCGTTGCCGTCCATGCAGCCCACGGCCACACCGCCTTCACGGGGTGCTCGGGGTTGTCCAGGATGCGGGTGAGGCGACCGTCCCGTGGGTCGGCCCAGTAGACACCCACACCGCGGGACAGCGGCAGTACAGCCCCGTTGAGCTCCACGTGCCTTTGCAGAATAGCGGATGGGATGGGTTGTCGGAGAGAGAGGGAGGGAAGTCGTGGAAACATGCTGAGGTGGCACTACCGGTATTCCCGGCGGTGTTAGTGAGTGGGTGCAACTCGCTGCTCCCCTACAATGTCAAATCCACAGCCGCAGCCAATGGCACCCTGCCGTACTATCATGTCCACACTTCAATGGTCGTCCGCACGCATCCCGTCCCAACAGCTGCATGATCCCGATCAACTTCACTGCATGAGTCGGGATGTGGGATTGGGACTCTAGTTGTTTGCACTTATTATATATTCCCCCCGCTAACCTGTGGTATCCTATGGTTTGGTATGGTCTTCGACCCCGCTATCTGCGCGCACGTTCCCCAACACTGTCCCGCCACCCGCCACCCGCCACCCAACCCACCAGGCCACGCCCGCCTGCAGGATTGGTCCGCCTGCAGCCACCACCTCCACCGCTGCTGGCCCCTCCAACTGCCGCTGCTGCTGCTGCCACTGCCCCTCCTCCACAATACCGGTAGCACCACTGCTGCCTGCTGCTCCTGGCCCCTCTAGGACAAAGATTGCCTCTTCAGGCAACGCAGCTAGGGCTTCTAGATAGAAGCGGCCAACCGCCGGCCTGCCACGCAGGACGCCGAACGAGCAGCCGAGGTTTTCGTACGACACGTCATCGGAGAGGAGGGAGAGTACGGCAGAGACGTCGCGGCGGTTTAGAGCTGCGAAGAGGCTGGGTTGTTGGGGGGCAGCAGGCGGGGGAACATGGGAACATGGGAAGAGGGATATGTTGGGAAGCGGACGGGAAATGGGTGGAGGATGAGGAGCGGCGTGAGTTGGGGTGAGGGGAAAGTGAGTAGCACAATTGTCGTACACAGGGTTAGGGTTAGCCCCTTGACACTCGAGGTGTCTGTGGGCAACGGAGAACGAGGGATGCCTCAACTACAGCCCTGGGGTGAGATAGTGTTGTCAGGACAAAATGCTAAAGCCTCGCGCGTACTTGGCACGGTCATAGCCAACTTCGTTGACGGACCTACCGGTGCAGTTGGTGGGAAGACGCACTAATTACCGTTTGAGTGCTTCGAACCTCCTGAGCTTGTACGGTAACCCACCTGTTAGCTAAGGCAAGCGCGTTTGGAGCTACTTTAGGAGACTCCGAAGCTGCGGGCTGCGCAATTGGATGGGCAGTTGAAGCATTGCCGCTCGCTGTCCCCGCCTGCATTATTGTGCACAGAATGCGAGCATCAGCAAATCGCGTGGCCTTGCGTAGGCATATGCGTATAACTTATGGCGGAAACGCATGGCGAAAGGAGACGTTAACCTGCAGCATGGGTCGATAGACAAAATCGCATCTTACGATGCTTGCCTGAGTGGAAACGCTGAGTTGCACATGTCGTTGAGTCCTTGGCACAGACAGCGAGGTCCTAGCGTAGCTCAGCGCTTGGACATGTCCACTGCATGGGCGGACATAGCATCGCTTGAGGTCCCAAGCCAGGCCGCACCGTCGTCGCAAGGGTTTCCCTTGTAGAGCGTCGAATTGCATCATTTTTTGACCATGTAAGAGGATCGGTGTAAAATAAGGCAACAGACTTTTCAACGCCCAGTATATTTCTAGGTCACGGTTCGCAATAGTGTGGTAACGTGCGACGATAATGGACCAGGAAAACCCATAGAAACTGGCAGCTGTAAAATGCAACGCCCGCCAGGCAACGACTCAATGTACGGTTGATGACTGCAAGAATTCCAAAGGCCTCAGCCTTGGTGGACATCCGAGCACCCCAATTTGCAGATACCTTAATCACAGCTCTCAAAAGCTACAATCTCTAAAAGCGTTCCACTGGAGCCTCCAAAAGTTGGGCGTTCAGCATTGATGCAAAAGCTCTGCGTTCTGTAAATATATTATATAGCCATACGAATAGCGAAGAGCGTCTACTAGGAATCCTTTAGTGAACAACTCACCAAGAATGCAACATTCACGAGCCTCACTTACAACACTACTATTACTGTATGTATGCGTTGCACTAGGGCACTCTTTAGGTGCTCAAAATGTTGATATGCCGACGGCAAGCGCCCCAGCTGCAGCAGCCCAACGTCATGCCAACAACTGGGCGGTGCTGGTGTGCACGTCGCGCTTCTGGCTAAATTATCGTCACATCGCAAACGTCATGTCCATGTACCACGCTGTAAAGCGGCTGGGCATACCCGACAGCAACATCATTCTCATGCTGCCAGGTGTGTGCTTGCGCCATTCCTAACACGATGTTACCCCACCCCAAAAGCCCGGCCCACTAGAACAAGTTTCCCGGACTCCATGTCCCCTCCTCTCCCGCCCCTCCTCTCCCGGCCCTCCTCTCCCGGCCCTCCTCTCCCAACCAGACGACATGGCTTGCAACCCACGCAATCCGCTTCCGGCGCAGCTCTTCAGTAATGAGAGCCGCCGATTGGACGTGTACGGGCAGGACGTAGAGGTACGGCAGCACTCGGGACGCGCCCTCCTAGGGCTGTCGTATTGCCAAGATGGGAGGGTGAAAAGGAAATAAATATTCCCCACCTGAAAGGTGTTCGCCTTCGGCGACGAATAGGGAAGGTGATGATGCCCGGTGCTGCCCGGACGGACAGCACGTGTGTACGGATAGCAGCTTTCGCACTTACTGCTCGCCCACATGCATCCATATCTCCCGTAGGCATGCCTCTTCATACCTCGTTATCGCTGGCTCCCCAACTGCGGTAGCAATCCCATCAGACGATGGTGGTGTTAGCAAAGGCGGAACCGCAGTACCCGACTGCTGCTGCGGCTGCGACCCAACACCCCTCCATCGTCCATTCCAGACCTGGCTTGCAACAGTTACCACAATCCTCTTAGCAACTCTCCACCACCCCACTCCATGCCGTACAGGTGGATTACCGGGGCTACGAGGTGACGGCGGCCAACTTCATGCGCCTCATCACGGGTGGGTCGGTGTGGACCCATGGGTCGGTAGGATCGAGGCAGCGGGACGCGGGACATGGTGAAGGTTGTGTAACTTATAACTGTGTATAAGGAATTGCTCCCAGGCGCTAGCCTTGCTGGCCCATCCCGGACATTCAACAAGCCCAACCACGCATTTACGTCATCCCCTCGCCCATACCCGCCCCTTCACGGTCAGCAGCAGCTTGAGCTCACGCAAACCTACTGCAGCCCTGCCAACTTCCTTGTCTCAACACTTCTTCCCCTCGTCGGTCCTCCTGTCTGGGTCGGAAAGGCCGCCAACCCCGATGCAACCCATGGTGGAGACCATACACACGGTTTGCTGCTATCTACCCACACATTGTGTATATCATCTTCTTCCCCTCCCCCCCTTTCCCCCCCGCAGGCCGCCACCCCCCCGGCGAGCCCCGCTCCCGGCGGCTGCTGTCCTCCGCCTCCTCCCACGTGCTGCTCTACCTGAGCGGTCATGGCGGGGAGGGCTTCATCAAGTTCAACGACGTGGAGGAGCTGCTGGAGCGGGACCTGGCGGAGGGGCTGCAGCAGGCGGCGGAGAAGGGAAGGTGGGGTAAAACGTAGGAAACTGACGAGGGAGGGTGGGGGGGGGAGGAGATGAGGGCCGTGCGTGGCATGGCAGGTGGGGGAGGGGGTCAAGGAGAGGAAGCAACATGTTTTGTGAAAGGAGCCACAGAGGTCGCAAGGCAGGTGGGGAGTGACCAGGCCCGTTGTGAGCCGTTAGCGGTGTTTGGCAGGTAGGTAGGTTGGTACTCTGGGTAGGTAGGGTGGAGAAGAGGAGTTGGTTGGGGTAGGGGAGATTGGTGCAAACGAAACTACCCCATCCCGCGTCCTACGTCCTCCCATCTTCCTTGCACCCGCGTCACTCCGTAGCCAACAGACTCTACTTTACTTGTGGCGTTTCTGTGGGGACTTCCTCTTCCGGCTATCACAGTACATTCCCCCATTGGGTGGGGGTGGGCCAATTGTCTTACCACACCCCCGCCCGCACCCCTCTCTCTCCCCCCTGCCCAGGTACCGCGAGCTGCTGTTGCTGGTGGAGACGTGCGAGGCAGCCACCCTGGTGCAGCGGGTGTCCGCCCCACGGGTCATCACGGCGGCCAGCAGCCAGAAGGGTGGGGGGGGAGGGGAGGAGGCGTGGTCGGGATGGTTGGGTTACATACCGGTAATAGAAGTGGTAACGGAAGCGCCCCGACCCACATGGGTGGACATATGGGTGGTATGTCGTACTCGGTAGGAGACTCCGTTAAGTGCACGTCGTACTGCTTTGGGAGGCAACGGCCCCTCCCCCCTCAAATGAAACGTCCTTTTCCATGCTCCATTCCTAATGCAACGGGCAGCTTGAATTTTTACTCTCGCTGGGTACTAACAACGCCTGGGAAGGATCGCACTACGTACGTACATACACCAGCTGCCCACCTACCGGTGCCGTACTCCCCTCACACATGTTTCCCATCCCCCTGTCACCTTTCCCACCCCCCTGTCACCCGGCATCCAGGTCAGCGCTCTCTGTCGTACAAGAGCGACCCCGAGCTGGGCTTGTCCCTGGTGGACCGCTTCACACACCAGACGCTGGGCTTTCTGGAGGGGCTAGACACCGCCAGCAATGCGACGCTGGAGCAGCTGTTCCGGACGTACAGGTGGGGTTGAGGGTACGGTGGCAGCAGTGGTAGTACGGCACCAAATTGGGTATGAACAAACGCGAACGGTTGGGTGGGGGCAAGTAGGAAGGGGTTTGAGACGGCTCGGAACTGACCGTCTATCGTATCCAGGTATTGCGTCTGCGGTCAGAGATGGGGCACCAAGGGAGAAGAGGGTGGGTCGCGATCTGGGTCGGCTGCGCAACTGGCTCCTTGATATGCCGGGGAGGGGGGATGAGAACAGCGTCGGGCAAGGGTACGGCAAGAGGCGCAGGTCCTATTAACCCTGGGCCCTATTCATATAAATCCCCCTTGACCCATATGGGTCAGGTGGCGTCTGGCATCTCCTTGCTCCCCGCCACCTCGCCCTCGCCCCTGTGGCCTTATCCCCACCCCTTTTCTTTATACCGTACCGACGTTGCGCATCATACCCGCACCCTCCTCAGCTATGACATGATGGAGTCGCACTTCTCGTACCGCATGACGAATGGCACGCGGCGGTTGAGCGACATCCTGTTAACGGACTTTTTTGGGACTGTGGCGGATGTACGAACGGATTCGGAGCGGGCACCGCAGGTGAGAGCGGGAGGCTCGGTGTAGGGGGCTGATGTAAGGGTATGTGGAGGTGTTTGCTACCTTCATGAACAGTGTAATCGCTTGGGGCTTGGGCAAAGCGCAAGGAAAGGTGCAGGAGCATGGGAGGGGAAGTACGAGGATGGGCCGGGCAAAGATTGAGGATGTTCACGTCGTCGGAATCTGGTGTTGGGTAAGTGGTGATTAGGAAGTCGAGGTAGGGTGATGCTGCAATCTGGGTTGGGTTTGTATGATACTGGACTAACTTGATTTGGGTAGGTGACTCACTACGTTGCTCAGGCGTGTATGAAAGCACGAGTATCTAGCATTGTCCAGCATCCTACCCCAGAGGCAGTTGACTGTCTGAACCCGTACTCTCTCTGCCACGGTTCATGGGGCTGGATTACCTAGGCCGGCGTTGATAGTCTTCACTATTTTGGACGAAGTAACAAGAATCACGAACTGCTATTGTTCGAGTGATCTGGGTTAGTCAAGCGGCCGGTTGTGCATATTGAACCAGCGACATGCCCGTGATTGTGTATTCATTGTTCGTGTCGCCCTAACAGGATAATGTGTACCATGGCGACACGAACATGGGCCAATACGTGGCGGGATACCTGGAACAGCTCACGCCATTGGACATCGATGCGGAGTTATTGCGGAAAAGGCCGCAAGGCCAGCTGAAGACCACAGCCACGTATGTTCAATGGCACCGTTTGCCGGTGATACCATGGCAAGCCTATGCCAACTACGGAAGCAGTTTGCTCGCGTTAGTCGTTGTGACGGGGACCATTGTTCGGCTCACACGAACATCGTTGGCGCCTTAATTGTAAGCTGCAGATTGCTTATTGTACGTGGTGCCTCCTTGTTGAAATAAGCGCCTCCGGTTTGTGAAACGTTTTTGAATCCATATGGTTGGTCGGTAACTAAATCCACGGTCGCTGCGAATAAATACCTGGCATCCAGCACACACAGCTATTGTGATCCTATTTATTTATCATCCTGTTTTAAACTTTTCGTGTCTCGTTCGTGCCTACTGTACCGGCATACTTTCCGCCTTCTAGGAGTTGAGCAGCCGATCTGTGTCCCGAAGCAACCCAATTCCCGAAAGTCGCGCTAAACTGCAGCGCTTGGTTGACTACATTCTTCTTGCTCGCGGAGGGCGCTTTTGGCGGATACTATTTCGGCAGAGATGTCGCCAACATGTACCGGTGCAACTTTTCGGCTTCTCTTCCTTGTTATTGCGGCCTTATTATCCTCGGTCATGAGCCAAGGCAGCTGGCAAGTTGGCCGGGTAAGTCTTGGGCAGTTTGCGGCGCGAATCCGCGACATGGCTGACGACGTTTTGATGACGCCCTCCGGTTTCGTCTTATTCGCAGGGAACCATGTATGGTAACGGTAAGATGAACTCTACCTCCTGCGCTTACTAGGAGCCATATGTCCTTTGTTAGCTTGCTGCTAAAGACGTCTTCTCACCATTTGCAGATGGCTGGTCCATCCACCAAGGGTCTTGCGGCTATGGCTACATCAGGTAGGAGTATATGACACGGCGGCCTTTGGCAAAGTGCTGTTTCTTGCGACGCGCATGCTATCCAACACCTTTGAAGCCAAATCGCGAATTCCTGCCAATGCCTTGTAGGCAGGATGAACCGCTTGGCTGGAATGTTGCGGCGATGCCTGACGTGTCACCGGACTATGCGGACTCTTGCGGTAAGTTTCTTTCATGGCATTTGCAGCTCTGACCCATTTGGCCTTGTAGCTTAACCCACCGGATTCGACGCAGGAACATGCTACGAAGTTAAGTGCTACCCCACATCGTTCACTGACGGCTACGGCGCAGTAAGTATGCTGCATCGTACCGTATGGCTACAAGCGTTGTTGGAGTCGGGCATAATAAGCCGATGTGTTTCACTTGTTCGCAGAACCTCGACCGCACCAGCGCGTGCTATGATGCCGACGCTTCACTGATCTTCCGTATCACGGACACCTGCCCCTGCGTTTACCCAGCCAATGCCTACTCTAACAAGCGTTGGTAAGTGCAGACGGGCCATTGCTTTGCGGCTTATTGCGGTCGTCTCATGGTAACGAGGCCACTGGAATATCGCTCCGCGAATACAACACTACTTGCAGGTGTTGCGGCGACATGCCCCACTTCGACCTTTCCATCTGGGGCTTCGAACGGGTGCGTAGCTCTACCAACTCTTCTGACGTACGAGGAGATACGCTCCTACCCAGTATGCCCCTAATGAGTTCCCTCCTTCCTCTGCGCAGCTGGCGAGTACCAAGTGGGGTGTAATTGGGCTGCAGTTCCGGCGCGTGCCCTGCAACTACCAACCCAGCAAGCAAGCCGCGCTGGCCCAGAACCCGACCCCTGGAGAGCAGCCGCCAACCTACAGTAAGCCATATCTTGGAAGCCTTTCCCCCATCTGCATCACGCGTCATGCATCTTAAACGCTTGTGTTTCTTATGTGTAGATACCAAGGCCCCGACGCGCGACTGGCCTGAGCTTGCCAACACCAGCGTCACACCGATCTACGATGGAGGCCTGCAGAGCGGCTGGCAGGATGCAAGCTACAATGCGCTCGCCGGCTCAGGCATGGCTGGCATCAACTTCGGGCAGGCAAAGTGCACGTCCACACAGCCAAAGGTGCGCACAGAGGAGCAGATACTTTGCACCTTTCCGTCAGCATGACTGACAAGATTTTAAAATACGTGCGCAGGGTGCCATCGTCTTTAAGTCCTGGAACAAGGGCGCGTTCTCAAAACACATTGCCGTATCGCTGTACATCTACATGGGCACCAACACAGTGATCGACAAAGGTAGGCATGCAACCACTCCTTCAGCCTGCTGCAGCCGCAATCCTCGCAGCGGTCGTGTATGGAGCGAAGTGCATAACATCTTCATTCTTTGCTGAATGCATGAACCATACCTTGCACCACAAGGTGTCGTCCTAGCCATCGGCGGCGACCAGGGCGATTGCTTCGTCGTGGACCTCACAGAGGTCAAGCCAACAGGTGATAAACTGCATGAGGGGTGTCCCGTGGGTCTTTGCCGGGGCTTGCTTAGGGCGGAACCCGCTGTTACAGCATTGCCGGGGCTTGCCTTTCCCTGTGCGGAAACATGACCGTGATAATGATTTCCGCCCGCTTTGGTTTGCAGGTTTCAAGCCTCGCTGCGCGACTTGCACAGACTACTGGTGGGTATCAGGACACGAAGCTTGTCAAAGCTACCTGAGGGAATGGGATTCGGGCCGCCGTTCAGTTGGCTGCTGCTCTTCCTTCATGTCCAACCTTGAGCCTCACTTGTGCCCGCTTCCACGATTGAAGGTACAAATGGGAGGTCTACATGTCTGCCTTCGCCGGCTTCTCACCGACGTCCGTGATCAACAACGCCAAGTGGGTGGTCTGATGCTGCCGTAAACAAGCGCTCCCTCGCTCCTGTACGCTATCTGACCCTTCCACGGTTCGTTCCGTACGTAGGTACTTCAAGGGCTGTGGAGGCAACACGGTCCAACAACTAAGCTATATAGAGGTTCGGAACTACCGTGACACAGCGCAGAGCATCTGCGTGGACCATGTGCAGCTGACGTGAGCTTCTCGGATGCAAGGCCCTCTTCCAGGGCCACTGGCTTGTGATTATTTTCCGTATCCATCTTGCGCACTGCAACAGGTGCAGGATGTCGTGATCGGCGTGATACTATGAATAAGAGTGCGCTCTAGGCACATGCATGTGCATCCATCTGTACGTTCATACGTCAGGGCGTATGTTAAATCAGCCTGGTATGTCAAATAACTGACCTGGTATGTGTGGGTATGCAGCAATAGATGATAGATGTCTTGTCCAGGCAGGTGTGGTTTCCAAGCCTGATGTAATTACAGTTACACGTGTCCGAATTATGTACGCCACCATTGTGGCAGGGTGTGACCCTTTCGTCGCAACAAGCGCGTGCTTTGTCCGGATCTGAAACTGGACTTGATACATTCATCCAAGACCCCTTCATTACAGCCACCAAAATGGCGACAGCGCAAAATGTAACGTGGTCGACGTCCGATGGGCAAAAATGTTCCGACCGAGCTCCTACGGCAACGGAGCCCTTCAGTACAATATTGAGCACCTCCTCCAAACCTCGTCTCCACTCAATGTAAATGCCACAAGTGCTTAAAAGTTCGGTCAACTAGGGTTTGCACCCGTCCAAACGCAGTGTCGAAAAATGTCTCGAAGTAAAAAAACCAATAAATCACGTATTTGACATGTCAGAATTGGTCAAAAGTTGCGGTGCGAAAGGCCACGGTTAGCATGCAACCAGAGGTTCCGCAGGAAAACTGAACCTCGCGGCTCGGCACGCCCGGTAGCACCACGTCAGATTGTAAGAATGTCCGTTAGAATGTCCATGTCGTTTAGCTTGATGTCATTGTCGCTGATTGCCACGCCAGCTCAGCCTCTCGTGAATGCCCAGTGCAAGCGCGCGCCACAGGCCCCAGCGCAAGGCATTTGCTGAGGACTTCAAGAGTAAGGTAACAGAAGCATCGATGACGGCGTGGATGCGCCAATGGCGAGGCGCAGACGGGAATCAGTCAAAGGTCGCTGACCATGATTTGCTGCAATCATTTAACCGGTTACCAAGTCATGTCGTCAATTAAGATAGAAGGACGTATTAAGCGTAGTCAAAGTGGTAGGTCAACGCGAGGTCAGTAACGGTAAAGTCAAGTCAGAATGCAGAGCATAAGTCGAGGAGTAATGTCAAGTCATTGCCCTATGCATTATGCATGTAAACTATGAAAGTAAGAAAGAAAGGAATTAATTAAGGGCGTGCATGGTATAAGTGCGTCGCTCGTCGCTCGTCCAATTGTCCGGCATATTTAAATGCATCTGTCAATGGACGCCAGCAGCTGAACTCCTGAAGGCGCTAAGTACTCCCACCATTGTACTCTAAGCGAATGCACAACTGCAGCCCTCCTTAAGTCGATAGCTCTCCTATGTCTCCGTGCGTCACCAGCAAACGCACTAAGCTGCATATCGTGCACCGTTGGCGAGCAACAACGTAAACATGCATTTAACAAAGAATGGCTCCGGTTGCGCAAAGCCGTCTCAAGCTCAGGACGAAACCTTTTGAACCTAGTGAGACGCATCCAAACGCAACGAAGCAGCAGCAGCAGCAGGTCAGCAGCTACTTCTAAGAGGCACACATGCCCGTCCCCACGCACGATTCTCCTTCAAAAGCGACACGACCAAATAACGGAGAACATAGGAAGATGGGGCCCACATGGTAACTCATGGGTGTCATCACCCCAACCATGCAAACCTACCATACCCCCACAGCAGCAGCAATCCAACCACCATAACTAATCCGTCAGCAAGCGGCCTCCGCTGCGCTCCTCTCCCACCCATCCGCTCTCTACACCTCCGCAGCCTCCTCCCGCGCTGCACGTAACAAGCCAGACCCCACCCTACCTCGCCTTGCCAGCTGCCAATCGCCTGCCGCGGCACCCACCACCTTCCCTCCCTGTCGCTGGCCTCCTGGCACCTCCTCCCTCCCTCTCTTCGCACGCTCGCCGGCTCGCACGGGGCCACTGTAGGGCCCTCCGCACTGCCGCCCGCTCAGCTCCCTCGGCGCCCCTCCTCTCCCCCCTCGCCCCCGCTTTGCCCTAACCTGTGGTTTTGGTAAACTCTGGCCCCCGCCTCGCCCCACTGCACCTCTACTATGCCAGCTGCAGCAGCCACTTGCCCCAGCATGCCGCTCTCACTACCTATCGGTACCGGTATCTGCCTGCCACACCTCCCTGCCGTGGCCCGGCCAACTGCAGGACGACCAGGACGCAGCACAGCAGCACCACCGCTTCCCAATCACAGCGCCCCAATCACAACTGCAAGTGTTCCTCAGTTTTCCAGCCTGAAGGGGCGTCATCTTTAGGTCTTGTCCGGGCAACAAGCAGCTGTCTCTGCCCTCTCCTCTCCGTCCCTAACCCTCACAGGATACCCTCACACGGGGCATCACAGTGCTGCCTGCACCATGCCCCACTTGCCGTTGACCAGCCAATCGGGATCTGCCGTACTCAGTCGCTGGCTGAGTCCGGGGGCCAGTCCAGCCACCACATCAGCCTTGAGGGTGCGCAGGGCCACCAGCGGGGCGGGGCGGAAACCCTGGATGTACGGCGTGGTACGGATGAGAGGAGGAGGGTGGGGGTGCCGTACAAGCGGTTTTAGGATGGAAGTGTTGTACGAAGAAGGAGCAGAAATGTGAGAAGGGGAGGATCGCACGCAAGTTTACGTGTGTGATGTACAAGCAATTGTGGGTGAGTGGGGAGAGGGAAACGACAAGGTACGGTGGTGGGGCATTCAGAGTGTTGCGAAAGATGCCGAGTTGACCCACGGGTCAGCCAATCAGATCGTGGCATGCACGCACCAATCCCCCACCTGTAGGGCCTCTTGGAAGGGAGTCGTGTGGGGCCATCTGGCGGAGGTGGTTGAGAGTTAGTTGGTGAGGAGGGAGAGAGTGGGAAGTGGAAGAGAGGCTTCCGGTGTATGTTTGGGCTGTTAAACGGCCGTTGCGACCGAATCCTGACCCCCAGGGCCACTGTAAACCCACATACGACACCAACCCAAAGTCAACAGCTAAGTGCACCTTCACGATTGAAACAGACGGCCCAGTGTACGGTACATCATGACCATAACTGTCAACACCAAGTGCTACCATGTGCCGCCTACCTGCAATCATGGGTCAGTTTGCGGTAGTTAAGATCGCCCTTGAAGATTATCAAATCGCTATTGCCGTTCGCAAAGCTGTCGTACAGATCCGGTGCTACAGCCTTCATCCAGCAAAACGGCGCGGGTGTGCACCAAAAGGGATGCGCTCGCCACTGCCAGCGTCCTGAATCCAAGTAAGAACGCCACCGCACCGCCAAGTGCCGTACATCCTGCCATGAAGCTGAGGAGGAGGAGGAAGAGGAGGAAGGCCAAGAAGAAGAGGGAGAGGAAGGCGAGCAGGAAGAGGAGGCGGGGGCTCCTGTTCCTGCTCCTTCATCTTGTGTCGTACGCTCATCGCAGCAGCTGGCGAGGAGGTCACGCAGATCCCCCTCGAGTGTGTCGGACACGAACCAGGGAATGGGTTTGCCGTGCAGGATGACCTGGTCCACGACTCCTGAGGGAGAGGGAGGCATGGTATGTGGTGGGAAAAGAAATTCCAATGTGTGGTATGATAGTGGTAAAACAAGCTGACAGGCCCTGATGGAAAAGCCGTGAGTCGAGCCGAACTGGTCACTGAAGCGTTGCGAGCTTAACTTACCAAACTTACCAATTACGGAGCAACCTTACCATAGTCGTGGGCGTGCGTGGACGCGGCTGAAGGTGAGCTGGAGGCCCACCGCACCGTCGGGCACAAACAAACAACAGGAACAGCACAAGACGAGCACGTAATACAGTGACCGACACAAGAGAAGTCACGTACCTGCGTGCACAGGATATGAGCACCATGAGACATGTCCATGGCAACCCGCCCATGGAGTAAGTGAGATCGAGGCGAGTTGATAGCGATGTCCAGCGGTGTGGGGTGGGGGGGCGCGTGTGTGGGAGGGAAATGTGAGGGGGTGGAACGTGAGGGGGTGTTGGGGACACGGGAAGCAAGAGCATGTCGGGGTGTGAAAGAGCCGTGGGGGAGAGCATGGAAACTATCGTAGAACAGGGCCGCTGTGATACAGGTAGATACGGTAGAACAGGGCCCCCAGGCCCCTCAACGCACCTCCACGCGGGCGCGTTCTTTCCTTCCCCTCGGCCCTCCCCTGCCATTACCCCCAACCCGCAAGCCTCGCCCAACCCGTCCTGCCAAGTTGCCCCCACCCCGCCCCTCCAACACCCCCTCCATTCCCACCCCAACCCCACCCCGCCCCTCCAACACCCCCTCCATTCCCACCCCAACCCCACCCCGCCCCCCTCACCCTACCCCACCCATGTTGCAAGGCTTGCAACCCATGTTGACGCCTTATCCCTCAGTCAGTTAGTTGTTTCCTCTTTACCACCCACCCGCCTCCAGCAGCAGGTCCGCCAGGCACAGGTCACTGAACAGCTCCAGCCCGCTGTTGTCGAGAACCAGGTCAATACGCACACACCGGCCGCCCACCTCGCCGCTGGTGGGGCTGCTGGTGGTGGTGTTCCCGCTGTCAGCACCAGCACCAGCAGCGGCAGCGGCAGCAGCCGCAGCGGCACAACCAGCAGCTCCACTGCCAGCAGCAGCAGCCGCACTGCTCCTCCCCCTCCCGCTCCCCCTGGCCTCCCGCAGCCCCGCCATGTGGCGCCACACCGACTCGCTGTCATCCACAATCACCCGGGACAGCGGCGGCGGCACAGCAGCAGCACCAGCAGCAGCTCCTGCCTCCACCTCGCTCCCCAGCCCCGTTGCCCCACTACCTCCAACACGACCACAGCCACTGTGGCCCGCACCTCCTCCTCCTGCCGCATGCCCCACCCCTGCCACCTGCAGCCGGTCCGCGGACACATGCAGCGACAGGTCCGCCTGGTTGCCCCACAGCGCCAGCTGCAACCCGCACAGCACAGCCGCCTTGCATGCAGCCTCCAACTCCTCCCCCGCCTTCTCCTCAGCAGCAGCTGCAGCACCTGACGTTCCTGCACCACCGCCGCCAACGGCAGCTCCTAACTCCCCTCCCGCGTCTTGTCTGTGCTGCTGCTGGTCGCCTGTTGCAGGTTGCTGTTGCTGGCTCATGGCCCCCAGCAGCTGCCTCACCTGAGTCGCCATGGCCGCGACTGCGGGGAGGGATTTGGCCCAGGCAGCGGCCTTCTGGCGGCGGAAGGGGTCGCAGGAGACCAGGGAGGGCTGGCGCTGCGGGAAGGGGGGCAGCGGGGGTGGGGGTGAGGAAGGAAGGAAGTGGTGGAGAAGCAGGGAAGGAAGGATGCGGTGGGTTGCAAGTGAACTGGACATGCCAGTTTGGCAGGGTCCAGAGGCATCATGCAAGGGTTAAGGAGGCAGGAAGGGACGGCGGTTGTTGTTGCGTCTGCATGTGGCGAGGGTGTGGACGCGTAGATAGTGCTGTTGTTGTTGTTGTCAGCTAAGGGACGTAAGGGTCGTCCCCATGGACGTGCCCCCCGTATGGGCGAAGAGCGCTCGCTGTAAGGATGGATGCATGCATCCCGGGAGGCATCCCAGGCTACTTTTAGGTACTTGCCGCTGTACGGGTGCCATCCGTACGGCAGCTACTGCCGTACCCACCTGCAGGGCCGCATGCAGGGCCGCATACATGAAGCACTCCACCAGCAGCCAGGGCAGCCCCAACCAGGTGGGGCGGGGGGTGGCAGCGGGGACAGCGGGGGCAGCGGGGGCAGCAGCAGGAGGAGCGCCGCCATCGTTCTGTTCCTGCTGTCGTTGTTGCTGCTGTTGCCGGCGTGTGGCCAGCAGCAGGCAGGCGTTGGCGGTGTCTAGCAGCACCTGACAGGGAGCGAGGGAAGGAGAGAGTGCGAGGTCAGGGGCAGGGGCGGGGGCGGTGCAGTTCCCAACATGCATTGCCCCCCGTGCGCACCCTGTGCGCCCATCGTACCTAGCCCCCCACAGCGCCGGGCCTTGCTCCCCTGCCCCTTCCCCCGCTGGCATGCGCCTCCCGTCCCCCCAGAGCCGTCATCTCACACATGCGCTGCTCCTAGCTGCTGAACCCCAGGTTCTCCTGCTCCTGCTGCTATTCCCCTTTCACCCCGCCCCCGCCCCTGGCCCCAACCGTGTCCTCCATGCATGTGTTCCCGCAAACCCAACCACATGCACTGCGCCGCATGCCGCATGCCGCACCCAACCCAACCCAATCCGACCCTACCCACACGCACCTGCGTGTGCCCCTCCCCAAGGCCCCCTCCTCCCGCTGCTCCTCCTCCACCAGCTCCTCCCGCCAACGCCAATGCCAACGGCTGCAGCGGCGCATCCGCCAGCATCGCGGCACGCAGCGCCGCCACCTCCGCCAGCACCGCCGCCACCTCCTGCTGCCGCTGCTGCTGCTGCTGCTCCCTCCCCTGCTGCTGCTCCTCCTGTGGTGGCATCATCGTCGTCGCCGCACCCTGCTTCAGCCGCCCCTCCGCCGCATCCGCCGCCACATCCTGCATAAGGCCCTCCAGGATGGCGGGCAGTCGGGAGGTGAGGGTGGCCTCGGCGAAGGAGCCCGGCTCGAGACCCACCAGGGGAGGGTACGGCGGAGGCGGCAGCAGCAGGTCGAGGGAGGTTGTGGCGGAGCCGGCGTTGGGCTCGGCGACGGTGATAGCTTCGGCGGCGGCGCGCAGGCGTTCCGCCATGCTACGGTTACTGTCTGCTGTGGTGGTTGCAGCGGCGGCGGCGGCGGTTGTTGTGACGCCGCGGGTTGTTGCAGGAGCCGTGATGGTGATTGTTGGAATGCGTATGTGGTGGTTGCGGTTGCGGAGGAAGGTGCAGTAAGGGTAACGGTGGTGGTGGCGGTGGTGGTGGTGGGGTAAGCTGGTGGGGAGAAGGCGGGGAGGGGAGAGGGGCCGCAGGAGAGGAAGGTGGGGCCTGGGTGCTGCTGTTGCTGGTGCGGTTGTTGTTGATGTCGATGGAACCTGGGGGTGCTCGGATAGGAGGCATGGGGGCGATGGCACTGAGGGGTAAATAGTGTGAAGCACAAAGGGGTAAAACGTATGAAGTATGGCTGTGAGAAAAGACGCGAAACCGAGAGAGGCGTGGGTTGAGCGGAGGTGAGGGGTGCCTCTGGCTGTGAGGGTCGCCGTTAACAGCGCGCAATGGGGCGTCAACACAAGAAGCCGCCGCCCGAGGGCTGGAGGCATGAGACAAAGGGGCATAGCGGGGGAACCCAGGCATAGCAACCATCCAGGCATGCATGTGCACATAGGAACGTTAGCTTCTGCGATGCCATGTAGTCGATGTCGCGCAAGGAGAGCAGACTGTTGCGCAATGTGCCGCTAGAATCCTCGGCTGCTTTGCCGTAACCTTTCAGCCCAGGCCTAACATGTTTGCACGCCTACCTGTGTAAGGCTCCTAACAGCCATCCGAACACGCGCTCTAGGGCGCTTCAGATAGAAGAGGCCTAACCGCCCCAAGCTAGCTCCGGCTTATGCGTTGCAGTTCAAAGAAGTTTGGATAACCAAAACTGGATCAAGCTAACATATACGTTTGATATCCTAAAATGCAGATGTCATTAATGTTTGTCGTACCGACCGGTACCCAGGCGGACGTTGGAGTGCAAGCCTGCATCGGACACGCAGAGTCAGCTTGCGCGAAACGAATAGTTCTTTTTGTTGGAAAGCCATCTGTGAAATCCTTTGACCTTGAGGCATTAAGCCCCGAATCGCAACTTTCGACAGCTTCCAGACTCACAGAAGACAGAGTGCGTCGCCTATATGGCGACGCAGGTAGCTCAGCCTGCGGCTAATGTAGAATACCCGCTTCTGCTGGGTCCAAGCTTGGCACCTGAGCCAGGCGAGGAGCCGGAGCATTTGTACGCTGCCCTTCGCTACGACTTCAGGCCGGCCAGCGCAGACATCGAACAGCCGGGAATGCTGGTGCTGGGCAAAGATAACAGGGTATGGCGAGAGCTGCCGATTTCCTCGGCGAGGTGGAGGGATTACAGGCTGTGGGGAATCTCGCGACGCAACCCTTCCGTATCAGACGGGCTCTGGACATGCCCGAATGTGTGTCCTAGGCTTTCCATACATGAAGGCCTCCTCAGGCCTGTACTTAACACATGAGGGCACTCAGGACCCTCTGGGAGTTGCACATGGAACCCACGGTGTAACCCACGCACCCGAGCAGGATGTGAACGAACCTCGCCTTCCCTGCAGTCCGCAATAAACATTTTAGGCCGTGATTTTGGACTCACACATTACCTGACGACCCAGTTAAAACCAGAACTCCACTGTGTGTCCACACGCACCTTTCACGCAACCTCAACCCGCCCGACACACCCATCCCTCGCTTCATACCCACACAAACCTCCCGTGCACATAGCAGCATAGTACCCTTTGCCATATCCGCCAAATCTTCTTACTCGTCACCTCCGTCCCTTCTGTCATCCACAATTCGCACACAATTCCCGCGCCAGGTTTCTTTGTACCTAGCCAACGCCGCCACCTGTGAGCTGGACGTGCTCTTCGCCGGCAAGTACGAGGCGTACGGCAACAGCAACGGCGGCAGCAGTACGGCACAAGGGCGAGATGGACTGGACTGTGTGGCGCTGTTTGACCCAGTTTCCGGTAGCTTTCGGTTGGAGCTGCTGCAGGGGCAGTACAACACAAAGTGAGTACCGGCACCTCGTGTCATTCTGTCCCTAGACCTCGTAGGCATCATTACACGAGGGTGGGTAGAGCAGGGCGCGAGGCCCAGAGGTGAAGCAGAGAGGACCGGCTTTCCGTTAGAAGGGCGAAGGGCGAGGTAGCGAAGGGTTAGCTGTAACGAGCCGTGGTGGGATGCTGGATGGGAGGACCGGACTACCTTAAGAGAGAGCGGATGGGTAACTTCGGGATCTGGGTTTGGGGGTATCCTGCTTGCCCGGTAGTTTCAAGAGCGCTAGGATACGAGGTTGTAACATCGTGGGTCATGCAAGGCGCTGAGCCAAAGTCGTTGTCGGGTGCTTTCTTCCAGTGGCTTTCCTCCAGCCTCCCCACTTCCTTCTAGCGGCCTAGGTCCTCCCTTTAACCAGCACGCAGTTGCCCTGACGAGTTGTACGACATCCGCACCGACACAGGCATGTACGAGACGCCCCGCCGTACCGCCCTCCTCCCGAAGATGGACCCCTGGGTCACTCCCCGGGTACCTCGGGCTCCGCGGGCCCTATGGCGGGTGGCCCCACCTCCACCTCACCCCCGACTGGCGGTCTGCAGCAACTGCACCAGCAGCAGCAGCAGCAGCAGTCGGCGGCAATGCGTCGCGGTGGCGATAGCCCCATAGGGCCCTCCTCGGGTGCGGGTGCGGGCGGACCCGGGCATGAGCGGTACGGCAGCGGAGGCAGTGGTGCAGGGAGCACGACAGGGGGAGGAGCAGGGGGTGTTGGAAGCGGCCAGAGGCCCCCGCGACCTCCGACTAGCGGTGGCGGTGGTGGTGGTGCGGCGGCAGTGGCAGTGGCAGGCGGGAAGAAGCGGCAGCGGGAGGGGGGTGCGGCTGGAGCCAATGGCGGAGGTGGAGGTGGAGGTGGAGGTGGAGGTGGGCATTCGCCCTCGGAGGCTCCTGCACGCAAGGCCAGCCGTTTCGGTCGAGGAAGCGGGTTGCAGGGTCAGGGGCAGGGACAGGGGCAGGGGCAGCCACAGACGCAGGTAGCAAGGAAGGCGGCGGGGTCCGGTCTTAGGCAGCAGTACCAGAAGCAGCAGCAGCGGCAGCAGCAGCAGCAGCAACCCAGTCCGTCACCGCAGGAACTGGCTGCTGCTGCTGCGGCGGCGACGGCAGCCACACCACCGGCGGCGGCGGTGGCGGCGGCAGCAACCCCACCACTACCAGTAGCTGCGGCGGGGGGAGCTGCTGCTGTGGGGGGAGGAGAGGACCCCGATGTGGATGCGGACCTGTGGGACGCCTTTGACACCTTTGATGCTGATGCGGAGGCGGCAGGAGAGCAGGGGCAAGAGGAGCAGCAGCAGGGGGAACAGCCAGAAGAGGAGGCAGCAGCAGCAGCAGGGGCAGCGGAAGGCGGCATGGAGGAGGAACTGGAGGATCAGGGCGGTCTGGCTGATGAGGGCGCGGCTGTTGCTGGTGGTGCTGGTGGTGGCGTGCACGGAGTGGTGGAGCAGGAGGGGCTTGAAGAGGAGGAGCAGGAGCAAGAGGAGGAGGGTCATGAAGGGGAGCAGCAGGAGCAGGAGCAAGAGCAGCTGGAGGGGCCGCTAGACGGAATCATGGGCTTGATTGAGTTCCCGCCGGAGGAGGATGCGCTGGCAGGAGGTGGGGCAGCAGCAGCGGGAGGAGGCGGTGAGGGGGAAGAGGGGGAGGAGGAGGAGCAGGAGGAGGAGGAGGCGATGGCTACAGGGGAGGAGGCGGAAGCGGAGGTAGCGGCAGTGGCTGCGGTTCCTCCGTCCCCGCCGCGGGCTCGGTTTGTGGACGAGACTATTGATGAGGATGAGACGTACGGGTACGGAGCAGACTACGAGTACGACGATTTCTTCTAAGGTGGCTTCTTTTTAGGTGTTTCCCTGGGCGTGTGGATACCTGGTTGAGTGCTGTGTGAAGGTACCGTATGTGGGTTGCGGGTTGCGGGTTGGGCGAGTGGTGCGCCGCTTGAGCGTTGCAACCTTTCTGGGATCAGGATTGTGTATTACTACCTACTTGCAGCGCGGGGATAGCAGTAGAGAGGGGTGTTAGCTGTCAAGTCAAGAGAGGGGTGTTAGCTGTCAAGTCAAGAGAGGGGTGTGTATGTAAAACAGGAGGATGGGTAGGATGCTTGGGTCATCTGAAGCGAGGTGTGCAGACAGGTTTAGGATGAGTTTAGGGATATATGCCCTTGCATCGGGCAGGTGTCCCGGTGGGAGCTACCTGTGACAGGAAGAACAGTCGGTCGGTGTAGGATACCGCCCCAGACCGGTAAGGGTTGGTCTTGCTGGGCGGTAGGCAGCGTGTGTCGCAACAGTCGTCATACTCTCTTTAGGGCCCTTACAGCCTTGTTAGTGTGAGCTACCCGAGATTACCTAGAAAGTCCTAGTCGCGCCGCAGGCTGCTTTGCAAGGGATACAAACGTACAATGTTGACGGTAAGCAGTCGTTGCTGGCGTACAATGCTTACTAGAATGCTGATTGTCATTAATTGCCATAGCTACAGTTCAGAGCTGCAGCACCATCAACGAAGAATGACATGCATCATGTATACTAATGGCGAGGTTTCTTGTAACATGTACAGGTGGAGGAGGGTATTAAGAACCACCAGGTATTAAGAACCACCCCACTTTTCTGCGCCCAGAAGAAGGATTTCGACAAGCGGTTTCTAGTACTTTAAGTTCATAGTATATTTATGAAGTCCATAATTGTGGCTGGGACGGCGGTTACGATTTGGGCACCAGAGCCAAACAGCTTTGCATGAACCGCGGTGTGGAGTGGCTAGAGCGCCTGAGGCATCTGAGCACCTTCGCGACCACCTGGCATGCATACTATACACATCTTTTATGGAATTGACTGCTAAATAGCTTCCCAGCAGCCACTTCTTTTCCCATCCTTGCGACCAAACCCCAATTATGCCCTAAGCGTCCTTCCAGTCATAAACGCGCTGCATAGATGCGTTATAGGACACATATATAAGACTTGGATGTTGTTTAGTAGCATAGGTGCAATGATGACGGATCAGGATCTGATGCTTGCCCATGATGGCAATTCACCTCGGCGGTCACAACTGGTGAACCCCAGACGCCAGCTAGCATGTCCACGGCCTCTGATAGCTATATTAGCTGCTTGCTGAAGTTTTCCCGGTGCGGGAATGTGTCTAAGCTGGCTTTTTCGCAACTTTCAGGGTGGTTCTTAATACCCCTCCTTTTCTGGAAGTTGGGGATTTTGCGTAGGTGTTGAATAACGGTCAGTGTCGCTGCTTATATTGAGAGTCGTAAGCAGGGCTCTTGGCCCCGTACAGAAGGGTCATACGGCTATCTGCTGCTCCATTTAGAACGTTAAGCCGTGAAGTATGCAATGAATGCGACGCATGCAAAGTCGAAGTGGTTCTTGATACCCTCCTTAACCTGTACTGATCCACATGTAACAACGGGCAGGGCGATCCGGGGGCCTGGAACAAACGAGCGTTTAAGTACAGAAATGCAGAGAGCTTTGACAGAAAGGGGATCTGAGGAAGGTGGGCTAGGCGACATGGCCCTGCCCCTTCGTAACGTACGTTGTTAGGACGGTACTGCCCTTAGTTGCCCGTTAGTATTAGATGCGCCAAGCAGGCTTACAATAAGCCCCTATTTTGGTGGATTATAACAACGTGTAACATTGTATGGAGGAACCTGCCTTGCTCAGATGGAAGTTTTGCAGGGAAGTCGAAGTCAGGAGCAAGGGCGTGCTGGTGTTTTGTGCCGTACAATATCCGTCAGCTGGAGACGTTTCTTGGGTTCTCCAAAAGACAGTTTAAGCGCTGCTTGATATTTTGAAGCCGCTAGGTTAAACTATCTTTTAATCCTTACATCTTTCGAAGTGCTGACTGTGCAAAAGTTTGACTACCGTTTGCGAACGCTCCAGCATAATGGGCACATGGGCAGGCACTGCTTATTGAAGTTACCCTAATTTGTACCCATTGACTTCAAACTTGTTTTACGGCGCAGCGTCTTACTTTGGTGAAAATGGTTGTCACAGCCCAAGCGCCGTTTGCGGATCTGGAGGACACGCCCATGTTCCGAATGAAGGCAAGGATCTTTAAGAAATAACTTTGCTTTTTGCATAATCGCCGGGCGCACGAAGAGCAATGAATCGATACAAGCATTCCGCCCGAGGGTACCGTTACTCACTTGTGAAGGACGCTCTCGTGTTGCACGCTGTATCGAGCAAATTAAAAGGCGATCGCCACCTGCAAATCAGTCGCCACGGATCACCTTCTAAGCTGAGGGATGCCGGGCAGCGGAGTGAAGTACTCCCCAGGGACCCGAGCCCTAAATAGGGAACACTCTCTGCTTATGCATCCCATACTACCCTACATAGTAAGGCATTTTAGCACAACGTGCATTTGTTACCTGTCCGAAAGCATCCGTCAGTACCACATTCGACATGCCGCATCTCCCAGTCACCCTCACGCCACTCATCCCTTCCATGCACCTCACTGCCACCCCAAAGCACCCACCGTCATGCTTACCCTAAACAGTCTCTTCCGCACACCACAGCTCTGGGCTACGAAACCATATCACTAAACCGGAACCCCTGCAACCCACCACCCGCCCTCTCCTGACCCCTGTCCTCTCCAACCCACCTCCCCTCCCCCCCAATGCCCCGCCCCTCCCCCTCCACCCTCCTCTCTTCCCTGCTTCCCATGCAAACCGAGCCAGGTATCGGAGCTGGAGGGCGGGTGTCGGCGGCTGCGTGAGCGTGTGGCGGGGCTGGTGGCGCACTACCGGCGCTACCGGGATGCACTGGTGGCGCTGTGCAAGGCGCAGGTGGGGGGGAGGGGGGGGCCGTTAAAGACCATACCGAACCAAAGGAAACCACAGGGTGGGTGGGTAGGGTGGGGCACTGGGAATGAAGCACAAACACCAGCTGGGCTGGGGTGGGGCGGGGGTAGAAAGAAGAAGCTGGCGAGCTGTATGACGAGGCTTAACCATTTGGGTTGCGACAGGGCGGGAGGGAGGGATGATTGGTGTAGGATTAACCGCAATGGACGGAAGGGAGGGGAGCTCGTGCGTGCGGGGAGAAGTGAGGTACCAAACTGAATGAAACCGAAAGTTAGGGGAAGGCGGGTGGGGAGGGTGGTGGTGGTGGTGGAAGAAGTGACGGCGGGGGTAGATATCGGCAGGTTGGGGATAGTAATGGGCACTGGCGCTATGCAAGGCGCATGCGGGCAACCCGAGGGGTGTGGGAGTGGGGGCAGGGGGGTGGGGTAGAGTTGCCGGTAATGGAGGTACTGGAGCCCAAGGGGAGGTTCCAGGATGGGGGGGCCGCCGTGTAAGGGGGGCGCAGGGAGAGGGGCCTGCATGAAGGGGTGTGGGCCGTGAGGCGGACAGGGATGCGCTTCACCCATCTGCCACCACCGTCCCATGTGACTTCAACCACCTTCCTGCCCTCCACTTCCTGCCCGCTCCTCCTGTCGCTCCCACCCTGCCGTACCTACCTCCCCCTCCGCCCGACCCGTGGGTCGCTGCAGGCATCCTTCGTGGGCGGCCTATCGGAGTTCTTTTCCGGGCCGGAGGGGGAGGAGCTCACAGGTGGGGTGGGGCGGGGCGGGGCCACGTCTGCTATCAGTGTGTTAAGAAGACTGGCCTCGAGTCGGAACGTACTGTGATTGTCGGAAGGTGATGTCCCCAGCAAAACGCCACAGGAGACGAGGAACAGGCCGTCGTATGTAGATACCTACGCATAGCACTGCCCCCCTCCCTCCCCCCAGGCGGTATCCCTGTGTCCAAGTACCTGGGTACCCTGGGGGAGTCCATCACCTACTTCGACCTGCTCAAAATACAGGTGGGAGGCGGGCGGGGGGGCAGGCGGGGAGGGGGAGGGTGAGCAGGAACCGGAAGGCTTTGGTTGGGTGCTTTGTTCACACTCCTCCTCATTATCATCATCACCACCCCTGCCCCGCTCCCAGACCTCGCACCCCAACATTCCCGTGTTGCCTTGGTTGCCCCGCCCCCCGGTCCATACCACCGGAAAGTTTGTTAGTTGCATGTGACATTCTTACAACCGAACCCCACCGCTCCGTCCCCTCTTCGAACCCCCGTCTTTCCCCCCCCACACACGCCCCTTCCAGTTTTCTTACCACGCTCCTTCCCCCTCCCCGCTCCCAGATTGAGTTCGCGGCCGACCAGCTGTCCTCCGAGTGGCTGGGCGAGCTGCTGGTGGGCGCGCGGGAGGCGCACCGGGTGTTCGAGCGCAGCAGCGGGGACCTGGAGGAGGCGGCCGGCAGGTGCCTGGCGCTGAAGAAGGTGGGGGCGGGGGGGGGGCTGATGAAGCGAGCCGCGGTGAGTACCGTACCGTATGGGGGAAAGGATGGGTAGGATGGGTTGAGGGAGAGGGAGAGACCCTGCATGGGGCGGGTGCAAGGGGGCATGTTCCGAAGGGGCGTGTGTGTTTCGTTTGGGGGGAGTTGGTTGGTGGGTAGGAGACGGGGATGCTGGTTTGTAGGCGGGGAAGGTGGGGAAGGTAGGAGGTGTGGCTGAGCGGCGTCCAACGCACCCACACCCCCACACCCCCACATCCACAGGGCACCAAACGTGAGGTCCTGGACCGCGCCCACGCCGAGCTCTCCACTGCCCGCCTGGTAGCCGAGGAGGCGCGCTTCGACGTGGCGCGGCGGCTGTCCTGCGTGGCCTCCCGCCGCCGCTACAGCTTCCTGCAGCTGCTGCTGGACAGCGTGGGGGCGCACCACGCGGCGCTGCGGAGCGGGAGTGAGATGCTGGGCAGGCTGACACCGCTGGGGGATGCGGCGAGGGGGGTGGTGGCGGAGGCGAGGGCGGCGGAGGCGGAGGTGCAGGTGGGAGGGGGGGAGGGGGGCGGGTGGGAGGGGGGGAGGGGGGCGGGTGGGAGGGGGGGAGGGGGGCGGGTGGGAGGGAGGGGGGAGTGTGTAAGACGGTGCGGGTGCGGGCGCGGGTGAGGGCGGAAGCGGTTGCCTGGGACTAGCCATAAACGAACTAACCCCCTGGCTCCCTCTCCCCCCCCTCTAACAGGCCCAGCTAGCCCGCGAGGCGGCCCGCTGCAAGGCGCTCAGTGAGGCGGCGGCGGCGGCAGCGGCAGTGACGGCAGCGGGGGACGAGTCGGGGCATGGACCCGTGCAAATGTCGGGTAGGGCTGCATCGGGGGGAGGGCAGTAGTGGCATGAGGGTGCGGGGGAGGGAGGCTGGCCCGGCTTTTCCTGGACTTCCCAAACGCCGTACCTCTCCTACGTTCCCGCGGCGTCCTACATACCCCGCCTCTCCTCTCCTCCCCACCCCCACTCCCATGTCTTGTGGCTCCCTGCCGCCTCCTATCCCCTTTGGCTTGCCCCGCCTTGTGGTTTGGGTTTTCTTTGACCCCCCTCCTTCCCCCCTCCTCCTCCCTCCAGCCGCCAAGAGTGAGGAGGTGGTGGCGGCCGAGGCGGCGCTGCGAGCCACGCGGGCAGCCCTGGCGGCGGGGGAGGCGAACCCGCCTGTGACCGTCATAAAGCAGGTAGGAGGTGGGATGGGGGGTAAGGGTGGTGAGAAACGGAAATCGATACCATGGTAGGTGAGGGGCGGGGGAGATAGGGCTGAGGCAGAGTTACGGGAGGCAAAGCAGGAGCACACGGGGAGGAGAGCGGGGCGGGCAGGTGGGGTCAGGGACGTGGGCTATGGGGTCAGCAGACGGAGGGGCAGGAGGTACCGGTAGCCAGCCCATGGAGGTGTGTCTCCTTCATAACACCCTTCTTGACACACCCCTGTTACCCTCTTTGGGTCTTCGTACTCTCTCCTTTCCCTTCCTGGCCCTTGTGCCGCTTCTTTTCCCATCCCTACAGTCCCATCTGTCCCTTACTTCACCTTAACTTTACCTACCTTACTTTGGCCTCCCCCCCTCCCCCTTCGCCTCCTCAGGGCTACCTCCTGAAGCGCAGCGGCGGAGGCGGCGGTGCGGGGGGCGGCGGCGGGGGGACCAAGGTAGTGGGGGGCGAGTGGAAGCGGCGCTTCTTCGTGCTGGACAGCCGGGGACAGCTCTACTACTACAGCCACAAGGTGGGGGGCAGGGGGCAGCGGGGGGATGGGGGGGGGAGGGGGAGGGGCACCGCCGCAGGCTTGATTAGCAGGGGAGGTAATTTGCCTGCTTTGCCCGCTGTGCCCTTCTTCCCAGTCTTTCCCCAACGCAACCATCCACACTCACCCCCCCCCCCCCATCACCCCTTCCTCGTAATCTCCACCGCGAAGCCCCAACCCCTTTCCACACCGCCTCCTCCTCCTCCTCCCAACCCAACCATGCATGCCTTCTACTGCAATGCAGGGCGTGTGCTGTCCCTAACCCTACCCGCCCGCCCCCCCAACCCCCACGCGCCTCCCCAACAGGACACGCTGCTCAACAAGCTCCGCGGATGCGAGACCCACACCGCCGCCAGCACCGGCGTCAACCTGCTGACCAGCACCGTCAAGCTGGACGATGAGGCGGAGCCGGGGCTGAGGTTCTGCTTCAGGTGGGGGTGGGGGGAGGGGGTGGGGGGGTGGTGGGGTGGTGGAAGGGGATGCACATGGCACTGGCCGGGAGGTGGGTGTATTGAGAAAACTGACGGCGAGGAAGAACGTGGTGTGCTAGCAGCTGTGTGCGTGTTAAGAAAACTGGCCGCGAGTCGCAACATACTGTGATTGCCGGAAGGTGAAGTCCCCACAGTTTGTATGGTCAACTGAACCGGGGGACTGGCAGCCCCTCACCCTTCCCTCCTGTGTCACACCCGTTGCCTTACCCTTTCGCCCCTCCCTTACCCCTCTCGCCCCATCTCGCTTCTCTCCCCGCCCACCCCACCCCCAGGGTTGTGAGCCCCGGCGGCTGCCTGGCCCTGCAGGCCGAGTGCGAGGCGGAGCGGGCCGCCTGGGTGGCGCTGCTGCAGACCACCACCAGCACCCTGCTGCTGCACACGCCGCTGGGGGGCAGCACCGCTCTCACCTCCTCAGCTGCTGGGGCTGCTGGGGCTGGGGCGGGTGTGGGTGGCGCGGGTGCGGGGGGGAGCGTGGGGGGAAATGGCGGCGGCAGCAGCACTGGCGGCGGCGGGCTGCTACTACCCAGCAGCTCCTTTGGCGGGGGAGCAGCAGCAGCAGCAGCGGGAGGAGGAGGAGGAGGAGGGGGTCATCATGTCAATGGCATGGAAGCAGACCCGAATCATCAGCTGTACCCCCACCCCCACCCGCACATGCACCCCGCTGCTGCTGCAATGTTGGGTGGTAACAGCGGTGGCGGAGGTGGTAGCTTGAGCTCGAGTCCTTGTCGGGGCAGCAGCGGGGCTGCTACTGCTGCTACTGCCGCCGCCGCCGCCGCCGGCAGCAGTAGCAGTCGGGGCCACAGCAGCCACAGCAGCAGCGGACACAACCCGCCTGCTGCGGTGGGCTTCATGGGCGGGGGCAGCAGCCCGGGCAGGGAGGGTAGTGGGCAGGGTGGTATGCGGACCCATGGGTCGGCAGGCGTGTCGGGGCTGAGCCGGACGACCAGCGGTGCGATGCGAGCGCTGCCTTTAGGCGAGGGAGCTGTGGGCGCGGCGGTGGGAGGTGGAGGGACGGAGGGAGGTGGCGGAGGAGGGGTGGGGACTGGCGGCGCTGCTGCTGGTGCCACGGAGGGAGCAACGCCGCTGGAGATATTGCGGTGAGTGTGGAGGGAAGGGGAAGCGGCATGCGCCATGTGTCATGTGGTGTGAATGAGGTGATAACACACACGTGCTCCTTTCACGGCCGTCATAAGCAGCACCATCCGCGTGCTCAACCCTCGACACCACATGGGGGGCTGTACCCTGCATTCACCCTTTGCCCTCACTGTAGCCTGCTCCTTCTTCCATGCCAGCAGCACGCTCCTCTCTCGCTCTCCTGCCCTCCTCCTGAAGCCCTCTCCCCCCTCTCCCCCCTCTCCCTCCGCCCTCCGCCCGAGCAGTCAGGTTCCCGGCAACCGGCACTGCTGCGACTGCGGCGCCCCCGACCCCGACTGGGCCTCGCTCAACCTGGGCTGCCTCATGTGCATCGAGTGCTCGGGGGTGCACCGACAGCTGGGTAGGAGGGGGGGCAGGGGGGGGGGAGCAGGGGGTTCCTCTCTACCCCAACCTCTCCCCACCTCCTTTACCCCCCATCCCCATCCCCCCCAGGAGTGCACGTTTCCAAGGTCCGCTCCCTCACGCTGGACGTGCGTGTGTGGGAGCCCTCCGTGCTGCGCCTCTTCGCCGCGCTGGGCAACACAGCCACCAATGCAGTGTGGGAGGCCAGGCTGCAGCAGCAGGGGGCTGCGGGAGCAGGGGCAGGAGCGGCAGGGCAGGGGGCTGCGGCAGGGGCGGCAGGGGGGCAGCAGCAGCGGGCAGGGGGGCTACAGCAGCAGCAGCAGGGGGGCGAGGGGGCGGGGGCGAGTGGTGGGCGGCCGGGTGTGGACGACACGTGGGTGTGGTGCGAGGACGAGGAGGAGGAGGGTGAGTGCTGTTGGGGTGCTGTTGGGGTGCTGTTGGGGTGCAGCAGGGTGCAACACCCCGGGGGGGGTACTGATGGATGGAGAAGGGGGGAAGGGCTTACGCTAGCTCGCGTAGGGTGGGTGGGGAATCGCTCTGTAACCGGCACTGGCGGGCGTCGTGTGGGAACTGGGGGTGCCCAAGAGCGGGTGTACTCCCCATGGGTTGTGATAGGGTGTGGCGTTGGGGGTGCTGGTAGGCAACAGCTGTCACCCACTTTGTGTGTGTGTGTGTGTGTTGTCGCATGGACCTACTCCCGCTCGATCGACCCTCAGTCGACCCTTTCGTCCTCCAGTGTGTGCCCCGGCCAAACTATTAATAAGCCCCCCTTCCTCCGCTCCCGCTGTGCCCCACAGCCCCCGGCTCCATCTTCACCGCCTCCCACAAGTCCCTAACCGCCGCTAGCGGCCCACGACCAGCGGGGCCAGGAGCGGCAGGCGGGGGAGGAGGTGGCAGCGGCGGGGGCGGCAGTGAGGGCTGGCTGCTGTCCAAGCCGCACCTGCGGGCTCCCCTGGCGGAGAAGCAGCGGTACATCCAGGTGGGGAGCGGGGGAGTGGAGGCGTGGAGGAGGGAAGGAGGGGAGGGAGGGTGTCTCCGCATGCTGCCCTACCGGCACTTGCTCGTCCGGTGGACATGGATACGCATATGTGCGCGCATGCACCCGAGCGCTGCGTCACCAGTGCCACCACCCCATACCCCATCTCCGCACCCACCCACTCCCTCCACAACCCCCCTCCACACCCACAGGCCAAGTACGTGGGTCGTGTGTACGTCTCCGCCCCTCCCCCTGCCGTACTCTCCGGCCCCGGCGGCCCCGCGCACCAGCTGGGGCTGCTGCTGTGGCGCGCCATCGAGGCGGATGACCTGCGGGCCGCGCTGCAGGCGCTGGCGTGGGGGGCGGACCCGGGGGCGCATGTGCGCAGCCCCAGTGCCGCGCTGCTCATCCAGGAGATGAGGGAGGCGGCGGGGGCGGGGGCGGGCGGCGGAGGCGGCGCAGCCGCCGCCGCAGCGGCGCCTGCGGCGCCGCTGACGCTGCCTGCAGCAACGGGTGCAGCAGGGTCTGCGGGGGTCCTTCGTCCCTCGCTGACGCTGCCCCCGCTCCACCTTGCTGCCGCGGAGGGTCGTGTGGCGGGTGCTGAGCTGCTGCTTCAGAGCGGGGCGCCGGCGGATGCGGTGGACGGGGCGGGCGGGGGGCTCACGGCGCTGCACTATGCGTTGCTGGCGGACAGGTGAGGGAGGGGAGAGGGGAGGGGAGGCGAGGTGTGGGCGGGATAGGGCGGTTTGCTACTTTGCTTGATGACTTGGTTCACACCTTCACAGCCTCACCTTGACTGGGCTCCTCAGCCGCCCACTCCTCCCATCTCCTCGCACGATCCGGGGTCGGGCAATGGGCATTTAGGGTGCTTCACATCTTGTTGGCTACTCCCCACTCATCCTGCTCCACCCCTCTATGATGAAGTCATATCTTGTCATACGGTTAACTAGCTCCTTCCTCTTTATCTTCGTCCCCTTTACGCCCCCCCCTCGCCACCGCGGATTCGGTATTGGTAGGGGCAAAGTACCCCTTTGTCTTTCTTGGCAAACTGCTTCCCTCTATCCCCTTAGCTTTGCCCTAACCTGTGGTTTTGGTATACCGTATCTCTGAACACCCCTTACGGGTTTTCTTCCTCCTAATCTTCTTTCTCCTTCCCTCCTCCCCCCCCCCCGCTTGCAGGTACGAGGTTGCCAAGCTGCTCATCCGCCGCGGCGCCTCCCTCACCGTGGCGGACGCGGGGGGCCGGCGCGCCTGGGACCTGGTGGTGGGGGTGAAGGGGCGGGTGGGGGACGAGGAGCTGTTCCTCATGCTGAGTGGGATGGGGGCGGGGGGCGGGGGGGAGGCGGTGGGGGCAGCGTCGTTTTCTATGGGTGGGGGAGCGTGAGGGGGGGAGAGTGGGTGGGTGGCAGTGTTGTAGGGGCTGGGTGTGGGAGGGGACGGGGGGGGAGGGAAGGTGCAGAGTGCTGGTTGGGGGTGGTTGTGAGGCGCTTTCGTGAGTTGGGTTGATGGTTTGGGCTCGGGTCTGAAGAGGTCTTGGTTCGTAGTAAAGGGTACACTTCGACGTAACGTTACGCAGTGCACTGGTTTACGAGGCATGGCGGATAAGTGCGGGGTGGATGAGACGTGAACAAAAACCGCAAACTGCCGTACGGCAACCGTATCCGTACCGAACCACACCGTATCGTGTCGTACCGTACCGTAGGACAGTGCTATGTCGCCCCCGTGGCCACCCCATGGCATTACGACGGGTGTTGTTGTTGGCCTCGTGCCCGGCCTCGTTCGGACCACCGCTTCGAAACACACCAGCAGTTTCGCAGTTTCTGACTAGCGCGCCCCTTGGAGCATGTCCCGGTGTTCTGTTCGCTGTTCAACCCGCTACCGGCGCCCTTTAGGTAGCAAGTGGCTTTTAGCCGTGGAGAAGAAGAATAACACATGTCGTACGAATGGGTCGCCGTGCATCTACCGTGTATCTACCCGCAGTCGTGCACATGCGGGGCGTGGTTTTGCACATGTGGCCGATTGACGCATTGGCTGACGATTGGCTGCTCTTTGTGTGAACGGCAAGGTGCCGGTGTTGGCGCTTGTATAGCCGCCTCCTCCGGCTTTACAGCTTTACCAGCAACTGCTGTTCAGGTAGGCAAAGGGGTGAACCTTTTTTTCCATGCTTGTACTCTCGTCGTAAACCTCTACTAGTGCTGCTAGTGTACCCAATGGCTTCCACCACGCCTTCACAACACGCGCGGTTGCGCCTGCTACGCTAGCAGACATGTAGCAGTACCAGTAGCAGGCAACACATTTGCTTTCATCGGCATTTGCATGCAGCATGAGTCCTCCGTACCCCCAATCCTCCGTTCGTAACTCCTAACTTTTACCGTACCTACCTCCTACCCTCTTGCATGCGGTGAGCATGCATGCATGCAGTTTGTCCCTGCTTACCCCAGTCCCCCACCGACCCGCTCTGCGACTACAGCCTCGGATCTCAGCCTACATCTCTCGTGGGAAGTGGGTGCTCATGGCCCGGGTCCGTTCGCCCGTTGTTGATTGGTGTGAATACCCCTCCCCCTCCCCCCCCTCCCCTCACATCAACATACCGCAGCCGAACACCGCATCTAACACCCTGCAGCTCCCGCAGATGAGTACCGGTGCAAGCGTCCCTTGGGACCGGTGCACTACCCTCCCCCCGGGGGGCACTGCCGGTACTTACCACAGCAGGATCGAAGCTTCCAACACCACCACCACGACGACCACATACAGCAAGGATAGCAACCACAACACCAACCCTGCTTTGCTGGTTCCGCTTTACAATGGCTGTACAATGTAGTCAGGCACACCAACCACCTCATGGCCCACGCCCATGTGCCCTGTCAACTGCCTGCCACCGGTACCCTGCCCAACAGCTCCTGTAGCTGCCTACACGGCAGGGGTCCGCCCCGCATGCCCCTCACATACACCGCGTAGCCTCACATGTCGACTCCGGTGCCCCGGCTGCTACCAGCAGCCTTTCGTTAGGGGGTGGGGCACCATACACGTGAGCCGACCCATGGGTCGCATGGGACCATACCGGGCCAGACATCGAAGCATCATACGCATCCGTTCGTCTTGATACACTCACGCTCTCTCCTCTAGCATTGCGGGAACATGGGAAAATAAGTCAGAGGAGGCTGGCGGTGCTTGGGGCCCTAGGCGTCAGGGTCCACCCCCTCCCGCTGCTGCCCCTGCTGCCCCTGCTGCTGCTGCTGTCCCTGCTCCTGCTGCTGTGTGGCGGCATCATCCGCGGCCTCGGCTCCCAGCAGCGCCCCTTCAGGAGAGGGTGCGTAGGGGTTGGGGAAGCAGCACGCGGTGGAGGAATCCGGCGGGGGAACGCTGTCCCGCTGGGGGCAGCCAGGGGGCGGCGGCGGCTTCGGAGGCGGCGGCAGCAGCGTGCCGTCACTTCCACTGTCGGTGTCCCCGACACTCCAACCACCCCCATCACTTCCATCAGCGGGTGAGGATGCCGGGGCCATCCGGGGCCGCTTCACGGCAGGACGTGTTCTGTTAGCCTGCTGCGTGCTGCCGAGCGGCCTAGCTCGCTTCACTCTCGACAGCTGTTGCCCGGGCTGCGGCTGCGGCTGCGGCTGCTGTTGCTGACGAGGTTGGGTTGCATTGATAGCCAAGGCAGCGGGGTATGAAGCCGTATGGCGTTGCGATTGCCTTCGCTTTTGCACAGCCTGCTGCGGTTGCCGCCGCTGCTCGAGTTGCTGCCGCTGTTGCTGCTGTTGCTGCTGTTGCTGCTGTGGCGATGTCGGTAGCGGTGATAGCGGCTGTTGCGGCTGTTGCGGGGTTTTCGAATGCTTGACTTCCACCTGCTGCAGCGGCTGGTGCGGCCTATGCGGCGCCAATCCACGTTGCTGCTGCTGCTGCTGCTGCGGTGGAGGCGGCTGTAGCAGCAGTAGCACGGCCCTCGCTTTAGGCTTGAACTTGGGCCTCAGCCTTGGCAGCGGCAGCGGTCCACGGCCCGGTATTGCAGCCGCTGCTGCAGCCGCCGCTGCAGTTGCAGCTGCAGCTGCCGCTGCTGCCTTTACTGCCACCACCACTCGGTGCATTTCCTCAACCTCCTCCCCCTGCTCCCCCTGCTGCTCCTCCCAGCCTTGCAACGCAGCCAGCGGACTCCGAGCCAGCGCACGAAGGTATGCCAGGATGCCGCGTCCATGCAGACCTGCGCGCTGGGGCCTTCTTGAGGCTGTGGATCCGGTTCCAGGTGGGCCACCTCCTACATCCGGTCTGGATCCAATTCCATTTGTAGTACTGGTGCCGAGGTGGGCTCCAGGGGATTCAAGGCTGGGCCCAAGCCCAATCGTTAAGGGCGGCGGTGCCGGAGCTGGTGCCGGCTGCGGTGGTAGAGGGGCCGCCGTTGCCACCGCCGCCGCCGCCGGCGGCCACCGAGTGTCCGCCAGCGACGGCAGCGGCGGCGGCGGAGGGAGGTAGTTTGGAGGCGGGGGCAACGACAGAGGAGGCACCACAGCCGTCGGTGGCAGTGCAGGAATGGGCGGCGTCGGTATCGGCGGTGGTGACGGCAGCTGCTGAGGAGGCGGCGGTGGTGACGGCAGCTGCTGAGGTGGCGGCGGTGGTGACGGCAGCTGCTGAGGTGGCGGCGGTGGTGACGGCAGCTGCTGAGGTGGCGGCGGTGGTGACGGCAGCTGCTGAGGTGGCGGCGGTGGTGACGGCAGCTTCTGAGGAGGCGGCGGTGGTGACGGCAGCTGCTGAGGTGGCGGCGGTGGTGACGGCAGCTGCTGAGGTGGCGGCGGTGGTGACGGCAATTGCTGAGGTGGCGGCGGTGGTGACGGCAACGGCGGCGGGAGCGTCGCCGTCCGCGGCAGTTGCAGCAGCGGTGACGGTGGCGGCACCGACGGCCTTGGCACCACGGGCCGCTGCGGCTGTGACGGCGCCGTCGACGGTGACGGCGGCGAAAGTGGCGGCAGCGGTGGTAGCTGCTCAGTCATCGTTGGCCTTGGCGGCGCCGGCGGCAGTGATGGCTGTGGCAGCGATGAAAGCAATGGCAACGGAAGCGCCGCCTTCTGCGAGGGTGGCTGTGTTACCGTTGGCTGTATGGGCTGTGGAATCTTCTGTGGGGCCTGCGGCGGTGGCGGCGGCGCCTGCTGCTGACCAGCGGCCTGTGCGCAGAGGTGAGATGCCAACCGGGCAAGTAGCCATTCAACATGATGGAATAAGTCGAAACATGAACGCTTGCGACTGGATACATACAGTCGCTTATAGTCGTTTTTAAGATAGCAACACAGCAAGCAACAAGTACAGCCACGCCCCTCACGACTCGTCAGGCATGGCAGCCCACATGACTAACGGCGCGAAAAGCGGTTGCACTTCCGGAATCCACAGCGAGCAGCTGCACCTGCAGCAACACTACTGCCGTACATGCGCAGCAGCAGCAAGCCCAGCAGCTAGCGCACCCGGCCACACATACCTGCTGACGGAGGCTCTTTAAGCGGTTATTGCAGTCGATGCTCAGGTGTGGCCCACGGGTCGACAGCACCGCACCGCACTTGGGGCAGCTCCGCAGCTGCAATCCGTGTCCCCCTCCTCCTCCCCTTCTGACGGCATACGGGTCGCTGCTGTTGTTAGCTGCGCCTTCTCCCCGAGCCCAGGCGGTTGCACCCGCAGCACCAGGACCACCCGCAGCCGCCGCAGTGGAAGGGGATGATGGGGCGGCGGGCCGCCCGCTGTAGTGCAGTTTGAGGCTGGCAAGGTCTTGGAACGCCATGGGACAGCCCGGGTAAGGGCACTTGTAGGGAGCTGACATCCGGCTGCGAAGCGAAGCGAAGCAGCACCGGACCCGCTCCTAGGTGATAAGTATGGATCGCTTGGAGCAGCAGGAGCAGCGCCAGCAGTAAGAGCAGCGTTCTTGACTGCTGGTGTTGTAGGACCCACAGCAGCAGCACTACTAACAGGAGCAGCCAAACTAGCCAATTATCTTGCAGCAGACGGCAGCGGTGCCTGACCGCACAGGATATGGTGGCGCGCGCCCGAAACAAGGTAGCGCGCTGTCGCAATTATTTTGGTGCTTTGTCGAGGCTCCAAATACAACAAGAAAGGTGAGAAGGGATGCCTGAAGAGCCTCTCTTCTTAAAATGCGTTTGCAACCTGTCGGTGTTCATTAACAGTTAGGGCTTTCTCCTTCTACGGCATTTGGCGCGCTACGGAACGAGCTGCGTAAGACGGGCGGATCGTTATTTGTTAAGTTTCATGTATTATGTTCACCGAGGCTGCTCGTGTTTGCATTTGTTCTCAGTTATGCCTACACGGGTATACTGCTGCTCAGCGCGACGGACAAGGTCGCATTCTTAACTACCGATCCACGGCACGGTCCGATGCCATGCGCGCCTAAGGGCCCCTGACTCATTTGCCACCCCTGCTGCTGAAAACATAGTTGCGTGTTTACAATGAGGTATTTTCGCCGACTACCGGTAAACATATCGAACCTTTATCGAGTGTTGAAAAGCTCTAAATGTGCTGCTTGTGAACCGAAGTCCGGCAAGCAGCACCCTGCACTCCGGAAGCCCCTGATGACCCATGGGTCACCACCACGCTGCATGAGCATACCGGTATGCATACACACTACACGCGCGCGCCCGCACGAACAGCGTGACATGCAGTTTTGCTAATTAATGGTTGTCACGTGAGCACGTGGGGCTGTCTTGTTGCCGTAAACGGACATGCTGGTGCCGTACATTCTTGTGCGCTGTCGCTGCAAAAAACGGGAAACGCATAGTAAGCCTTGAGCCCGCCTACTGCTCTCTGCAGCAATGCATGTCCTTGCAGTCAGATGTACTGGTAGTCAAGATGAGATTTCAAACACAGGCACACGGCCGTGTTGGCTTCGCTGCATGACACCTCTCGTTCATCCCCCCAAGAGACCCTGTAGCATGTCCTCTTGACTTCGACTACAAATTCGTTGTATCAGTCCAGTACCGGTAACCAGTTATCCATTTATGTAACGCCAAAACGTCGTGCGGATCTACGCTCGGCATGGGGGGGGGAGTGCCGGTCTTGTACCTGGTCAGGTACACAGACGCAGACACAGCGGCACAAACACACGGGTGTTCACATGCCACACGCTACAGATACACATCATCAGCCCAGTACGGGTGTGTTTGACTCGCGAAGGCCAGTTTTGTTACCGTTCGTTACGCAGCGTCAGTGTCAGTTCTGCGGCACAGTTGGTTTGTGGCACGTGTATGCGGCATTCCGGTCTTGTCCCTGGTACGTAATATCCTGTTTTGCCCAGGTGGTAAAATCATGCCGGCTCCATACTAGTGTCCTCGTTCCCTTCACCCTCCCGGCCACATGGCAGCATACCGTACGAACATGTGCGTGCTACTGTGCCGTACTGGGCGGCGGTACAGCGCGTGCGGTGCCAGTTAGCAAGAGGTCCCCGCCGACCGCGGCTTTACCAAGCCATGCCCTTGCCTCGCCCGTATATGTTGCAGCAAGTATGGCGCCAGGCGTGAGTGGTAGGAAATTGAGTTGCTGCAGCTTGTTCAATGGTAAATCTTGCTACTGACTCCAGCTTGCAAACGCCATTAGCTGCATCGTAATGGATAGGGTTTGGACGAGGCCAATGCTACAACTGTAAGTTGGCCCTAATGTAGGCAGGTGGCTTATCATGAGCTGCCAAGTCCTTAACATCACAAGCCGCTGTCGTCAAAGGCATGCAAGCCAAGAAAGCAAACAAAGCCAAGAAAGCAAAGGAAGGCGCATCCTTACTTGTGACCTCTGGACAAATGTTATTAATCAGTACCTTTATTTGCAGGAAGGCATGTGAAGATAAGTTTTAGGTCACTTGCTCGTCCAACTTCGGATCCATTCCATCAGGTCACTCATCCACACAAGCGAAGAAGCTACACTTTATGTATACACACAGATTGCCTAATTAGGTGCATTCTTGCCTAAGAATTTGGTTGGAACGCAACAGATTTGTGTCATTTACAGTATGCCTTAGTGGCGCAGTGCTATAAGTGTTCATTGCAACATGGTCGTGCATGATATATAGCGTTACCTTATTGTTAACATTTAAACACATTTCATAGCTTTGTGCCAGCGATCAGCCGAGAAGGAAAGATGCTACAGGACTTCCATCTTCGCAGGCGAGGTGCGCGCATATCGTCGTTAACAATTCGCAACGACGTCCTTCTATGACTCTCTCGCTGGCTCTACTTGCTTGCAACATGTCAAACGACCTCCCAACGGCCCACCAACTCTCCCCCCATCCCGCCCAACCTCCTAGCTGCTGTTGGCAAGCGCTGGTGCCCAGCGGCCTCGCACAACACGCCCCGCGTTGCTCGCTATGCTGTCCGAGCTAAAGCTTCCGCTTCAATCCCAGCACCGGGCTCTATGTTACCAGAGTTCAGCACAAGCAGGTACACAACCTCCGCAGCCTGAGCTCCCGCGGTTCCAGTCAGCCTCCCCCCCCCCCTCGTCAGTTCGACAGTTTCCTTATTTCCTCACCCCCCCTACCCCTTCTAGACCAACGCCCGCACCCTGAAACACCCTCCCCCCGGCGTGCCCGCCTCACAGACCCATCACCGGAGCTGATCCTCCCTTCGTATTCCTTACATTCGCCCCTCCCTGCCTCCCGGCCTCCCCGCGCTTCCCTCCCCTCCCCCCAAGCGCAGCCCCTCCCAGCCCTGGCAGCTCGCGGTGCTGGGCGACCTGCACCTGCCGCCCCCCCGCATGCAGCTCTACAGGGAGGCGCAGCAGCAGCTGCGGGGGCTGCTGCTGCAGCAGCAGGAGGGGGAGCAGGGGGGCAGCACAGCGGCAGCAGCAGGTGGGAGGATTCGGGGGTGGGGCTCTGGGAATGGCGAAGAAACACTAGCTGGGGTGGGGTGGAGGCATGGCGGTTGTGATGGTGGGGTGCCGCATGCAGAGCCCACATGCAGCTACCTCACATGGCAGCTATCTCGTGCACACATGGAATAGCAGCAGCAGCAGCAGCTGCTGCTGCTGCGGAGGAGGAGGAGGAGGAGGACGAGGAGGAGCCCCACCCAGCAACAGCAGCTGCGGACGGCGGCACCCCAGCTGCAGGGGTGTCGAGACGGGGGGTAAAGAGGAAACAACTAACGACGGGGGGTGAGTACTGGTATCTCGCACCAGGCTGCGATTAGTTACCGAAAGGAGATTACTTGAGGGAGCTTACACCACACACACTCCTTGTTATAGGCTTCCTTCCTTACCCCGTGTAGGCGGTAACGAAGCCGCGGCACCACCCGCAGCAGCAGCAGGTGATGCGGCAGCCGTGCGACCCGTGGGTCGGCTGGTGCAGCTGGGAGACCTGGGTCACGGCAAGCACGCCTCGGGGTCGCGCAGCTGCTTCGAGTTTGCGAGGTAGGAGGGGGTGGTGGCTGGTGTCTGGAAGGGGGGTGGGTAGGGAGTAAGAAAGGTGCCCGCCTTATGGCAGGATAGGGCTGCGATGGAGCCCTACCCGTTAGGATGGTGGGCAGGTGGCATGCCCTTCCTTCCCGTGTTGGCAAGGGGGGCATGCGAGCGGGGTGAGGAACGGACTCTCTCCTCCTCTCCCCCGCTCTTCCAGGCAGTACCTGGATGGTTTCGGGGTGCCGTACTCGCTCATCACGGGCAACCACGACCTGGAGGGGGAGGAGTTCGAGAGCGACGAGGAAAACCTGGAGGCGTGGAGCCAGGTGGGGGCTGGGGGGAGGGGTTAGGGGGTTAGGGAGAGACCCGAAAACCATAGGAGTGTTTAGGATGGTTAACCACAGGTTAGGGCAAAGCGATGGGAATAGGAGGAGGCGGAATGCAAGGGGAGTTGGGTGGCGTGTGCCAAGCAGTTGCCCAGCTCGGAGGGAGGAGGTGGTGGGGCGTGGTAGGAAAGCTGACTGCAGAACTGTGTGTTGAAAAGAAAACTGGGCGCGGGTGTTTTGGGCGGCATCACGTTATCCTCGAGCGCTTGCGAGGGTGGTGGGGGGCTGCATGCCTTGCCCGCCAGGACGTGAGCGGCTGTTGGGGGGAGCAGGGGTTGCTTACCCGGTGGTGGAGCGGTGCGGGAGGTGGGGTGGGGTGGGGCGCTGCCCCCCCTCACAACACATCACATCACATGCCAGTGCTACCACCTCCGGGGCGCGCCCCCGAACCCTTTCGCCCCCTCCCTCCTCCCCTCCCTCCTCCTTCCCCATTTCAAAGAACACATTGGGTACCGTATTCTTCTTTGCCTCCCCCCCTCCTCCCAGGTGTTCCAGCGGCCCCCCTACTGGTGTGCCCAGCTGGGGGTGGCGCGGGTGGTGGGGCTGAGCACCGTGAGGTACCGCAGCAACAGGAACAGGTGGGGGAGGGGAGGGGGGAGTTGGGGGGGGTGTCTGCGTGTGTGTGTATGGGGGTTGTGGGGCTTACGAAGCCCTCCCGGGGCAGGTGGGGGTGAGGTCCACCGTGTTGAGGAGGAGTGCGGGGTGGCAGCCATGAGCCCATGACCCCTCCCCACCCCCTCGTCTCCTCCCTGTACCTTCAGCTTTTGTCTAACTTGACAAAAGAGATGAGCCACATGCACGTACCAGCACCATTGCCCGGCCAATCCCATGCAACTCAACCCCCTTTTCCCCTCCCCCCAAACACATTGGGTATCTGACCTCCCCCCCAACGCACTGGGTATTCTTCTCCCTCCCTCCTATCCTCCCCCCTCCCCCTCCCCCTCCCCCCCACTAGTCACCACGAGGTGTTCATTCCCCCCGAGCAGCTGTCCTGGCTGGAGGGGCAGCTGCGGGCGCACCCCACCACCCCCTTCATCATCACATCGCATGCACCGCCCATGGGGTGCGGGCTCAAGGTGGGGTCAGGGGAGGGGGAGGGGGAGGGGGCGGGAGGGGTAAAAAGAAATTCCAAAGTGTGGTGTGATAATGATAGTGTGGGCGGGAGGGGTAGGGGGCGGGAGGGGGGAGGGGGGGAGGGGAACCTAATCAAGGCGTGGCAAGACGACGCCGTGCCTTCTCCACGATGCCTTCACCCGCGACCAACCACACCCATTGTTGTGGGTGGAGGTAGTCTCCAGGGAGAGAGGGAGAGAAGTGGGGGTGGCAGAAGAAGGGCTCAGGCGGGTTCCCACGCACTCCCCACAACCGCAGTCTGTTACCGATTCCCCCTTCACCCCTTTCTCCCCTTCCCCCGCCGGCCCCTGTGATCTTCAGACGAGCCTCTACAACGTTCACGGCCCATCGCGTTGCGAGCACAACCCTAAGCAGGTTACCTCCCCCCCCCCCGGTTTCCTATGGTTTGGTATGGTCTTTGACCCCCGGTTTCCTATGGTTTGGTCTATTCTTATCCCGCCCGCCCCCGCCCCCGCCCCCCAACCCCCCCCAGGTCATCCAGGAGGTGCACATCAAGAACCGCTGCGCATGGCTGAACCACTCCGCGCAGCCGCCCGACCCCGACCCACGGGTCTTTCTGTCGCTGGTGTCCCGCCACCCCAACATAAAGCTCTGGTTCTCCGCGCACTTCCACCTCGCGCACAACTACCACGACTCCATTTCGGTGGTGGGCAGCACGGCGTTTGTGCAGGTGGTTGGGCGGGGTAGGGGGTAATAATAGAGAAACTGACGAGGCAACCCTGGGTACTGTGAGTGTGTGGTAAGAAAACTGGCCGCAAGTTCAAACGTACTGGATGCAGGGGTGTGTGTGCATGTGTATGTGGTGTAACAACACGAGTAGGAACGTACTGGGATGTGTGTGACTGACTGTTTTATCAACTGGCCGCAAGGCTGGGGGTGTGTATAAGGGATGGAAATAGGGGTGGGGGGAAAAATTAAATATGTGAAACAACGAGGGGAGGGGAGTGGACCCTGAGGGGGAAAGGGACAGTGCTCACCTCCTTCATCCGTCCCCATTCCCACTCGCCTCCATACCATACCTGTGATTGCCTCACTTACTTGACTTCCTGCACCCCCCACCCGCTCTCCCCCTCCCCCTGCATGGCGCAGGTGGGGGTGATCGGCGAGTGTAACAGAGACGGTTTGCGGCAGGTGCGTGAGGGGTGGGGGCGGGGGGAGCTGGCGGGCTTTACCTTTCCTCCCCTGTACCATCTCCCATACCCTACTCATGTCACAACCTCTCCCTCTCTGCCCCACGGTTCGTTAGTTGTTTCCTCTTTACCTTTAAACCCCCTCTCCCCCTTCCCCCTCCCCCTTCCACCCCCCTCCTGCCCCCCAGTCCCGGCTCCTCCGCGGCGACCCCTCCGGCTACCAGCTGCTCACGCTGGACCACTCCACGGGGGCACTCAGGCTGGACATGCAGGACAGCTGGGGGCTGTACGACACCGCCTCTTCGCAGTACGACACCGCCTCCTCCTCCGGTCAGCAGTACGGCAGCAGCAGCAGCAGTGCCTCCTCCTCCCCCCACCCGCCGCCCCCCACCCCGCTGCTGCCCCCCGGGGAGGAGCTGCTGTGTGACCCGCAGGCGGGGTGGCTGTGCTCGCAGCAGCTGGAGTGCAGGGTAGGGGAGGGGGAGGGAGGGGGATTGATAGGGATGCAATTCCGCATTAGGCTGGAATTTGGGGGAGGGGAAGGGGGAGGGGGAGGGCGGGGAACGATCAGGGGAAAGGGGTGAGGGAAGGAGTGATCGCAGAATGCTGTCGTTGAAGGCTTAGCAGTTGCGTATTCACGGTTTCCACCTTTTTCGTTGTAAGGATGATTTCCCTTGCTCGCTCATCGCCTTCCCTGTTCACCCCCTCCTCCTGCTCACCCCCCCCCCCAGGTGGGCGATAACAGCACTGGCTTCATGACTTGGTGAGAGGGGGCGGAGGGGGGGACACAGGGGGGAGGGACACAGATATAGGTACCAAACCATAGGAACCACACATTCGGGCAAAGCCATGGGGAAGTAATGGGATGTGGTTGGGCTGGGGGTTGCATGGAGGGAGTAATGTCGGTAGGGCTATTCATGTTGGACCTATCATCGGTATGGGTCCAGCTGTTGATGAATGGGAATGAATGGGAGGGGGCTCGCACCTGATGCCCTGGGAGGGAGCGGGGGGCGGGTTGCTTCTAGCAGGTCGCCGTCGCTCCCTCGTTTGCTTCCTCTACACCCCCGCATGCCCAGCCCCCCTCAGACCCCAGTCCCCAACTCCCACCCCCTACTCCGACACACCCTCTACTCCATCCCTTCCCCCTTTCCCCCTTCTCCCCCTTCCTCCCTCCTCTTATACTATGGTTTATCTCGGACCCCCTCCCCCCACCTCCCCCCCCTAAGGTACCCGGTGGGTCGTGACACCATCCTGGCACTGCAGGCGGGCGGGCTGCTGGTGGAATATGGTAGGGGAGGGGGCCAGGGGGAGGGAGGGGGGGAGTATGGTCGGGGGGGTCAAAGACCATACCAAACCATAGGAGACCACAGGGGGAGGGGAGGGGGGAGGGGAGGGGGGAGGGGGGGGAGGGCTGATGGATTGGGGATCTGTTGGTGGAGTAGGGGGGGGGCGGGTAGAAGACGGGGAGGAGAGAGGTGGGTAGAGAGGGGAGACATGGGCAGAGCGATGGTGGGAGAGGAGAGGTAGCGGTAGGAGGAGGAGACAGGAGAGGCAGGTAGCGTACCCTCCCCAGCAAACAACCCCCACCTGTGTTCACTCCAACTCCTATGGTTTGGTCCATCTCCGCCCCCCCTCCCACCCCCCTCCCACCCACCCACCTCCCCCCCCCAGACCTGTCCACCGCCGCCCCCATCGGCCTGCTCACCCGTGTGCCGGAGGGGGGGCGGGTGGAGCTGGTGGGGGCAGGAGGGGGGCGGCCGGAGCGGGAGGATGGGGCAGACGTGGAGGAGGTGCGGGTGGTGGGAGCGGCAGGTAAGGGAGGAGTGCCGGGGAGGGGGAGGGGGAGGTGCGGGTGCGGGGCGTTGGATGGGGTAAGGGGGCCGCGGGATATAGGGGGCCTGGGAGTGTAACGGTTGAAGAGGGAAGGGTGGAGGAGGCGGTGCCTTCCTCCTTATCGGCCGTAAGGAGGGATGGGAGGCCTAGGTTATGTGGGTAGGGTGTGGGCTCCATGCTTCCGCTGCTAGCCCCTCCTGCACCTCACCACACACCACTACCTCCTCCCTTACCGGCCCTCTCCCACCCGTCCCCAGCCCCCTCTCATCCCTCCTCCTCCTGTCCCTCCCTCCTCCCACCTCTCCCTGTCCCCCCCCGCAGGTGAGGTGCTGGAGGTCCTGCCTCGCAACCCCGTCGGCGCCTTCTTCCGCATCTTCCAGCCCAACAAGTGGCGACTCAGGAAGCAGCTGCAGCTGCAGCAACAGCAACAACAGGAGCTGCAACAGCAACAGCAGGGGCAACAACAGCAGCAGGAGGAGCAGCAGGGGACTCCCCTCCTGCGATAGGTGCGGCATGGTACCGGCATGGAGTCCTCATCCAGCAGAGCCGCAGGCAAGCAGGGTGAAGAACCAACTGCGCTGTCCGCCTCACCAGATGCCCCACGTACCGGTAACCACACATTCCCACCCACCATACCGGTAGCTGCGGTGGGTGGTGGGTGTGGTGGATGGTGGATGTGGTGGATGGTGTAAGCCCGCGCACTCGCGATCCTGACATCTGCAGTTACGCCTTTCCGTAGCTTACAGGTGGCTAACACCATGAACACGCCGGGCCCCGTGTCAGGCGAGCGAGCAACACCGCGAGGGGTAAAGAGGAAACAACTAACGAACCGTGTGATAAGGCGTCATCGTGGTTTGTAACATGTGAGCGTGAGGGGTGGTGCGAGAGAGAGAGGAGAGCACAGAGGAGGGAACACTGGGAGCGGCTGCAGCGGACTGTGGAGTGCGCGGGGGGATGTGCGGAGCGAGTGAGGGCTTAGATGAGATGGAGTCTCCGTGCGTGAGGAATGCGTGACCTGAAGAAAGAGAGGGAGAGAGTGCGGGGGGGAGAGGAGCGGCCTTTGGTAGTTCAGGGGAGAGGAGGAGATGCGCGCTGAACAGACCCGTGGGTCAGACTTTCAGGAGAGCTGCTCCCATGCTCCTGTTCTTTCCACAGGAACCCACTTTTCCTATGGTTTGGCTACAAGTCAAGGGCCAGGACTGTTGGCGCTTTGATTTTGTCCTTTTCTGATGTATTTATGGTGTTGCTACCGCTACTAAAAGCATTCCTTGCTTAAAAGACGAAGGATGCACTTGGTACGAGAGGGCCATAGGCCCATGGATTGGATCGGCTCCTGACCACGACATGGGGATACTCATACCTGCGCCCGGTGTGTGACAAACACATGCATATTACGTCCTGGGGATGGTGGTGGGCGGGGGGCTGTGCTGCGATCGGGGCGTTCCCCGCTGGGGCCCAGCGCAGTTCCCCGTACCGGTACGTCCCGTGGGTCGTGTTTCTAAGCAAATGTTTATAGCAACTATAGATACCGGTAACTCAAAAGGTCAGGAAGGCAGGCCCTTGATACAACACAAATGGGTGTGACTTCCCTTCCTCCGTTATAAGCTCCGGACCGCCAGCCCACCACTTCCATCATGGCAGGGCTCCTACCCGCTGCCGCCTCCCAGGCGGAATGGCCTCCCAAGCCACAGCTAGCCGTACGTACTCGGCGCATGTAGAAGCGTGCATGTAGGGGAGAGGAGTTGTTCGACGGGGTCAGATCGGGCGCCCGTAACTGAGCCGTCTCGAACGTGACAACGAGTAGAGGGCAATAAATGGTTGCCGCACACAAACCCAGCATCTGAAAAATGAAGACCGTACACCACATCAGCACGCGGTCGTACTTACAGTCGGCATGGGGACAGCAGGGGGCCACCTCTTGTCAGAACCGTCAGGTTCCTGACTCAGCACCTCACGCTTGCATGTGGAGTCTGCTATTACACAAGACCCGGGTGACGCAGGGTGCAGCCTCCTCCCTCGCTGTGTCAGTCCTCTTCCCCTCGTCCCCCGGAGAGCTGAGCTGAGCTGCATGTATGTCTCCCCAGCGGCAACACGAGGAGCAGGAGAGGGAGGCGGCACGCCAGGCGGTAGAAGCAGGGCGCCGTAGAAGCAGGGCGCGGGTGATGGGGCGGGGCTGGCTGCTGCTGCGAGGGAGGCGACACGCCAGGCGGCAAGGGCGCATACATACCGGCAATAACGTGTGCCTAATCCCCTCATAATCGCCTGTCTGTGTCGTATCATATTACAAAAGTAAGCAGGAGGCAAGCGTTCCAAGAATTCCCACACCCCCATCATCCAGTTCTCACTCTCTCGACCTCCATGCCATTTCAGTTAGTACGGTAGATCCTGGCTGCCCCATGCATGTCAACACTCGCTCCCATTCTCTCCCATCCTCATGCATGCCAACACTCTCTCCCATTCATTCAATTCCTTGTCAATTGTGAAGACACTGGCCGCAACAAGTAGGTGTAGGCGTTTACAGCCTCCTATGACCTAACATACACACATGCAGTGCGTGAATCACCCCCTGCGCCTTTCCTACATAATATACTTGTATGCGCCAACAGGCAGCTACAAAACACAGCTACCACTCGTCCACACACCTGTCTAAAACAACACATATTGGATACCAACACCGTGCAGGGTACCGAATGAATGAATACAGTTACAGTGGTACTTGTCTCTGCCATGCGTCGCATATACAGCACAAGCAACACCCTCTCAAACCACGCACTACGTGCCGATCCGTCCAAACACACAGCCACTCTCCCCACCACCACCACCACCACAACCACCACCGTCGTTCTTAGCTAAGAGCTCATAGGGAGCAGGCAGGCCATCACGTCGCCATCAGCCGCGTGCGGGCACCACGGGGTCTCCAACCGCCACAACCGCCAACCCACCAAACCTCCGCCGCAACCACTCCACCGACCCCACCCCCACCACCACCTCGGGCCCCTCCTCCCCCTCCTGAAGCCGCTGCTCGCTGCTTCCCCACCCCTGCCTTCCTCCACCCACGCCACCTCTCCCTTCCCCACCTACATCCCCAGCGGCAGCAGCAGCAGCAGGAGCCGCAGCTAACAGTACCCCAAACGTCAGCTTCCCACCACCACCACCACTACCACCTCCTGCTCCTGCACCTCTACTACCAATCCCACCTCCACCATCTCCACCGTCTCCACCCGCAGTACGACCAGCGACCGTACGACTGCGCCCTCGCCTGTACTGCGCTATAGCCACGAGGAGCTCCGGGCCCCGCCGCACACCGACCCATGGGTCGATCTGCAGCAGCTCACATCGCGGACAGCCGCCCAGCACCTGCAGCTGTATGGGTGCTGCACTGCTGCTGCCAGAGCGCTCTCCCCCTGCTGCTGCTGTTGTCGTTGTTGATGTCGCCGTGGCTGCCGCTGTAGCTTGTCCTCCTTCCCCTTCCCCTCCTTCCCTTCCTCTATTCACATCGATGCTCACATCGCTACTCAAGCCGCCGCGTGTAGCAGCGGTGCAGGCAATCGGAGCAGCGCCAGGCGTGATGCTGCCAGCGGTGGGGCTGGCAGCAACGACAACAGCCACAGCAGCGGTAGCAGCGGACTGATTTGGACCACCCGCACCCCTACCAGAAAAACTAGCATCACCACCACTACCGATTTGTACGGCAGTCCAGGTGTCTTCGTCGTACGGCCGAAAGCCCGAGACGATGAGGTTGGGCCTCAGCCGAGCGATGAGGTGCTCTGGGTCGAGAAGGTTGGAGGATGGGGAGGGGGAGGAAATGCAGACACCACCTGCTGCTACCGTTGCTGCGGATGTGCTGCTGCTGCTTGCCATTCCCTGGCTGCCGCTGCTACTGCTGTCACTGCTGCTGGCGTTGTTGCGCCAGAGCAACAACGGCTGCAGGCGGGTCCGCAGGTCCGCAATGCTGGCCTGCGGGTGCCGGCGTGGAGAGTAACAGTTGGGCGGCTTGGGGTGATGGAGGGAGGGTGCATGGGCCGGTGCACGGGCCGGTGTGCTGAGCGGCAACACGGGGGAGATACGTGCATGGTGGCACAGGACACATCTGCTGCCAGCCGGTGGGGCATGCGGGCGCATGTGCTACCGGTACCGGTACCGGTAGGCAGCAGCTGGTGGGAGCAGCAACAGCAGCAGCTGGTGCCGATGAGGACTGCTTGGTGTTGCAAGGAAGGCCCAGTCCTCCCCTTCCCGTGGTGGGTCATCATGTACTGGCTCCAACACGCCACCCTAACCTTCCAAAGCCTCCTCCTTTTCATTACCGGTATCCTGCCCTACCCGCCCCCTCACTTAGTTACCCTTCCCTTAACACCCTCCCCCGCACTTCCCCATGCCTCCCTCCCTCCCCTCACCTGCCCCTCCCCACTCAGCCTGTCAGTTACCCACTCACCTCCGACACCAGCAGGTACTGCCCGTCATTCGCAAAACCAACCGCAGGAGCAACCGCCCCCGCCCCATCCGCCTCCGCTCCGTCACCTCCCCCCGCCCTCGCCCCGCCGCCCAGGCCGCCCCCCCGCACCCGCACCCGCCGCTCCCCCGGCCGCTGCTGCACCAGCCGGCAGGGCACCCCGAGCACCCGCGTGAACCACTGGCGTACTGCCGGGTGCTGGGAAGAGGTGCACCCGGAGACCTGAAGAGGGGGGGAGGGAAAGGGGGAGGGGGAGGAGGGTTGGGAGAGGGGGAGGGCATGGGAGGCGAATGGTGAGGACTGATGGGAGGGGGAGGGGGAGGAGAGCGGATGCAAAGCAATAAAGAGCTCATGGAGGTGTGGAGAGGGAGATGCCTCCCCCGACAAACATGTGTGTAGGCACATCAACCCCATCCGTTCCGACCCCTGGGTCACTCACCACATCCGAGCACACCGTCTCGCCGCACAGCTTTACACGCTCCGAAACCACCACTGTTTCCTCGGAGTCCCCCGTCGTCTTGCCGTCGACAATACTGCTGCTGCTACCGCTGCCATTGCTGCAGCTTCCAAGCTGCCGGGAGAAGTCAGGAATGGGCAGCACCAGGGGAGGAGGGGGGGCTGCCTCCTCGCCCTCCTTCTCTTCACCCTCACCAGACGCCGCCCCCTCCCCAAGCCGACCAGCCCAACGAGCAGATGGCGGAAGGAGAGGCGCAGATGGCGGGGGGCCGCGGATGGTGAGTGTCCCATGGGTCAGGTCCACCTCGGGCCGAATGAGCGCCATGCGGGGGCACTGCTTCAGCGTCAGGACCCTGCCTGCAGGGAGGAGGGAGGGAGGGAGGGGGAAGGAGGAGGAGGAGAGGAGGGAGACACAGCGTTATTGGTTGGAGGGGGAGGAGGAATGGAAGGGGACGAGCGAGAGGCTCGGGGCAAGGAGGGGTGTTGCCATGACCATCGCAGCACCATCGCCGACAAGCGAGTGGACACAAGGAGAGCGTTCGTGGGTGGTCCACTTCGTCCATACACATGATGCGGGGCAGGGCCGAAGGAGCAACGCGGATCACCATGCCTCCTCACGCTAACGGCTACCATCCCATGTACCGGTAGGCAAGAATGCCAAGCAAGCAATGGTAAGCATGCATGGACGCCAAACCCCCCATGACACACACGCCCCAGTTCCCCACACAACTACCTGCTACCTAGCTATCTTGCTACCTAGCGTCAGTGCGCCAACCCTCAAGCCACCTTCATACCCTCAAGCTTCCTCTTTACACCTCCGACTACAGCATTCCCACCCCTCCCACCCCTCCCACAATGGGTATTCTTCTTATACCCCACCCCCACCTCCCCACCCCCCACCCCTCGCATTCACCCCCCCCTCACCGCTGTCATCCACCAGCGCCCACTCCCGGTCATACAACAGACCCGTGGGTCCCACCGGCCAGCCGCCCGCACCCACCACCTGCGCGCCACACGACTTGACCGGGTACAGCCGGATACCCGCCAGCCGGCCCGGGGTGGCGGTGCTGCTGCTGCTGCCGGTGCCGGTGGTGCTGTTGTTGTTGGTGGTGGTGCTGGTGGTGGTGCTGCTGCTGCCGGTGCCGGTGGTGCTGTTGTTGTTGTTGGTGGTGCTGGTGGTGGTGCTGCTGCTGCCGGTGCCGGTGGTGCTGTTGTTGTTGGTGGTGGTGCTGGTGGTGGTGCTGCTGCTGCCGGTGCCGGTGGTGCTGTTGTTGTTGTTGGTGGTGCTGGTGGTGGTGCTGCTGCTGCCGGTGCCGGTGGTGCTGTTGTTGTTGGTGGTGGTGCTGGTGGTGCTGCTGCTGCTGCCGGTGCCGGTGGTGCTGTTGTTGTTGGTGGTGGTGGTGGTGGTGCTGCTGCTGCTGCCGGTGCCGGTGGTGCTGTTGTTGTTGGTGGTGGTGCTGGTGGTGCTGCTGCTGCTGCCGGTGCCGGTGGTGCTGTTGTTGTTGGTGGTGGTGCTGGTGGTGGTGGTGCTGCTGCCGGTGCCGGTGGTGCTGTTGTTGTTGGTGCTGGTGGTGGTGGTGCTGCTGCCGGTGCCGGCGGCAGTAGGGGCTGCACTGCTGCTAGTGGTGCTGGTGCAGCCGGATACCACACCTCCGGCAGTACCCCCTGCTGGCACCCCTGCTGCCCCCTCTGATGCTGCACTTGCTGGCACCGCTTCGGCCGCTTCACCGCCCATGAACTCAAGCTGCTGCCGCTGCTCCTTACAGGCGCAGGCCTCCCCCTCCTCCCGCTCCTCCCCCTCCTCCAGCCCCTGCCCCTCCTCCACCCAGTACCTCCTCACCAGCGCCAGCAGCGCCCATGCGTCCCGGAAGCTGCTGACCGCCCCCAGCGACACGCGCACCGCTCCCGTGGGCGCACCCCACAGGAAGTCGCGCTCGTCCCAACACACGTGGCCGGCACTGGTGCGGAGAGGGGAGGAGAGGAGAGGGAGAGGAGAGGCGGAACGTTTACTTGGGAAGGGGCGGGCGGCGAAGAGAGTGGGGAGCATGGAAGAGGGGTTGCATGGCACTAGCAAACAACCAAACCTCCAGCTCCCATCCCTGCTACCTTGCTTACCCTACACAGCACCTGAGCCGCAGCCTGCACCCGACCACTCGCCCTCCCCTCGCCGCCACCCCGCCCCCGAACCAACACTCTATCTTGTGACGCCCTGCCGCCTCCTATCCCCTTTGCTTTGCCCTAACCTGTGGTTTCTTATGGTTCGGTATGGTCTTTTGAACCCCCCCCCTCTCGCCCCCCTCCGCCGCCCCTCACCGGTGGTTCTCGATGGCCTGCTCCCCACTCAGCCCCAGCCACTCGCCGCACGCCCCAGGGTTGCAGAAGCACCCGGTGCGCAGCAGCAGACCGTGCAGCGCCGCCAGCCGACCCACCTCGGAACAGCCCACCAGCTGACCCGTGGGTCGCAGCAGGTTGAAACACAGCGTGGGGCCGTGGTGCTGAAGGCTGCCACCAACAACAACAACGTCATCGACAACATGGCGCTCATGAGGAGGAGGAGCAGAAGCAGCCAAGGCGTTGCACCATTTGCCGTACAAAACACACACGGGCGCGCCGTTGCCGTGCCGCAACGCTGCTAGCCGTGCCGCCAGCCAGCGGGTTAGGCAGGTGGCATGTCGGTGTACGGCAGGGGGCCCGCCGAGGCGGCGGAGGAGGGAGAAGCCGTGGCGGGCCGCGGCGGCGGCGGTGAAGGCTGGCGTACCGTCCTCTAGACCGGCGGGGCCCGGGCGCAGGACCTGGTACGGCCGATCTGCCACCGCTACCTCCACCGTACCGCCGCCAAAGTACGACTTGTGCCGTACAAGCAAATCCAGAACATCCCGCCGTACGACCAACGCGCCCAGCCCGGTGGGGTGACCAAAGATCTTGTAGTACGACAGTACTACAATGTCCGCGGGTGTGGTGGAGAGATCCGGAGGAGCTGTTGCACAGGCTTTGGCTGCATCGAGTAAGACCAGCCACCGACCGTTGGTACGGCAACCACCACCACCGCCGCCGCGGCTGCCGATGTCTTGCGTTGCTGCACAGCCATCGCTAACAGCATCGGCATTGGCATCGTCTTCGTCACCGCTGCAGCCGACCGCGCCTGCGGGCACCGAAGAAGCCGCTGCCGGCACTGCTGTGTACGGCATTGCAGCCCCTGTTGCCGAGTCAATGCCGTACTGTTGTACATGTCGTACTACGTCCCCCAGCTCGTACCTATCCCCCGTGAAGTTACACTCCACGGGTAGGGCTAGGAGGTGGTAGCAGGGGGCAGGGGGAGCGGGACAGGGAGGAGGAGGAGGAGGAGGCTCGCCGCCCTCGCCATCCCCACCGCCGCTATTGACCACCCCCTTCGTGCTGCTGCCTCCGCTGCCATCGCTCCTCCCAACGGAGGCGGCAGTAGCACTGCAGTACGTGCTGCTGCCTCTGCTGCCGCAGCCGCTAGCTGCACTTGAGGCAACATTGTACGGCGACCCAATCGCCACGACACGGTTCGGGGTTTGACCGTACGGCAAGGTCACCATCGCCGCCGCCGCTGTTGCTCCCACTGATTTGACAGAACCCTCCACCGCCTCCGCCTCCGCTTCTGCCATTACTGCCTTCGCCTCCACCACCTCCCCAGCTGCCGCCGCCATCGCCCTATCGAGGCCCCCGCCAGCCTCCCTCCCCAGCTGAACCAGCTGTACGGCAGCCCCCGCCGCCAGCGCCGGACCCCTCATACCCAGCACGCTGTTGTGTACGGCAGGCGGGTGCGCCAGCAGGCTGCAGCCGGGGGTCCAGGGGAAGCACTCAGCCACCTGGGATGGTGGGGTGGGGGGAAAGAGGGGGAGCGAGAGGGGAGGGTGGAGAGGGAGGGAAGAGAGGGGAAAAGAGAAAATCAACCCGAAGGTGACTATGGTGACAGGAGGGGAGGGGGAGGAGGAGGGGTTAGGGAGCAACATCACATCCGGTTCCCAATACGAATGCACAGACAGCCCCGCACCGGCACCCCACCAGCGCCAGTAAGCACGGACCCCGCATTAACCCCCCGTGTCCCCTACACCACCCACCATCCTCAGCCCCGCAGTGGCTCCCGACGTGAGCACCACCTCGTACTGCCGCCCGTCAGCGCGCAGCAGGTCCAGCGTCTCCCGGCGCAGCGCCGCTAGGGCCTCGGAGGAGGGGGAGGTGAGGGAGGAGGAGGAGCTGGGGGGGAGGGGAGAAGAAGAATACCCAATGTGTGTGGGGGAGAGGGGCGGGAGGGGAGGTGAGGCAGGAAAGTCATGCGGCCACGATTACCGGTACATGCTAAAGGCGGGCGTTGCGCACGGTGAGGAAGGGGAAGGAGTTGTATACGGGGGGCATGCGGAGAGGGAGGTGGCCAGAGGAGGGAAAGGACTTAAGTGCTTGGGACCTAAGTGCTAGGTGGTTGGGTGGAGGGTTCTGTATAAAGGAGAGGCCAATTGCAAAGGGCCCATGACAAGGAGGCCGACCAGGTGGGAGTGCTAAGGTGACGGGTAGGGGACAAGGCAGCCGGTAAAGCCCTAGTCACCTGCCTGTGAGGGTTACACAGCAGCTGGCTCATGAGGTCGTCCGCACACGCCTGGATTTGCCGCTCTGAGTACAGCGCTGCGCCAGCGTAGTCCAGGTAAACATGGCCACGTAATCGGCGGAATTCCTGCTCCCGGATACGACTGAGCTGGCCACCATACCCGTAATCTGCTCCATATTGACGAAGAAATTCTTTTTGCTCTGCAGCGAATTCCTCCGGCGCGTTCAGAAGTCCATGTAATGTGTCATCAGGCCCAGCACAGTCGTCCTCCGTGTTTACAATTTCCTGGCGTGACTTGCTATTGCTATCGAACGTATTGCCGGTATCCAAATTGCCAGAGGTTGTCGGCAATCCTTCCATGCCATGGTCGGAGGCAACCGCTGGCACCGAGCCCAAGGTCCCATGCTTTTTGGAAAATAAATTCTGCAAAGCGCCTAGCATTGTACGCAGACTGGTATCTATGCTTTTTCCATAGCTAAGATTCGGACCGTTGATAGCAGTAGCTTGAAAATACGTTCGTGTGCCTGCTTTCTATAACCGTAACAGCGGCGAGGTAAATTACATGCTGCAAGTCTACCGTGTTTATCTCCTGCTTGACGTCATGATGAGGTGAGGTTAGTTGCTAAGATCGACCGCCGTACTTTGCAACGTCTCAAACCCTAATACAAGAAGCCAGCCCGTTCAGTCTCAGTTTTCACCCAAAGCAGCAAGTATTTCGCGTCTCTGCTTAGCCAGCATAGCAATGCTAGGAAGTAAAACATCTTCCGCGAGCGGTGGCGCTCAGCGCAGTTGCACGCAGTGTCCCTGGCAAGCCCTTTGCTGAAGGAATTGGCTAGCCAGCTTGACAGCCAAGCAGAGGCCCAAGGTCCCATGCTTTAGCAGAGGCCCGTACATTGACACGATGATACCCGCCAACCAGCTCCGAGTCCGTCAGATAACGTGAATGGCTATCTGTACACCAGGAAGTGCCTGGATTGGCCTGGCTACCTGCTACACCCATGAACATTTGACGCGGTCCGGCCGTCCTAGAGACGCCAGCACTTCCCACTAAGGAACACAACAAAAGGTAGCTGGAGTCAACAATATAGGAAGAAAACAACCAACCTCTGGCGCAATGTCACCTTCACCAAAACTGCGTCTGAAGACACTGTCTGCACGGCGGCAGTGTCTTACTGCCTTCCTGGTGCCATACGCGCACACCGGTCAACTACTACCGTATCAGCCCATCCGTCCTCCAGCCCTCTCCTAGTTGCCGGGTCCCCTCCCCCGCACCGGCCACACCGCCTGCACCCGCTCCCTCGCACCCATGTCCCCCACGGGGCCCCCAACCACCGCCGCCCCTCCACCGCTCCCCCCACTCCCAACCCCACCCCCACCAGTAGAGTAAGCCACCTCCTCCTCCCCTCCACCTCCCTTCCCACCTCCTGCCCCACCCCGTGGTGCCGTCGGATCTTGCCCTGCTGCTGGATCCTGCCGTATAGAATCCTCGTGTCGTACGGCAACAATCCAGTCGTACAGGTTGACTGTTGGGTCGCAGTGCCCGGGTTGCAGCTTGAGCAGGGAGCCCAGGGGGGGCAGGGCGGGGGGGAGCTGGTAGGCGCCCTGGGGTGTAGGGTGGGAGGAGCGGGGGGACATGAACGAGAAGTGAAGCAACTGGAGTCCCAATCCCATGTCCCAACACCATGTCCCAACACCATGTCCCAACACATGCGGTGAGGAGACATAGGGAGACATTGGGAGGAGGTGGGTGAGGAGGGTGCGTGTGGGATGCCGGGCAACGGTAATGACATCAGAGCGGTAACCTTCCCACAGCTCCCAACTTACCGCGGGCTACTGGCCACCAGGCAGCCAGCACGTACGCGCGCCACTCGCTTGCCACCACAACACTAACACCTTCCCCCAATCTATACCCCCGGGCCGCAACCCGCAACCCCCTTACCCCCCGGGGATCACCCGGCAGGATGGGCCGGCTACCATGTTTGCACCCCCCCATGGTGAAACCTACATGTCATACAGCTCGTTAGTTGCCTCGTCAGTCCCCTTTTTCATCCCTCACCCATGGTAAAGCCTTGGCACAGGGCATTCGCATTCCTTACTTTCTCTTTACCCGCCTGCGTTGCACCCGCACCCCCTGTTCATGTCACCCCGCCCCCGCCCCCGCCCCGTCCCCCACCTGCGGCCACATCAGCTTGCCGTGCTCGTCCCCCCCGCTGCCGTACTCCAGCTCCGTGCCGTACTGCCGTACGAAGTCCGGGTGCAGTCGGGGCGGCCCGCTGTCCAGGGACAGGGCCTTGGTGCCGGCGTCTACCACCGCCAGGCCGCGGGAGGGGCTGAGGCTGGTGACCTGGGGGGGGGGTAGGGGGCGGGAAGGGGATTCGTGAAAACAGAGTAACAAACCAAACTATAGGACATTACATGTAGGGGCAAAGTAATGGGCGGGGGGAGGGGTTGGGGGTGGGGTGGCGGGCAGGTAGGTGGGTAGTTCCTGCAAATACGGTACCGTGGCGGCCGTAGGGTGGCGGCCGGATGGGAAACATGCAGCACTGGGGGATGTTGGTGAGACCACCCCCCCTTCTCCCCCCCCCCCCGCCTCACCCTCTGGTTTCCTATGGTTCGGTATGGTCGTTGGACCGCCCCCCATACTAACCAACACTTGTCCTTGTGGCACTCTGCCGCCTCCTGCCGCCTCCTACCGCCTCAAGCCGCCACCCTAACCCCATTGCTTTGCCCTAGCCTGTGGTTTCCTATGGTTTGGTATGGCCTTTGACCCCCCCTATCACCCCACCTGTGTGAGCACCCAGAGGCTCTGCTCCCACTCGCCCTCGCTGCCGTCAGCCTGGAGCGGGGTGGGCAGGGAGGGGCAGGGGGTGGGGTGGAGAGGAAAGCAGCTGGGGGTGGGGTGAGGCGGGGCAGGGAACGTGGACGGGAAGCCAGCTGGGGGTGGCAGATTAGGGGTGAAGCAACCTCCAGGGGGCGAACCTGTGGAGCCATAGCCCCGAGTTACCCACCCGGGTAGGCAACGGCGGCATGTACCAGGGCGGCGGCGGGGGCAGTGGGCAGTGGTGGGAGGGTTGGGCAGGGGAGTGGTATGGCTAGTGAGTGCAACAGGGGGCAACAAGCGGGTGCGGGGGCCACGTGGATGAGGGGTGGAGAGGCCCCTCATGCGGAGCTGAGCTGGCACGCAAGCCGACAACAAACAGAGGGGAAGTGGGGGTAGGGCGCACAGGAGTGTGCATGGGACAGGAGGAGTGCTTGGAAGGCTGACGGTGACCGGCGGCGGCCCAATCCAAAGGCGCCTGTAGAACTGTAGTAGCACTGCAACTCCCTCTCAATGTCACTCGATGGCATACACTACCTCTAGATACTCTATAACCCCCCCCACCTGCAACTCCCACTCCCTCACCCCACCACCGCATGGTATCAAGTTTTCTCTTTGCCCCCCCCCCCACCCCCCATCCTCCCACCTGCACATTCCTGCTGTAGTCCGCATCCCCCAGCGCGAAGGAGCCCGGCTGCACCTCACTGAACACCCCGCTGGCCGCATCCAGCCTGCGGGTACAGCGGCAGATGCAGGTACACGTTAATGTGGGGGTTGTGGGCTGCGCTTGTATGTCGGGGATCGTTTCCGGCGGGTTGCACGTAGCTCACACCCGCACCCCCGCACCCGCACCCCCGCACCTCTGCCCCTGCTCCACCACGTCCTCTAACCGCACCTCCCGCTGCTCGCCACTTCATGCCGCCCGGCGCCCCCCGGAGCCTTTCCACGTCTCTGCTTCTGCCAGCTCGGCCGGCACCCTCACCCCCCCACACACACACACATCCACAGATCCACTCCTCCCCCGCCCAGCCCCAAACCTCCGGATTTCCAACCAACCCTATTACTCCCCCCGAAATATCCATTCCCTAAACCCGGCCACCCCCAAACACACACGCACCTGTACGTGCCACTGCCTCCCCCCGTCACCCGCTCGCACCCCAGCCCCGCCGCCCCCAGCGCCGCCACCGCCGCCCGCACCCGCAGCGCCACCTGGCCCACGCGCTGCGCCCTGACCCGTGGGTCTCTCACGTGCTGCAGCCCCCCGTGGTAGGCCTGCAGGCCGCCCCAGCGCAGGCTGTCGCAGGCAGCCACTGCGCGGGCTAGGGCCACCGCCGCCGCAGGGGCGTCCACTCCGCACCTTTTTTGTGGTGGGGAGCCGAGGAGGATAGTAAACGAGAAGTGCAGAAACTGGCATCGCCAGTGGGGGAGGGGAGAGGGCAAAACAGGCAAGGGTGAGTACACTAACCCGGGTTGGGGAGTACCGGTCATGCCTCATTCATGCGCTGAGCTAAGGGGGGGCGAAAAATTAGTCGTACTGCCAGCTCGTCCGCCTGCACCGCAAATGCAAGGAAGGTTGCCGTACATCGTACCTGTTTGTTGCCGCGACCCGCAACCCCACCCCGCCACCCCGCACGGTAGGGGCTGCTACCGGTAGCCCTTACGTGTTTTGAAGCGCCCCGTCACCTCCTATCCCTATAGCTCTAACCTGCATTACCATTTGGTTCGGTTCCTTTCTGACCCCACTCCCTCCCCCGGTCAGGGTCAGTGTTTCCGCGGCTCAGCTTATCTACGCCTCCCCCCTTCATCCCCACCTGTCCTGCCCCACGTTTAGCTCCACCAGCACCTCCAGGACTGACCCGCGGGTCGCTGCCGCCGCCGCCAGCTGTCGCACGTTGGCCTCGCTGTCCACCACCACCGCCATGCGGGCACCTGGGGGCGAGAGGAGGAGGCGGTGGTGGTGGTGGAGGTGGTGGTTGTGATGAAGAGGAAGACACTGGGCAGGTGGTCATAAGGATTGCACCGGGGGTGGCACCAGGGGTTGCCTGTCACCTTTCTAGCCCAACACCCACCTCGTCCCCAGCCCCCCCTCATTACCTCCCCACCCCTCAACCCGTGGATGTAGACCTCCTGGTCACCCAACCCGAACGCCCCCCCCCCTATGGTTTGGTATGGTCTTTGACCCCCCTCCTATGGTTTGGTATGGTCTTTGACCCCCCTCGTATGGTTTGGTATGGTCTTTGACCCCCCTCGTATGGTTTGGTATGGTCTTTGACCCCCCTCCTATGGTTTGGTATGGTCTTTGACCCCCCTCCTATGGTTTGGTATGGTCTTTGACCCCCCTCCTATGGTTTGGTATGGTCTTTGACCCCCCTCCTATGGTTTGGTATGGTCTTTGACCCCCCTCCTATGGTTTGGTATGGTCTTTGACCCCCCTCCTATGGTTTGGTATGGTCTTTGACCCCCCTCCTATGGTTTGGTATGGTCTTTGACCCCCCTCCTATGGTTTGGTATGGTCTTTGACCCCCCTCGTATGGTTTGGTATGGTCTTTGACCCCCCTCGTATGGTTTGGTATGGTCTTTGACCCCCCTCCTATGGTTTGGTATGGTCTTTGACCCCCCTCCTATGGTTTGGTATGGTCTTTGACCCCCCTCCTATGGTTTGGTATGGTCTTTGACCCCCCTCCTATGGTTTGGTATGGTCTTTGACCCCCCTCCTATGGTTTGGTATGGTCTTTGACCCCCCTCCTATGGTTTGGTATGGTCTTTGACCCCCCTCCTATGGTTTGGTATGGTCTTTGACCCCCCTCCTATGGTTTGGTATGGTCTTTGACCCCCCTCCTATGGTTTGGTATGGTCTTTGACCCCCCTCCTATGGTTTGGTATGGTCTTTGACCCCCCTCCTATGGTTTGGTATGGTCTTTGACCCCCCTCCTATGGTTTGGTATGGTCTTTGACCCCCCTCCTATGGTTTGGTATGGTCTTTGACCCCCCTCCTATGGTTTGGTATGGTCTTTGACCCCCCTCCTATGGTTTGGTATGGTCTTTGACCCCCCTCCTATGGTTTGGTATGGTCTTTGACCCCCCTCCTATGGTTTGGTATGGTCTTTGACCCCCCTCCTATGGTTTGGTATGGTCTTTGACCCCCCTCCTATGGTTTGGTATGGTCTTTGACCCCCCTCCTATGGTTTGGTATGGTCTTTGACCCCCCTCCTATGGTTTGGTATGGTCTTTGACCCCCCTCCTATGGTTTGGTATGGTCTTTGACCCCCCTCCTATGGTTTGGTATGGTCTTTGACCCCCCTCCTATGGTTTGGTATGGTCTTTGACCCCCCTCCTATGGTTTGGTATGGTCTTTGACCCCCCTCCTATGGTTTGGTATGGTCTTTGACCCCCCTCCTATGGTTTGGTATGGTCTTTGACCCCCCTCCTATGGTTTGGTATGGTCTTTGACCCCCCTCCTATGGTTTGGTATGGTCTTTGACCCCCCTCCTATGGTTTGGTATGGTCTTTGACCCCCCTCCTATGGTTTGGTATGGTCTTTGACCCCCCTCCTATGGTTTGGTATGGTCTTTGACCCCCCTCCTATGGTTTGGTATGGTCTTTGACCCCCCTCCTATGGTTTGGTATGGTCTTTGACCCCCCCTCACTTTGTACTGTGGCACCCTGCCGCCTCCTGTCCCCATTGCTTTGCCCTTACTTGTGGCGTCTATGTTTGGTATGGTCTTTGACTCCCCTAATACACAAGGGGGCGGGTCCAATTAGCAACCCATGGTGAAGCCTCGCCATACAGCTTGTCGGTAACCCTCTTTCTACCCCCACCCCCACCCCCTCACACACACACACACACACACACACCCGGCCCCTCGGCTCCTGCGGCGGTTCTGTGGGGACTTCATCTTCCGACATCCCAGTACGTTCCTACTCGCGGCCAGTTTTCTTAACACACACAGCCTGCCGCACCTGCCGCCGCCAGCCCCACCAAGCGATCTATCTTCCGGGGCGCCACCACCTAGCAGCAGCAACAGCAGCAGCAGCAGCAGCGGGGAAGTGGGGAAGTGGGGAGGAGGGTGGGGGACAGTAGGTAGGGATGCGCACCTGGAAATGAAGCTACACCCGCTCGCTGCCCCTTCCGTTGCCCCCTTACCCTCATGTCCCCGTCCGCATCCCCAAAGCACTTCCTCCGTGCTTCCTAGCTACCGTACCTGCTGTACGGCGTGTACGGCAACACAAATGTCGACACAATACTCCTACTGGACCAAGTACCGGTATCTGGTTCGGCCGCAAGCAGGCGGGCCGTCACGCCGCCCCACCCCGCTCCCAACCCCTGGTGACCCATGGGTCTCAACAGGCCGCCCACCTGGTTCGACAGCAGGATGTCCGTCACGCCGCCCTCCGCCATCGCCTCCGCCTCCACCACCTACGGTTGGAGGCCGGAGGGGTGAGGGCGCTGGGCGATGGGGCAGTCGGGCACACAGTAGGGCAGCAGGGGACATGCGTGTGCGCACGGAAGGAAAGGATTACTGGAATCTGCCGGTATGACCTTTATGAGGGAGCTGGCACCTGACCTCTCCTCTTCCCCATCTCCCCCCACCTTCTGGCAGCACACCCCGGCCGCCCCCAGCAGCCGCAGCTGCAGCTGAGCCACCGGGGCGCACTTGTGGGCCTAGGACGGGGTCGGAGGGGGGGTTAGCTGGGGACGGCCGGCACCGCTTGCATGCTGCAGCCACAGGGCGATTGAATGCTTTGTTATGGATGACAGCAGTACGGCAGTACGGCACCGCCTTACCTTTGCATGTGGCCGTACAGCAACCCCCGGATACTGTGCCATCACTTGCCGTAGCCGTTGGCAGTTGCGTTCGAAAGCTGCAGGAAGGGAGTAGACGAGCAGTCGGGGATTGAGGATCTAGCAAAATGCAAATTAGATGGCAGATAGCGGTATGTCGTGGACATAGCGAGTAGCGTAATCCTACAATGCTGACCCTTGAGGCAAAGAAGGCAAGGCTGTAAGAGTGCAACGTGCGTTTGGTTTGAGGTGTTTGGGTTAAATGATAGGCGGGATGTGCCCGTGTCTCTCGCGAGGGAGAGCTCCTGCGAGGAAGGGACAGTAGACAAGCGACACGTGCGCTAAGGACCGGGATTCGAACGAGGACCTGGTAAGAAAACGTACCGTCGAGGTCGAGAAGTAGCGCTGGCGTATCAACATCCTGAGCATAGTCTCCGACTTTAGCGGGCGGGCGGCTTGCGGATATAGTTGCATAACACCTATGCGGTGGAGGTCGGGATGGATGGGTCGTTGACGTCAGCTCAGAGCGGGCACAGGGACCCAGGCAGATAACTTGATGGCTTCTAAGGCATTCAGCATTGCCGTAAAAGGAAAAGCACCTGCCAGCGCGAAGGAATGGAGCTCTGGGGTTTACCAGCTTTCGCGAAACGAGCAGCATTCTGAACATCTATATTGATCGTCCCTTGCTGCTTTCAAACTGCGCACTCCGGATACTCCAAATACCAGTTTGTGATTGTGATGGTTAACAACCACCATCCCAATCTCCTTCGGAAAACGAACGAAACGGTCACGAAAGGAGGTAACGTTTAAATAACGTAACTACACAAAATGACATTTCGTGAACCCTTTCTCTAGGCTAGGCTTGGGCCGCATCGTCAACGCATACAGACGTGCAAGCTTGCAGAATAGCTTCATCTCCCTTCACTTCGTAAACAGATATCATAGTTATAATATGGCTTGTTGCATTTGGCTAGCAAATACAGGATAAACTCGTTCGGCTTTTGACTTGCTGACCGAGTCCGCAGAAGTTGTCCCGTCACCGTTCTGGCAGCTACAATAACGTCCTACGGTGGTCATCCATGGGGTGGTTCTGGGCCAGATGGCGACCTGGCGTGTGGCGGCCCCCATGGCGCGCATTACGCGCATACGGGATACCACGCTCACCAAGCGCAGCATCCCCACCAACCTGATGCCTCCGAGATACAGCAAGAAGAATGGCAGATGTATCCTCCTCCACATCATGAGGAGCACCTACACGTCCAAGCTCACCATGTGGCGCATCATCACTTGTCCCAACCCTTTCCACCGTCTCAACACCAACACCAGCAGCTGCACCTTCAGGCCCAACAGCACCACCACTTCATCAGCCAGCAACACTCGCTGCCCCTCCCCAGTCATCCCCAACATCCACAGCCACACCATCATCGACATAGCTTTCCCTCCGCCCAGGACCTTATGGCCACCAGCGCACATCCTCACCAAATATCCCAGCCCGTTGCTATAACACCGCAAGGACATTATCCACAACACCTCCAACATGTCCATCCTCATTACCACCAGCATCATCATCCACATTTCACCGCGCTGCCAATGCCCGCGGACGCCTCGCCTACCCACCCAACCGCTAGCTCAATGGGAATGGCAGCCATGGTACTTAACGGGGTGCCAGCTGGCTCTGCGTCAGCGGGTGGTGCTCCTTTGCCTCACTCGAATCCCGCAGCCATGTACCTTACCACGCAAGCAGGAGCGCCAGCAGCGGCTTCGGTATCCGGCGGGGGCGCGATGCCAGATGGGCCCGGCTTCCAACATCTGCAGCACTCACAGCACATGCACCCGCAACATCTCCACCACCACCACCATCAGCACCCCCACCCCCACCACCACCATCAGCAACAACCACACTCGCAGCAGCAACAGCAGCATTTAATGCACGTCTCTTCAGCAAGCCATTTGAGTCACCCACATCACCAGCAGCAACCGCAGCAGCAGCAGCAACTGTCTCAGCTCCAGGTGCCGGCCTCGGCACCGTCCGGTGGTGGGTCCGCCACAGCCGCCGTGGCCGCTGCCGCTGCTGCCGCCGCAGCGGCCGCGGCAGCAGCCTCCACTGACGTGTACCTGAACACCAGTCCGCAAAACGTCCTGCAAGACATGACTCCCGCTGCTGTAGCTGCTGCTACTGCTACCATGCAACAACAGCAGCAGTCGCAACAGCAGCAGCAGCACCCCCACGGCCAGCACCCCCATGCTCAGCAGTACCAGCACCCTCACTCTCACCCTCACCACCTTCATCAACAACAGCCCCAGCAGCAGCAGCATGCAACCGTGACAACCCCCATGAGCGCGCATGCCCACGTGCGTGCGCAATCGCAGGGGGGAGGCGGCCATCTCGGGGGCCTGGAGGGGCCTGGCGCCTCAGGACAACACATGCAGCTGCATGCTGCCGCGACACAGCCCTACCCGCTGGGTATTGCCACACCGCCACACCCGCAACAACCCCAGCCGCAACAACCCCCCCAGCAGCACCTGCAGCAGCCTCCGCAGTCTCACTACCAGCCAAACGCCGCGCAAGCACAGCCGGAGCCTCAGGCTGCAGGCCAAACCCCGGCCAACGACTCCTCCCAACAACAGCGGCCCCACCAGCCCCAACAGCAGCAACCCCAACAGCCGCAGCAGCAGGCAACCCAGCTGCCGCAACAACAGCAGCACCAACCAGGCCAGCAGGCGCAGGTCCCGCCACCGCCTATGCCGCAGCGGCAGCACCAACCGCACCCGCAGCAGGGACCCACGGGTCATCAACTGCAAACACAGCAGATGCAGGCTGCGGTGGCTGCTGCGGCGGCCGCAGCGGCGGCGGCGCTGCTGGAGGGCAGCGGCAGCGCAGCGGTGCCGCAGCCGCATCAAACGCCAGCGCGCGAGGTGCGGTCCGCACGCGGCCCCGTCCGCACCTCCAGTGCCGTCAGCGCCACAGCGGGTACTGCCGGTGGCGGTGGAGGCGGCGGCGCTAGGGGCGGCGGCGGCCATACGGCGGCGGCGGCAGGCGCGTGGATGGATGCGGCGATGTTGGTCGCGGGATCGGAGGGGCAGGTGAGCTGCGGGAGGGAGCGCGCAACGCCATGCGCCCATGTGCCCCCATGTGCCACAGGGCATCGCCGATGCTGCTTCCGGTGGTCCCGCACAGCACTGGCTGTCTCGTTCCTGGTTCCACCCATCCGCTGCCACTCTCCCTCCCACGTCACCCTCCCCTCTTCCATGTCACTGCACCAGCTCCCTTTTGTTTCCTTCCTCACTCCTTCCAACACTGGCCCTATCCTCATGCTGCTACCCTCCTCCTCCCTTTTTCCCTATCCTAACACATCCTGCACATCGTCTTCCCCCCTCCCCCTCCCTGCAGACCGGGCAGTCCCGGCAGAGCAAGCGCATCCGCCACAACCCCTGGAGCCCCGAGGAGGAGCTGCGCCTGGTGCTGCTGTACATTGACGCGGAGAAGAGGAGCCAGGGCAACAAGGCACGTGGCCGCAGAGAGGTGCGCGCGTGGCAGCTGGAGGGAATGGTTGCCACCTTTGTAACCTCTGAAGCCGGAGCAGATGAACGGATGATGATACCCACTGTCCGTTGCCCCCCTCCCCTTGCTGTGAATCGTGCGGACACACGGGCACTGTGTGGCGCCGCGTACAGATTGTGCCTGCAACACTGTGAATGTAACACTGTGACTGCAAAATACAGCAGCCGGGCAGCCCCTTCAGTGGTGCCGTTTCGTTTCGTTTCTAACTTCGCTGCGGGTCTCGATATGGCTGGTGCCCTTTGCCCCCTATTCCGCGCCATCACATCCCTGCTGACCCTGCATCCGTTTGTTCGCCTGTCAGGCCATGTGGTTGGAAATAACGGCGAGGCTGGCAGCACTGGGCTACGAGCGACAGAGGAACTCAGTCATCCAGCGCATGTCCAGCCTGCAGGGCAGCTTTCGGAGCCTTGCGGGCTACCTAGCCACGCTGGAGGGAGGCGCGGCACGGTTCTGGGCGGCACCGGAGAAGCAGCGGAGGGAGGTGCGTGTGTGTGTATGGGGCAGGAGGGAGGGTGGGTGGGTGTGAGGTGGGTGGGAGTGTGATTGGGATGGTGCTGGGAGTGTGGTTGGGGGCAGTGTGGAGTGGGGGAGGATGCCCGGGATGTTGGTTCGGTTGGTTGAGCAGCAGGGGAGGTTTACGGAGCGGGAGGGATGGGGTGGGTAGGTGCGGGTGGAGGAGGGTAGATGCATGTCAGCGGGCTGAGGCGATGCACTGCCATGTTGTTGAAGCACTGCACCGGCAGACCGCAGCCGTTAAACTAACAACCCTCACTCCGGCCGCTGCCGCTACCGCCATCGCAGGTGTTCCATGCGCTCAAAACGCAGTGTGTGTTGGACCACCGGGTTTGGAAGGCGCTGGCCCTGATCCTGAAGGACGAGGGGGGAACAGCACATGGGGAGGGGGCGGCTGGGGTGGAGGCCGGAGCGGGCAACTTGGCGGACGGCGCCACCACAGGTTAGCGGGGCGGGATTGGAGGGGGGCATGCAGGCATGGAGGGGTTTTCGGGTGTCAGCTTTGATAGCGGTAAGTTCGTTTGCGATAGACTGGAAGGAACTCTAGCCAAGCTATACTACGTCGTCACAAGTGCTGCAGACTTGTGCAGCATGCAGTGCGCTTTTCCTTGCCGCCACTTGCATTCCTGCATGATGCAAGAACGCTCCGACGGGAGTGGCATGCCTGTCCTGAGCTGTTGACACACATCCACAATCTCCCGCCTTGCGCCCTGTTCCCCTGGTCATGTCTTGTTAGCCCCAGGCGGCGCCAACGACGGCGGTACTGCCCGCGACCCCAACACCGCGCCCGCCTTTGTGTCTCAGCAACAGCAGCAGCAGGCAGCAATCAGCCTACTTCAGGGCCTAGCTGCTGCCCAACTCATGGCAGCTGCAGGCGGCAGCGGCACAGTCACAAACATTAACAACAACATATCCGGCACCGCTGCCGCAGCTGGTGGAGCAGCCAGTGCTGGCGACGGCGCCCGCCGTAGCAGCAGCAGCAGTGGTGGCGGCATGCTTGCGGTCACCCCAACCGCTGCGAACGACACAAACCACAATGGTAATGGCAACAACAGCGGCAGCGGCATTGCTGAGGGCGAGGGTGTGGGCGATGGCGGTGGAAGCACGAGCGGCGGCGGCGGCGGCGATGCAGCCACCCCCAGTGGAGGAGATGGAGGTGGGGATGTCGTAAGGGACCCGCAGCATCCCCAACCTGCGTCCCCGCAACCGCAACCCCAGGGCAACACTGCAGGTATTGCTCCTCCCGCCGCCGCCGCTGCTGGTGGTGATTTTGATGCTGCTGCTGTTACTGGTGCCGATGCCGTTATGCCGGAAGCGGCAACAGCAACAGCGGCGGGGGCCAAAGCAGCAGCAGCGGCGGGGAAAGATGCGGAAGGAGTGGGACTGGCGGAGGAGCCGGAGCAGGACGGGCGGGATGATGACCACTACCCATCACCCATGGGTGGTGCAGGAGAGGACCAGCCTGACGTTTTGGACGCTTCAGCTGGCGGTACCGGAATTTCAGAACGGCAGGAGCGTGAGCCATTACGGGGGCATCAACAGCAACAGCGTCAACAGGAGCCCGGGGGACAACAGCAGCAGCAGCAGCAGGAGCGGTCCCCTTACCCGACGCCACCGCAAGCAATGCGGGCACAGCAGCAGCAACAGCAGCAGCAGCCCCTGCAACTGTTGCTGCTGCAGCAGCAGCAATCGTTACGAGCCCCCCCGTCCAGGGTACCCCAGCAGCAGCAACCGCAACACTTGCAGCAGCCCCATGCTACCTCTGCACTGCTCCTTGCACAGCAGCAGCTGCTGCTATCGCAGCCCCCTCCTGCTGTTGCTCCTGGGCCCCAACAGCATCAGCAGCAGCAACAGCAGCAGCAGGTGTTGTCGGCGTTGCATCAAGCGCAGCAAACGGTGCAGGCGCAGATCAAGGCGGCGCTCGTGGGCGCTGGGGGGCGACCGCTGCTGCCGGTGAGAGCGGGGGACGACATGTATGGGGTTACTCGCAACGGGCCGCTACCGTTGTTAGGGGTGGTGGTGTCGTGCGTTTCCATGTATGTCAAGTTTCCTGTTAACGGACATATGCTCCTACATCATGACACCACACATCCACATCCGCCACACCTATGCTCCACCCTGCGTCCACCCACCAACTGCACCAAGCCCTCCCACCCCGCCCCTTCCGCAGGTGCTGCCCTCCGCACCCGTCCGCCCCTCCCACCCCCTGCTCCCCTCCGGGCCTCTTCCCTCCTCACTGGCGCCTGGCAGTACGGCAGCCCTGACCGCGGGCGGCTTAAAGGGCATCCTACCTGGCAGCAGCCCCCACACCGCAGCTCCTATCGCCGGCATGGGCAGTACTGCCAGCGGCACCGCAGCAGCGGCAGCAGCAGCGACTCCGGCAGGTGCCGGCGGTGGCTTGGTCAGCAGCGGTAACCACGCCACGACGCTCTCAGCTAGCCTGCCTGGCCCGCCAACAGCGCTTGCCACCGTCTCGACGGCAGGGCCGTTGGTGGTGTCGAAACGCGATCCTGCTGCACTGGCGCTCGTGGACGCTGTCGCTGAAATCGCTCCCGTGGCCGACCCACGGGTCGCCTCGGCGGGCAGCGGCGGTGCTCCAGCAGCAGGACTTCAGCATCATTGTGGTGATATTGATGAAAACAGCTGCCAGCTGCCCAGTCCACGTTTGCTGGCATCCCTCAGTCGTAATGTCGTACAGAAGCTAACGGAAGTTGACCAACTGCTCAGTCGTACAAGCTCCACAGATACGGAACGGTCGCGGGGCTACCTGGCGCTTGTTGTCGATTGCCTTCAACTGCTGCCCCTGATACGCCAACAACAGCAGTGTTTGCAAGCTGCGACGCAGGCATCGCAGCCCCCGCACTGCCCACTAGGGCGAGAGCCACCACCTCATGAGCCCATGCCGGGACACCTGTATCCGAAGCGGCTGTACCCCAGCACACCTGTGTCCCAGCTGCAGGCCCTGCCCTCCTCGCAACCGCAACCACAACCACAACCACAACCGCCACTGGGCTTGGGGTCGCTTCCGAACCAGGTTAGCCTCTCGGGACATGGCGGACATGGGCAGTACGTGGGCCCTGCACCTCAGCAGCAGCAGCTGCTGCAGCTGCCCAGTCGCCGCCTCTCACGGCTGGGCCTGCCCTCGTCGTTAGGAGGTGGAGGAGCACCCGCACCCGTCGTTGCGGATGCCGAGCCGGAGGGGGAGCAGCAGCAGCTGCCTAGACGGCCCTCGGGCGAGCCCAGCCTGCTGGTACAGGGGTCCCTGGATAGGGGGCCTGGTGAAGAGGTGCTGCCACCCTCGCTAACGCTTCGACCCTGGACTCAGGTGCAGACTCCGGTACCGATGTCGAGCCAGGCGCAGACGCAGGGAGAGCAGCGTGGGGAGGTGTACGGCAGTCTCCAAACGCCGGCAGCGCTCGAGGAGGAGCAACAAGAGGAGGAGCAGGAGCGAATGCAGCTGCAGCGGTCTGGGAGCCAGCAGGATCAGGCAGGAAGCCAGGTGCCGCCGCAGCAGCAACAGCAGCAGTTACCGCCGCCGGCTGCTTCCTCATCGCCGCTTCAGCAACAGCAGCAGGACCCGCGGAAGGAGGAGCAGGAGCAAGAGCGGCGGCAGCAGCAACTGCAGCAGCGGCGCGCGGATGCGTTGGTGCAGGCGCTGGTGCGGGGGCCGACATGCGCTTACACGGAACCAGAGGGACAGCAGGAGCAACCGCAACAACAGCAAGAGCCGCCGCAACCACAGCAAGACCTGCAGCAACCTTCGTTGTCCGTCGCAGGTTTGTTTGCGTCGCAGCAGCAACCCTCTGCTTTGTCACCGCCGGCGCAACAACATACATGATCAGCAGGCGCAAGAGCAGCCGCTGTGATGCCAGCATGACCAACAGCATGCAGAAACAATAGCAACATCTGTGGCTGTAAAAACACAGCAACAGCGGCGGCAACTACCCTTTTGCGGAGCTTTCTCGCCAGAAGAGTGCGTCAAGGGGCAGCAAGTGGTGTGAGGGGCGCACCGCGGAACGCCAGGGACGATATGTTTGTGTGTTCCCAATCAATAGCCTTGCAGCAGGGCCGCCTGCCCGGTCACATGGATGCTAGCGCGTTTCCTGTTGCCTTGTTCACCTTTACATATTATCCGTGAGCAGTATAGTTCATGTACGTTTGACTGGCTTAAGAAAAGGATTCGAAGAGGGACATTGGGAAGAATTACTATTAAAGTGCGTTCCGCATCTTGACGTTGTAGATAACCCTGTGTACGACCTTCGCCCTCCTGTGTACGACATGCAAGGAACTCTGACGTGACCGCGATGTTGCTCAAGTAACCCAAGTTGGGCTGCGAAAGGGCGGATCCTGGTGCATTGCTAACTGCTGCAGAGCAATATGGGTGTTTGAAACGAAATGTTGAATGGGGCCGGATACGCTGGGGGCTTGTGACCAACGCCTTTGCGAAAGCGCGCATGGGGTAGTTCAACGGGCGCCCAGTACTGTCCGTTGGAACATCTTTGTATATTTTGGGGGGCTGTTGCAGTAGTGGGTTGCATGCGATCAGCAATCGTAATCCTGGGGTTTAGGTCTGTGGCGGAAGTACGGGGGGTATTGGGCTTACGAGTAATGAGCGTGCGACGGTATGCGCTTGGCCCTTACACGTGCGAGCAATTTAGCCGTGGTTTACTATTCATGCTCCTACACGGCGAGAAGCCGTTCATGGTATTGCGTAGCCGGTTGGGGTTGGTAATGTTTTGGGGATGGGTTTTATAAGCCAGGGGTGGCCCCCTCCCTGAGCGTGTCCGAGGGACCTGTTCCAGATGCCGTATTCATGTCGTACCTCGAAATACGACATCGGGGCTATAAGTGTCGTGCACGCTTTGATGCTTGGGCGTAACCTTACAGGGCTTGGGTGCTATTTCTGGAAGGAGTGGTTGGGGGCCGGTATAGTACATATTAAATGAATTGCTGTTCTTCCGTGGCCTCATGCGGTGTGCGGCGTGATTCAGGCTTATGGCTGCTTTTTGCCATGTTAGGCGTCGTTTTCTTTCAGGGGATGCGTGAATGGCGGTGCATCATGGTTGGACTCGGGCGATGCAATACATCGCCAAATACTGCATACTGCAACTCAGTTGGTTGCTTTGTACAGCGTTGTGGCCCGCGACCCCTTTGCCCTTGGTTGTGTTGGCGGCACAGTCAGTGCCATGAGGTGTTGGGTTGCTGAGGGTTGCTACGGGCTTACCTTGTGATACTGGTGTGGTGTGCTACGCATTGCATGTCACTTTCGTTGTGGTTCAGCCAGGGCTGATTTGCTTGAGGTCGGGAGCGTGCAAGGCGTGTAACACACGGCCATCCACCTCCACCTGTTTCCCGGCTCCATCACAGTTAACATGCCTGCCAGGAAACAAAGCAACAAGGGATGTGTCAGCTTCCTCCATGCTGGCTAGGGGTTAAAGCCTTTAACTTAAAGGCATCACAATACGGTATGCAAATTACTATCACCCGTTTTTCCCTTTTAGTTGACCCACTATAACGGCCATAAATTTATTCATGAAAGCGAATAGCAATCCGTCAGCATCGGTTCACAGGCTCCCAGTAGATGCCAGCATGGTCCCACTAACTTTCTCAGGTGGGCAGTTTGCCACACGCCGCTATTTACAGCCCAATATATAGTAGTTGCGCTACTGAATGAACGCCATACGAAAACCGTAATCGATATGGCCGCGGCGGTCCTTCTCAATGGCTGGTCAAGAAGGCCTTTGCTGCGAAATTATTTTTTCCTGGACTTCCAAGCATTTCCATTCAATATACACAAGAAATATTTATGCATGAAAAGCATGTTGGTGACCTAATCTTTATAGTTCGCTTTTACGGACGGGCGCACGGACGCCCCTTAAGGGAAGCCCCTTCGAAGCCGCGTCGCGGGCTCGCGGCGAACGTTCCACCAATAATGTAAAAGCTATATTTATAAGGGATGTGGGAGAAGCCACAGGGTCCATCGGCTCCACTCATCGACGGCTCGTACCGTTCGGCGGTCGGCTCGTCCGTTGAACTTACTCATGATCCACAGTTTGTGTACCTGTGAGGAAGCTTGCCTAGAAACAGCTGGCTAGTATGTGGCTGTTCCTAGAGGCGTCTAAACCGAGCCAGCCTACCGGATATAGTCCAGCACTCGGGCTGCTGTTGTCAACGTACTCCATTGCTGACCGGTCCAGTGTTTTGCCGACGGGGTTACAAGCAGCACCGCTGTGCACCGTCACTTTGTACACGTGGTCTACAAACATCCACTTGCGGCCAGTTAAGTTAACCCAATTCCACATTTGGTACGCTGGCACACTCTTTTCATTGCAAAACGACATAGCAGTAGCAGTCAAATTTCCTTGTTCCGTGTCAGACCCGGCGTCGCCCACATTTATTAAAACATTGTAACACCACCGCACCAAACGTCCCTCAAGCCTATCGAGGTCCCAAAAATGGGGCGGCATCTGAGCCCCAATCAGCTTCTCATCTGCCTCCTCGCCTGCCTTGTCCTCATCTCCTCGGCTCTGCCCATGGCAGCAGAGGCCAAGAGCCCTCGCCGGAAGAGCCAACCGCCGCCGGCACACAAGCCGCGGTTCTCATCCCCCAGCAAGCTTACAACCAGCTACCCTTCCCCACCTGCCACAAAGCCAGCCTACGCCAAGCCCCAAGCGCTACGGCCGTCTGCGTCTCCTCCCTCGCCTAAACCCGCGGCTGTTAAATCATACCCGCCCCCACTATCACCACCTCTGCCATCCCCTACCGTCGCAAAAGACGACCTGCGGGGTACTGGCGGCTCCGGAACCTCACCATCCAACACAGTCCCTGAGGACAGCGCTGCTGCTCCCACCCCCAAGTCCAGCTTCCGTACGCTTCCCTTCACCTCGCCCGTCACCGCTGCGCTGCTGGTGGTGGTGCCGCTGACGGACACCTACCTGGGCGCGCAGATCAACAGGGGGCCCAGCGTCAAGAACACGACCGTGCTGCTGGACCTGGTTGGGAACAAGGTAAGCAGTGAGTGTGGCATGGCTGCACAGTTATTGCTATTACGCACTGAGTGGTAGCGGTGAAGGCAAGGGTTTAAGAAACACAGTTCGCTACAGCTAGACCTGGGTTAGACCACGGAGCGTGAGTGTACCGTACAGCTGCAGGCTACGATCACGCGCCCATACTGTTGTAGCGATATCTCTCTTTTAAACCCTGTTGAAGGTACAATGCTACCCATTCATTGCCCGGTTACCGCAGGCCACTTCCATGCCCTCCCTCGTCAATTCCTTCTGCGGTGCTCCCGTCCTCATGCCGGATGGCGACATCCTGCTGGTGGGAGGGCACTACAAGGAAAAGAGCGTGGTTAGGGACGGTCGTAACCAGTTACAGGTAAGGTCGTGAGGTTGGGTTGGGTTTGCTGGATGCATGGAAGGGTCCCGTTGGGTTTACTGCTGGACAACTGGTCACGGCGCTAGTTGCACCACCTAGTTGGAAAGGAAAGTGCCTCCGCGTCATGCCTCCTGCACAGCAACCTTGCATGCCCTGCACGGGTACCCGCATCGCACGCATGCCCCCAGGTCTTCAACCGGACAACGCTCAAGTTTTCGACACTGGCACCCATGCGTTACAAGCGCTGGTACCCAACTGTCGCGTCCCTTGCGAACGGAAAGGTAAGTTGCTTGGGCAGCTGGGAGGAGAGCAAACTACTGTGCGACACGTAGCAAAGACGGGACAGCATACCTTTTTTCCGGCACACCTTTCGTACGTATACCTCCCTGCGTCGTCCACACCTAATCTTTAGTGTTTGGTGCGGATTGATCCACCCTGCGTGCAAGCCCTCGGCGGCCGGATGACCGTGTGCGCCTGTGTACCCCAGCCATCTAATGGATATCGTCCTGGTGCACCTCATGTTTGCCTTCCGCTTTGACTATTGCAACCCCGTAGGTCGCCATCGTGGGGGGCACCTCCGACGCTAACAAGGGCACCATTCCGCAATTCAGTGAGGTCTTCGACCCTAGGAATCCCGCCGCGGGAACGCAGCTGCTCACAAACCCGCAGCACTTTGTTGACAATGCCGGATTCCAGTGGTATCCCTTCATCCACACCCTTCCGCGAGGTAAAGACTGTACGACGGTGCCATTGCATGATGCTTTTGACTTTCACTGTGTGTGGTGGCGGCATGCACCAACCCAGAGGCTCATCGTGTCACTGAGTTCTCTCACAAAGCTATAGCTTAGGCCTAGGACTGTCAATGAAGGTGGTGAACTGTGGAGTCAACCACCGGGCAACCGTTGCTCTAAACCGTATATTACGACGGCCCATGAGTCCTTAATTACCCACCTTGCCTGGCCATCCGTCCTGACCCTCTTCCTTCCAGGCCACCTGCTGTGGTGGGGCGACCGGGGCGGCAGCATCACGCTGGGGGGCGACAAGTCCACCATGCTTCTTGACCTGCCAGCACTACCCGACGGTGTAACGTGAGTTATGGGAGCACTTTGCCAGGATTGCTGCACGGAAACACTGTTTACAAGGCCATGCGGCTGCATGCGTCTCATAAGAGCAGCTTCAAACGTGTCAGAACGCCACCCAGCTGCCATAAAGCCCCATTCGAAGGAGCTAAGCTCTGGCTCCGCCAGTACATGTTACATGTCGTGCAAGTGCCTTGTCGTACATATTCAATTCTGTTCCACGTGCCTAACCATCCTTTGAAATTTTCTTCACACATAAAATGCTGTTTTTATGGCGGAGCCCCCGCCGCGCCGTGGCTTTGAGGGGGCGATTGCCCACGTCCGTGTGTGCGCGCGTCCGTGCAAAAAGACAAAACGTACAAACTAGGCAGCTTAAAAGGTATAGCTTAGTTTTGTCTTACTGAGGAAAATTAGCTGCAAAGTCGAGATTTTTGTTTTGCAACAAACGACGACTTGGTCAGCCATTGACAAGGACCAACGCGTTCATACCGATTACCGCTCCTGTATAACATTCATTGTTACCTTTTAACGGAAACTATGGATAGGCTACAGCGACAGCTTGCAATTCGACAGCCCATGAAAATGGACGGGACATTTTTTATTTGCAAAATCCGGGGCATGCTTGCATTAATTGGGAGCCCGCCCGTGCCTGACCGCCGGACTGGTAGTCTTGCTGCTTAGCGTGGGCCCCATTAGCCGTACCGAGGACGTGGAGAAGCCTGGCATTGCCTGGAGAAGCGTGGCATTGCCTGGAGAAGCGTGGCATTGTTACTAATGCACATGTTGGTGTTTATGCGACATGCCCCTCGGTCAACAGTCACATTGTCCTTGCTTGATATTTACGGCGGGACTTAGCCGACTGCCTGTTGCGTAATCAGTTTCGCTAAACGCTGACTGCTGGACTAGCGGGTTGGGCCCTACATGTGCTTCACTTGCTCCCCACCCCTTGTACGGCACCCACACCCCCCAGGCACCACACCATGTACCCCGCCACTGCCACCATTCTGCTGCTCGCTTACGACCCTGACGATGGCTATACGTCTAAGCTGGCCATCTTCGGAGGCGGGGTGGGTCACCATGCATTGCATGCTGCTGCGGCCTTGTGGCAGGGTAGCTCGCAGCTTGCATGCATGCCACCACAAGTAACATGCCTTAGCATGTGGGGCTTTGCATCGCCGCATGAATGAAAGTGCTTGACTATTTCCTTTTGCGCACGAACGCATATGTGTCGTGCCTTATGTTCTGTCCGCAGCCTGATACCAACACTCGGGGCCCCAAGGACACTCCAGCCTCCTCCGCCGCCCTGCGACTGGACCTGCGCGAGTGCTCAACTCAGAGCAACGGCTACTGCAGCACCGGGTAGGTGATCATCAGTGCGCCAGGGCTGCTGCTGCTGCTGCTGTTGTTAATGCAGAAGTCCCCCTGCGGTGATGCCTCGCATAGGCCTGTTGGTGCCTGCTGGTAACATGTTTATTGTTGTGTACTTGTTTTGCATGTTACATGAAGCTCAACATGCCAGCACTGCTCCATCCCGCCCAAATTGTTTGCCCTCCTGTTGCAATGCGACTGTGCGTAGGTGGGTCCAGGAGGACATGTTAGGCATAGCCCGTGTTATGGGAGATGCCGTACTGCTGCCAAACGGAAAGGTCGTTATCGTTAATGGTGCTCATGTAAGTGGCTGCCTGCGGGAAACGAAAATGTGTGATGAACGGTTCTCCATAATACGAAAAATCTAGGACTATAGGACCGGTGACATTGTTTATCATAGCACGAGACCGATGATGCCTATGCGTGTTGCTGCCTTTCTCGTGTGCTGCTTGCGCACAAAAAAGGGGTTTCGCTATGCCGGTAAGAAAGCAAGCACCCACAACAAGCT